AGTAAAATCAGAAATTTAAAATGTCTTGTAGTTTATATTTGCTATTGATATTTTAAGCTTCAGTACATTGCAATTGTTAAATTCATTTAGAGTTTGTGTTTGAAATTATTCAAGAACTAAAATATTTATACCTTTCTTGGGTTAGGTTCTAGTAACCATAATTTCATGTTTGAAGTTTATTTGGTTGGTTTGGTTGGGGGAGGAGAGGCAGTTAATATTTTAAAACTATCACTTTTCTCTAGACAGTTGAGTAGATTAGTCATCAGACAAACTTACTGAAAAACTTGACTTGTTCATTGACCCTAAAGCTCTTAAGTGTATAAGGAAACCAGGACCCTCCAGGCACTGCTCAAGAAGCAATTTGTGGGAGATGATAGAAAGGACCATCACTTTTGAAATAGCGAGAGGAGTCTGCTGAATTCAAAGCCAGAGACTAAAACAATGTGCTGACTAATCTTTGGGTGATGATGCCAAACCTCATACAAGAATAAAACATAAATTTAGCAATGAATACTGAGATGACCAGAGACTTTGTGTGAGGAAGTAAAATGAACTAGATGTGATGATAGGACTCTCAAAAGCTCAAACTAAGTAGACTAGACAAAGCATTTGAAAAAATCGAATTATCGGACTGGTGCATTATGGCATCAGACCCATGGGAAGAACTCGCAGGAGCCAAATATGGGAATGCAGTGGGCTGAGAGTAGAGTAAAAGTCTAGCACAATCCTTATATAAAGGGAACCCATTTTCCCTGGAGAAGAGTAAATAGCAAATTCTAGCCTTGAGAATGAAGCAGTGTTAAGGCAAATCTAGGTCAGACCTGAAGTTTTCATATCTTTGATTAGCACCTAACCTAGACAATCAGAGACAGATCATTTAGTCTAAGCTGGAAATGTTAAAGAAGGCTTCTTTGAGGAGATGAAGCCTAAGATGAGTTTTTAAGGGATATTAGGAATTAGCCAAAGACAAGTCAGACTGTTGGGATAGAACAACATGGACTAAGGTTTAGAGATGTGAAAAGCATGAAACTCATTTATTTGCCTATCTTGTCAGTCTTCCTAAGTCAGGGTTTCTTAACTCTGCACTGTTGACATTTTGGGGGCTGGACAATTGTTTGTTATGGCGGGTTGTCCTGTGCTCTGTAGGATGTTTTTAACGGCAAGCCTGGCCTCTACCCAGTAAATATCAGTAATAGCAGTAACACTACCACTACAGTTATGGCAATCAAAAATTTCTCATTCAATAGATGTTGCTAAATATCCCTTGTGGGGTAAATTCACCCCTGGTTGAGAACCAGTGAACTGGGCTAAATTTAATTAAATTAGGATTCAAATTTTATATTCTGAAACTCAGTGCCTTCATTTAAGTTTTCTATTTCTTTAAGTGCTTGTAAAAAATTTCTTTTGAATTTTCAATATAGTCTTGACCAAAGAAAATTGTTTTCGTATCTTCAGCAAGAAGATATGGAAGAGGAGGGTATCATTTGTGGCTAGAGTTCTAGGTATATGGTGACTGTGATCAGAACAGTATGATGTTTAGGGAACAAGATAAAAGATACGAACAGTATCTCAGACATTGAATATAGATCAATTTTTTACTCAATTATAAGATCAAATTTTAGAATTCCCCAATTGTTTTTGCTTCGCCCTGCAGCCATTTCTACACTGTCCCCAGATTTGTTCTACAATTTAAAATATGGAAAACTTGAAGATATGTTAGAAACCATGAACATGACTATCACATATATGGGAGAAAATGAAGTTTAGCATGATCACTGTTTTGGCTCCCAAGGAAAGATAGGGTCTGTGACATGATTTTACAGTGTTTGAAGAATTGTTGGTCTGAAGTTTGTATCCATAAACTTTGAAGATTGAGAAAATAAGACTTAGATTGCAGGACTTTAGTATTAGGTGTAAATATTCTAGGAAATCATCAAACTTATTTAAAAACTCTTAAAAATATAAGCCAGACATGAATACTTACGTGTGTCAGGCTGATAAAAATAACTTATGATGTTAAAGATTTTTTCTGTGTTTGGATATGTGTGTACACATATATGTATATTTATATTATATATACATACGTATGAAGTCTAAACTCTACTTAATATAAACTGCTTCCAACTGTGCTAACTCTCCTTTTTGTTTAACATCTATTAGGTGGTAGTGGTACAAGTATGAATACTATTTAGCCACTAGCCCCAAGAAAGTTATAATCTTTTTTTTTTAAAGATTGATTGATTGATTGATTGATTGATTGATTTATACAAGCACTGGGTACAGTCAGAAGCATGGGAGGGTGAGAGAATTCACCAGAGCCAGAGCGGGGAACAGAACAGGCAGACTGATGAAATACACTGCTGAGGGGAACAGCGGGCGCGGCAGGAGAGGTCTGTGTGCCATGTGTGCCCCTCACTGGTGCCTGGGGATCTGGCGCTGCAGAGGCTGCAGGCAGCTTCGCAGCCCAGCACTCTACCGCTGCGCCACCAGGGGAGGCCCGAAAGTTATAATCTTGATAGGTAAGTAGATATATAATTAACTACAGTAGAATATTTAAAGTACACTGGTAGATTTTAAAATTCCTTTTGCTAAAATCACATTGAGTTAATGAATTTAACTGTAAGAACAATGTGGATTAATGGGAAGAGTTAAAAAAAATACCAGGGATATATTAAATTATGAAAGAATAGTCTGAAATGTGTAACATTGCCATCAATTAATAATGTTAAAGGCACAATAGTTTATACTCTGTGACACTTTCCTAGAACTACTAAGCAAATGTTACAAGTTGCCATTTTTACATTTTTCAGTTTCTCTTCTTAATGTAAAAATTAATCAGCTACTTTTGGTAGTAAGTCAGCCACACATTCCCCAAAAAGGAGTTGTTATTACTGGGTTAATTTTCACTTTGGGTGGATGGTATGGTGTTAGTATGAAATTAGTGTGGCTTTTATGAAAGAACTTTAGAATTTAAAGTTTCCCTAAAATACTTTTATCCAACTTCCAGATACGATTTTACTTAAACAGTCCATCTGTTCTTGGGTCATTAAAAACAGCACTGCATTTTATTTATCAATGTATCCCCAGAGGCTGGTGCACCATAAAGATGCAGTAATTATTATGGATGTACGACTGAATGATCTTGTCTACAATAAATTAGGCCCAGAAATACAACTGGGTGCTTTTTCAACTTAACTCTTTTGTTTCCAAATCATAGGTTAAAGTCAATTTAATCTTTAAAATGTTATTTCTACACATGTGTGAATAAAAATCCTTCTTATTAATGACAGCCAGTGCTCACCTGCTGGGGGGGCAAATGGATAAATGAATCTTTACCTGCTAGTGTTATTGTAAAATAGTAATTGGGAGTAAATGAAGAGAAGTGATCCATAAAGACAAATTGTTTTATTCTTGGTTAGTAAAATATGGCATCAAAGCAGCAATGGTCATGAATATACACTAGAATGTTTCTAAATTTTGATTTTCTAGTAGATCACTGTTGTCTTATATAAAGTTGCTTGAGTTGCGTCTTTTTTTTTTTTAAAGATTTATTTATTTATACAAGCACTGGGTACAGTCAGAAGTGTGGGAGGGTGAGAGAATTCACCAGAGTCAGAGCGGAGAACAGAGCAGGCAACCGCTGTGCCACCAGGGAGGCCCCTTGAGTTGTGTCTTAAGAGGAAATGTATTTTATTTATCTAGTGTGTGAGAATATAATCATCACTTTAAGTGTCTGATTATATTGGATTTAGCATGAACATGTTTCTTTCTCTTTTTGTATCCCCTTGAAGGTTAAAAGACATGGATGATTTGGAAGAGTTAAACATGAGTAGAGTTATGCAGTTAAAGAGCACTAATTTAAGAGTTAAAAGACTTAGGGTCCAGTTACAATTCTGCTGCTTACTGCTGTGTGACTTGAGTAGGTTGAAAAACTTTCTGAACCTCACTGGTGAAATGAAGAATTTACATTAGATGACCTCTGAGTTTCCTTCCAACTTAGAAATATGCTTCTCAAATTCTAGGTTATCTCAAAAACCAATAGTTTTTAGTATTGTGGTATTGTCTCCAATACTACAAACACTTAGTTAACATTTTGCAGAAAGCAGGCGTGTGCCAGGATAACTAAAGCAAACACCCTTCTATTGAGGAGCTTACAAAGCTAGTAACTTTCCTTTTTTTTATATGAATTAAAGGTTAGATTCATTAATTTTGTACTAGAATATATAGAATTTTTACAAGAGCTAGAAAGCATATGGTAAAATGTTATAGTAATAAATATTAATTGAATTGGTGAATATGTAAATATCTACTGCAGCTTGTATCAAAAATTTCCATAATTTGTAATTTTCTCAACTTGAAGGTTATCTAATGTTAAGTTCCAAATTCAAAGGAAAGCATTGGAAGTGGTTTCCAAAACCATCTCTGTTGTACTTTAGCTATTTTTAACAGGTGTACTTTAGCTATTTTATTTTTTAAGATTTATTTATTTATACAAGCTCTGGATACAGTCAGAAGTGGGGGAGGGTGAGAGAACCCACCAGAGCCAGAGCGGAGAGCAGAACAGGCAGACTGACAAAGTACACTGCTGAGGGGAGCAGCAGGCGGCAGGAGAGGTCTGCTCGCCATGTGGGACCCTCGCCCTGCGGCCGGGGATCGAACCGGCACTGCAGAGGCTGCAGGCAACCTCGCAACCCAGTGCTCAACCGCTGCGCCACCGGGGAGGCCCACTTTAGCTATTTTTAATTAGCTAAACTTTAGCTAATTTTAACAATATTAATTATTATTTAAAATAATTGATAAGGTGAAAACAGCTAATCTGAAAGATTGTTACCATATTTAGTCTCTAAATTTTAAATACAAAGAAATAGGAAGTATAGTAAAAATAATTAGAACTAGAGTGATAGATTTGGGAATTTTTGAAATGTAGAGATAACTCTTAAAAGACATGTGTAAAGTAGTTGGTTTGTTCCTTAATTTTTCTTTTTCTTTTTTAATTTCAGGTCCCAAAACAGTTTTTTTCTGGGCTCCAATTATGAAATGGGTAAGTCTTAAGGTTTTTACAGGAGCTATGGAAAAAGTGTTCTTTAGTAGGAATGTATTTGAAGTAACTTTTAAGAGGGATGTACTTTTAAATGTTCCTGGCATACCTCTAAATGATTTCATGCAAGTATCTTCAGATATATCTTTTTTTCCCTGCATATACCACATTACCTACTTTAGTTTTTCCTTATGTAAGATGTTCTCTGAGATTATACTTGTTATCAACAATCTCACAGCTGTGTGCTCTAGGAACATACAGCTTCCATTCTAAAATTTTATGGCTAAATAGTTAAAAATCCCCAAATTAACTTTTATTGTTAATGTGAGAGCTGAAGACAATAACACTAAAATAGAGGCAAGGTAAGTTAGTCACAAAACGTGAAATTTATATTAACATTTGGTAAATGACAATCTAGGACTTCTGACACCAAGACCAACACTTTAACTCTATGCCAGTTTCCATTCCTAATGTTCCCATTTAACTGACAAATAATCGTGGTGGCTGCTTTGCAGCAAATCATTGATTTTATGTTGAAAATTCCAGTTTGGCTGGTCCAACCACTATGGACTGCTGTGTGGAGATTTCTGGACCTACTAAACATAGAGCTTCCATATGATCCAGCAATTCCACTCCTAGGTATCTACCCAAAGGACACAGAAACATCAATTCCAAAGAACACCTGCACCCCTATGTTTATAGCAGCACTATTTACAATAGCTAAGCTTTGGAAACAGCCCAAATGCCCAAAAATAGATGACTGGATCAAGAAGATGTGGTACATATATACCATGGAATATTACTCAGCATTCAAAAAAGATAAACACATGCAATTTGCAGCAACATGGATGGCGCTGGAAGGGATCATGCTCAGCGAAATAAGCCAGAAAGAAAAAGAAAAATACCGGATGGTCTCACTCATAGCAGGAATCTAGAAAACTTAAATAAAGGGACCAGGAAAATGAATAACTATAAGAAAGTGAAAATCAAAATCAACAAAAAACTATGAACCAGAGACACTTTTTGGGGGGTGGGGGGCGGGAGGGGAGGGATTGGGGTCAGAATGGGGAGGTTGCAATTGTATGGGGAATATAAAAATAAAATTTATTATTTTTAAAAAAAAAAAGAAAAACTTTATTTTGCATAGCTTCATTTGGCCCTCATTTTGGGTGAATGCATCATATGTATACTAAGTGTATTTTCTCATAGCCCTTGATGAAGGAGCACACATGTAGGAGCACGTGCTGTGACTAAAACACTGAAATGTAGTGGTGGTGTTCAGTTATGAGGAGGCCATTGTGATGAGCCCAAATAGGCAAAATCTACTTAATTTTGAAAAAATACAAGATAAATATGTTGTGGAAAGCTTAAAATTTTTTTGGAGACCCGGTTTGAGAAACAGTGAGTCTGCACTGTAGAGCTAAAGCAATCATATAATTCAGTTTCCTCATTTAACATCAAGAAACACACAGCACAGCACTATTTACAATAGCTAAGAGGTGGAAACAATGTAAAGCCTCCGAAAGAGACTAATGGGTCAAGAAACGTGGTTTATATACACAGTGAAATACAAAAAAAAAGAAAATTCCAGTTTGGGTTATACCAGTGCTTCTCAAAGTGCAGCTCTTGGATCTGCAGCATTTACATTACCCAGGACCATGATAGAAATGCAAATTTTTAGGCTCCATAAGAATGACTGGATTTATTTGCAATAAATTTCAGGGTCCTTTTTGACCTTAAATTTGCCACAGTATGGAAGTTTATTGATTTTATCAATAGTGTTTCTTTGATCTGGTCTATCATGGACAGTATTATATACCCCTAAGTGCCTTCTTGCCTGTCTCTGTCTTCTTTAAAAACACATTTTAAGTTCATTTTGAAATCATTATTAGTCTTCTGATGACAGCATAGCAATAAAAACACCTATGTCTTATTCTCTAGTGGGAAGATTTCCTTGGTTCAATACTTAATTTATGTACTTTTAATGTGTTTACTTACCCCAGATTATTTAATAGTAATCAATCTGTGGTAGTCTGTGCATAACATATAGCAGTTGTTTCTGCAAAGGCATACAAGTTCTATATTAAGAATTTCATATTTATTATAATGGGGTTGCTTCCAGAACATAGGTGCTGTAATAACCACCACTAAATCTGAGACAAAATGGAAGGAAAAGACTCATGTCAAATCATTGTCATTTGACACAGAGATTGAGAAAGTCTGCAACTCTGTTCTGATCTACAAATATGGTGGTATCCCCAAAAGAACCACTGAAAATTTTGAGAAGGTTGCTCAAATAGGAAAGGGCTTCTTCAAGTATGCTTGAATCTTAGATCAACTGAAAGCTGAATGCAAGCATGGTATCCCATTGACATCTCCCTGTGGAAATTCAAGACCAGCAAGTATTATGTGACCATCTTTGATGCCCCAGGACACAGAGACTTTATCAAAAGCATGATCACCAATATATCTCAGGCCAGTTGTGCTGTCCTGATTGTTCTGCTGGTATTGATGAATTTGAAGCTGGTACCTCCAAGACTGGGCAGACCTGTGAGCATGCCCTTCTGACTTATACACTGGATGTGAAACAGCTCGTTATTGGTCTTAACAAAATGGATTCCACTGAACCACCCAACAACCAAAAGATATATAAGGAAATCATTAAGAAAGTCAGCACCTACAGTAAGAAATTTGGCTACAACATTATCACAGTAGAATTGTGCCAATTGCTAGTTGGAATAGTGACAGCATGCTGAAGTCAAATCTCAACATGCCATGCTTCAAAGGATGGAAAGTCCCCTGTAAAGATAGCAGTGCCAGTAGAACCATGCTGCTTGAGGCTCTGGGTTGCATCGAACCACCAGCTTATCCAACTGACAAGCCCTTGCCCGTCCAGGATATTACAAAACTGGTGGTGTTTGTACTATCACAGTGGGCTAAGTTGAGACTGGTGTTCTCAAAACTAGCATGGTGGTCACCTTTACTCCAGTAACATGACATCTGAAGTAAGTTATGTTGAAATATACCATGCAGCTTTGAATGAAACTTCCTAGGGGGCAGGGTAAACTTTCATATCAAGAAGATATCTGCCAAAGATGTTCATCTTGGCAGTATGACTGGTGACAGTAAAAGTGACCCACCAGTGGAAGCAGCCCAGGTGATTATTTGAACCATTCAGGCCAAATCAGTGCTGGATATGCACCTGTGCTGGGTTGTCACCCAACTCACATTGCTTGAAAGTTTGCTGAGCTGAAGAAGATTGTTGTTCTGAGGAAAAAGCTGGAAGATGGCCCTAATTCATAAAACCTAGTGATACTGCCACTGTTCATCTCTGGCAAGCCCATGTGTGTTGAGAACTTTTGTGACAATCCTCCTATGGGCCATTTTGCTGTTTGTGACATGAGACAGATGGTTGCTCTGGGTGTCATCCAAGCAGACAAGAAGGCAGCTGGAGCTGGCAAGGTCTCCATGCCTACCCAGAAAACTCAGAAGTTTAAATGATTAGCTCTAATATACGCTCCTTATTCCCCCCCTCCCCACTCTTAATCAGTGGTGGAAGAACTATCTCAGAACCATGTTTGTCAATTGGCCACTTAAATTTGATAATAAAAGATTGGTTAATGATAATAATGCATCATAAAATGTTCAGAAGGAAAGGAGAGCGTTTTATGAACCATTCCATTTGTGGCTTTTATGTGTGGCAACTTTAAGTTATTTTTAAAATCAGTACTTTCTAATGAAAACAACTTGACCAAAACTCTGTCACAGTATTTTAAGATCCATTAAAATAAATTTTAATGACCAAAAATTTCAAACTATACTTCTTCCAACATTTAACTATGGTGGTGTCTTTTCTTAACCACATTAGTTGAAACCAAGTAATCCTAAAGGTCAACGTAGATAATTCTAAAAATCAATACTTATATACCTTAAATATTTAACTTAAATATTTTAAATTCACCAACCAATCATCTATTGCAAGGCTGAAGATTTTGTGTTGATCCACTAAAATTTAGAGTTCTGTATCTTAGATAAATTGTACTGTATTCTATATAATTTTCAGTTCAGTTTTCTTTAAAGCATTAAATCGTAGACATTTTCATGGGTATTAGAACAGAAATCTGCTAGATTTTTATGGCTTCTCACTCCCCAACCTTTTTATAACACCAAATTTGACAGCAAGTTTTAACAACTTGCCTATATTCAATCTTTCCAAAGCAGTCACTTCAGTTGCCACAAAAGCAACAACCCTCTCATTGTATTTTATGTTTATCTAATAATTCACTAAATAATATAAATTGCGGGCCTCCTTGTATGTCGCAAGGGGTTAAGCATGGCACTATGAAGCAATCCGCAGCCTCTGTAGCACAAGTTCGATCCCTGACTGGCCAGGGGGCGGCCCACATGGCACAGCAGACCTCTCCTGTCTCACCCACTGCTCCCCTCAGCAGTGTATTTCAGTCAGTCTTCCGGTTTTGTTCCCCACTCTGTCTCTGGTGAATCCTCTCAACCCCCCGCACCTCTGGCCTGTACCCCAGCTCTTGTGTGTATAAATAAATAAATCTTTGGGAAAAAATGTTAATTGCATTAACAAGTAAAACCAGTATGGGCAGATTTGTCGACAGTGACTTGACAAAAATACTACTCAACTGCTGGGGTCAAAAATGCATGAGTACAGGGGCCTCCCCGGTGGCGCAGCGGTTGAGCGCTGGGTTGCGAAGCTGCCCGGCCTTTGCGGCGCCGGTTCGATCCCCGGCTGCTCCCCGGCCACCTGAGGAGGGTCCCACATGGCGCGCAGACCTCTCCTGCCGCCCGCTGCTCCCCTCAGCAGTGTACCTCGGTCCTTCTGCCTGCTCTGCTCCCCGCTCTGGCTCTGGTGAGTTCTCTCACCCTTCCGCGCTTCTGACTGTACCCAGTGCATGTATAAACAAACCAAACAAACAAATAAATAAATAAATAAAACATGCCTCTATTAAAAATAATAAAAATTAAAAAAAAAATGCATGAGTACAGTAGAGAATACCCCACTAGCCATGAGTAATTGGCCACAAGTATCTGTTAGCTTGTTTATAGGTAGAGTGGAAAACGCTGGTCAGTCTAGGGAGTCTATGTACATAAGGCCAGTTAAGGAAGGTTCTGTTATTTTTGTTCATTGTCTTTTTCTATAAACTAGTCTTTTAACTCTTGAAGTCTGTACTATTTGGTGGAGTTAATCTGTTTTCACTTCTTATAAATTAGTCCAACTATTTCAAGATTATTTGATAGCTATTTATTTGTTTTTATAGCTGAAACTACTTATGAATTAATTCATATTTTAAAATCTTGATGGTTTTGCTATCTCTATGCATTTTGGAATTGCTGAAATATAGCCCATAGTCTTCATAGAGCTATTCAACAAGCCACAATGTAAGGATATATGTCAACCCTGTAGAATAATAATTAGGAACAAGTCCCTTTCTCCCCCTACACAGTGGCAGTATTCCACCCAGCAAAAGAAGTAGAACAAATTGAAACAGAAAATATACATTGGAACCTAGAAGGGGAATGTAGGAGGGATGATTGGGAAGCATTTAGAAAGAAAAATCACAGGACTCTGGGCACGTTTTCACAAAAAGAACACTGGTATTTGTCATTATTTACCTCTAGTTTTACTCATGTATTTAACTATTTGCCCCTTTTTAAGCCAGAATCATTGCTTTCTTGAATTATTGACTTCAATATTGCCTCCTGGTGTGGATGCAGCCTATGAAGCTATCTTCAGTCACTGAACACAAGTTCTATCCCCGGCCAGGGAGATACCCACATGGCCCAGCAGACCTCTCCTGTCTCGCCCCTCGCTGCTCCCCTCAGTGTTATATTTCAGTTAATCTGCCTGTTCTGTTCCCCACTCTGTCTCTAGTGATCCTCTCATTCCCCCCCACACACACACACACCTCTGGCCTGTACCCCAGTTCTTATATGCATAAATCAATAAATCTTTTTAAGAAAACATTTGGACTTATTATAAACTTGTGTATAAATTCATAATTATGTTTGTTCTGTTTAGGAATGAAACCCTTTAGTAGTTTGTCTTTTCTATGCAAGAGCATCTTTTAGAAACTCAGTAAAACCTGAAAATGATTTCTTAAGAACATATTCTTTAATAGCCTTTTTAGGATTTGCTTTAAAATACCTGAAGGAAAAAAGGAACAAGAAAAAGGGAACAAGGGAAAAGAAGGGAAGTAAAAATATGGCAAAATATCAATAATTGATGACTCTGGTGATAGATATGTAAGGATTTTTTGTGTTGGTCTCACTTTGTGTAGGCTTAAATTTTCCATTAATAGAAATGATTTTATTACATATTGTCATCTCTGCAATAGAGCAGCATAACTAATGTTCTAGTGAAGGTTCATTACTGAATTTTTTGAATGAAGCTGGTGATAAGGTATGAGAGGGGCAACTCAATAAAAGATTGCTAGAAACAGCAAAAAAGGAATGACCAAGTATATTTTGATTATAAAGAAAAATGGTCTAACTAAGAAACTATAATTAGAGCTTTTCTGATACTTTTTCTTAAAAAAAATAACATTAACAAAAACATTAAGGTGGAATCATACAAATTACCTTAAATATCATTCAGGCATACGCCACAAGTGGTCCCCAACATGTAAAGAAGATATAAATTCATATGTGAAAGAAAGAGTGTGTGTCATTTTCAAATACGTGAGACTGCTTAATGTGGTTAACAGAATATAAATTAATTTAAAAAGCATTCCTAAATTCATTATAGCATTTTGTCATGATGAACATTTTCTTTATGCATAAATACTAAAATAGCTACTGTCATATAGTACTTAAAGTTAACGACCTTTACTCCCTCACTCATGATGCCTTTTTTTCCCCCCTTTGTATGTGCTAATGTGTACTTATAGGGGTTAGTGTGTGCTGGATTGGCCGACATGGCCAGACCTGCAGAAAAACTCAGCACAGCACAATCTGCTGTTTTGATGGCTACAGGTAAGTTATATGAGTATCTTCCATGTTCCTTATAGAACATTCAATATTTTTCTTTTATTTTATATCAGTTCTTTAAAATAGCTTAATGTTTGAAATACATAGACTCACAAAGGAATTAACAGTATTACCTCTAGGAAGTGAATAGGTTATAAATGCAGACAAGGAAGAGGTTTACTATGAATAATTATAGTATTTGCATGGGTATTTGTTTTTCACGTTTTGCCATGAACATATTTTTCTAAGAAGGGGGAAAAGTTGCAATTAATATTCATTTTACTTAGAAAATTCTCCTTTGATGTGAGAACTGAGTATTTTGTATAACACTATTAAAGACTGAGATTATAGTATTTCTTCTTTATTCCACATTATTGTTGTCAGAGTCTTACTTAGAATTATTTTGCTTATTAAATTTTAACAAGATATTGCAGCAGTACTGTGCTTTTAAAAAAAAAAATGTATAATTTGTTTCAACAGGGTTAATTTGGTCAAGGTACTCTCTTGTAATTATTCCAAAAAATTGGAGTCTGTTTGCTGTTAATTTCTTTGTTGGGGCAGCAGGAGCCTCTCAGCTCATTCGTATTTGGAGGTAAGTCTACCAAAGGTGGAAAAGAAGAAATCTGCCTCAGAAACCACCTAGATCACAGTACTTTTTTTTTTTTTTAATTCAAGATTCACAGGTACTGCTAAAATTGGGAAGTACCTGAAGCAAAAATTTAACTTTTCTAAAAAATTTCGCCGGCTTACATTATTAGTGTTAAGCAGAATGTTACCTAGGCTTTAAATCTAAGTGTGTGTATTATCATAGAATCTTTTTAACTAAGGCAGCATATACAATTTATGATTTATTAAATAAATTTTTACATGAACCTTTTATCACTCACTTTCAGTTATATGTAGTAAAGTGGGACTTAATTGTGTGGTTACGTAGTACTAGAAATGTTAGAGTAAGGCTGCTGCTTTCATGGGAAGGTGTTCCATGGCACTGTTTCCTCAGTTAGTAGTGACTGGTTATCACACCACACTTAGAACTCATCTTAGAGGAAGGATCTGGTTTTGCTTGAACTATAGAACTTTCCTAAATTACAAAACAGTTGCATAAATAACAGTTTTTTTTTTTAACCTAAAAATAACTGAATGATCTCAATGACAAAATAGGAAATATTGAGTTATAATTTACCTTCCTTTCAGAAGGCAATCTGTTATGCAGAGTACAGTGTATTTTAATTTCATTGTCTTTGCTAGTAGTACTACTAGTTTTATAATTTAATCCTTTATAACTTAATCCTTCCATAATCATCTAGCACATAATAAGTAGGTAAATAACTCATTCTGCAGTGTGCCTTACAAACATTTTTAGGATTTACTTACATAAACTTTGATTTGCATATGATTTTTATTTACAGAGTATTTTTCTTATACACCATTACATTTTAACTTTATATTAACTCATGACAGTAGAGCTAAGAGAACACTAAGTGCCATATACTAAGCTGTTATTTCTAATATCAGAAATTCCGATATAGCTTGACAAAAGGATTTTTGGAACTTTTTGGTTACAATAGAGACTGGGAGATTTGTTTAGAAGTATGAATGTTATAAGGCCTCCCCTGGTGGCACAGATGGTTGAGCACCGCTCTGTGAAGTGTCCGCAGCCTCTGCAGCGCCGGTTTGATCCCTGCCAGCTGGCGAGGGTCCCACATGGACATGGCGTGGCAGACCTCTCCTGTCTCACCTGCTGCTCCCCTCAGCAGTGTATTTCATCAGTCTGCCTGTTCTGTTCCCCACTTGGTTTCTGGTGAATCCTCATACCCTCCCACGCATCTGGCCTGTAACCCGGTTCTTCTATAAATAAATAAATAAATCTTTTTAAAAAAACAAAAGAAGTATGAATGTTAGATAGGGCATTTGGGAAAACACTTAACTATTTGAATTCATGGCCTTTTGAGAAATCTAGGAGGTACAGTATGCCTCATGGAAGAAGTTCCTTCTTGTGCTTATACTATTCTCCACTCTGTTATAAGCTGGGAAGAGTAGTAAATGAAACCCAGGGTATTGTAGAAGGGAGAAACTCTGACTTTGGCTAACTTTTCTTTGGATTAATGAGAAATAGCCCTTTACCTCAGTAAACTTAAGTATTTACAACTTGTGAACCCAATAGCTGGCCTGCATCACAGAAGTATATTTATTTTTAGTGATTAGACAGAATTCCATTCCCAACTGATTTTATTCTCAGGAACAATGTTTTGTGATTATAAAATAAAAAATTCTAGATAACCGTATTTTACATACCTATTCACATGTTAGTCATGCTCTCATACAGTTTAGGAGTGAAAATATTCATTAAAATAAGGCTTTTTTACAAAAAACTAATTGCATATCACTTAAGTTGTTAACATTTATGGTAGTTGGAAGCCAAATGCAAATAAATACATGGTTCACTTTTCCTTCTGCCTGTTTCTGTAAGTCTCTGAGGAGATATATTTACCAGTAGCCTCTCTATTTAGAAAGATGAGATGGAATATGCTTCCCATTCCTTTCTTTTTATAAATTTATTATATTTCATGATTATTTTTCTTTCTGTTTCCTTTTAGATATAACCAAGAACTGAAAGCTAAAGCAAACAAATGAAAGTGTTCCTGATCACCTGAACAATCTAGATGTGGACATAGCTCTGGGACCTACTTTGATTTATTATTTGGTTATTGATAAAGTGATGCTAACTGTGCTAACATTTGGAACTTTATTATAAAAATAATCTATCTGTAATTGGTAACTATACTTGATTCAGTGAACAGAAAAATAAAGCAAACTTTTAATAACAATGCCTCTTTGTATATGTCTCAAAGAATTTATCAATTGATATTAGTAATTTTTTTTCTATTAGGAACAAGGGAAAAGAAGGGAAGTGAAAATATGGCAAAATCTCAATAATTGATGACTCTGGTGATAGATATGTAAGGATTTTTTGTGTTGGTCTCATACATACATATATACCCCTGGCTACACATTTAAGTGAGTTGAAAGATAGTGAAAGATTAAATGGTCTGTTGTACAGAAGGATGGTAGTAGCTAAAAGTGAACTGAAATAAAGCTGAAGAGAGTAAGAAAGCACAGTCAATGGCTTACAAAATGACTTCAAACTATTTTAAAATATTTTATGAAATGAATCTAGGTAGAACTTTTTTGCATATCATATGGCATTATTTTATAGCTGCAGAGTAACAAAGGACTGCTAAATTTTTAAATTACATTCAGTAATCTAATGTGGTAGAAAGTGCTCTAGAGTCAAGCAGACCTGAGTTTGAATCCAACTTTATGATTTATAAACTATGACTTTGAGGAAGTTAAAATGCCTAGCAGAGTATGTTCATGGGATATAAGTTAGCTTTCTATAAATGTTCATAACCTTTATTCCCATTTTGAGAAGAAAATTGGCTTAGCTTACTCTAGTAATAGTTAACGATCTATTTGATTTGCGTTTCAATGTGGAGGATTGACTTGTCTTTTAAAGTGCTGAGCCAGTCCTGGTTAGGTTAGAACTGTAGTGAGAGGAATAGGCAAAACAAGTAACTTCTATATTTGAAGGAACAAATGACAAAAGGGCTTTTGGAATAATATACTGCAAGTGTTCAAAATTGGCAGTTAGCAATTGACTACCTTGCACTTTATCACCTTCATTACCATCCATCTCTGAGGAGGAGGGATTAGAGTATTTGACAGAGGCAAAAGTGAAGCAATCCTGAAGAGTTGAATTTTGTTGCTTCCTTTACATAAGCTACACTGTTTGTGCACACATGTTAATGTGTTTCTTAGGGTTAAGCATTTAGGAAAAATACCTGTGAAATAAGGCATAGCTATAAAAAAAAAACTTTATTGAAACATGTTGAATTGTCACTTTTTTATTAAAACTTTTTTCTGAATAGATTCTCATAAGCCTCACTTTTCAATGAAACAAATTTAGCATTTAGATACTGTCACAGATAATCCTCTTGGTTCTCAGAAGAACCATGAAAGAGCACCATTTCATGATTCATTCTACTCCCCAAATTCTCATCCATCCCATTTTTCAATCTTAAAAATTTGATGAGTCTAATATATATCTCATGGATAGCTCTCTGCCACTTAAAACACACAGTCCAGTGATCACCTCTCAGAACCTTAGAAGAATTTACATGTTATAAGTCAACCAGCAACATATGAACTGAACTCCATGAAAACACCTTTCACAATGTTACAATCACTTGAGTTGTCTAGCTGAGTCAAGTCCTCATAGATGATTTCATTATAGGTAAGTTTTCTCAGTGCCAGGTCTGAGACCTGGACTTTGACTTGAATTTGCCATACATTAACTGTGAGACCTTGCTAGCCTTTGTCTCTGACCTTTAGTATTTTCAAGAGTAAAATGAGATTTAATAATAATACATACTTCATAGGATTGTTGTAAAGATTAATCAAGATATTTTAACACATTGCCTAATCCATGATGGGCATTAAAGTTTCAGAAAATGATACGCTTGTTTAAAGAGTGCTCTCTTAGACAAAAGAAGTTTTTATTTAGCTGCAAAAAGGATGCGTGTGTTAATCTGTTTGCACACTTTCTAAAATATAACTATTGAAACTCTTGAGGATTTCACATGTTAAAGCAGAGAATAGGATACTTAAGTAGAGGATGGTCCTAAGAGTAATTATTTAACTTAGCATGTACTTGTATGTACTTGTATGTATTTTGGCATTGTATGTACTTGTATGTACTTTGGCATTCATTTCAAAGAAACATTAACCCCAAATACATCAATGCTGTTAGTTCTCCATAGCCAATATTTGTGTGTGTTTTAAGTTATTAAAATAGTGGTGAAAAGTTGAATCTTAACAAGGATTGATCTCAAAGTGCTGCTTCCTCTATAAAACAAGACAATTTCTACTGGAGCTTGTTTATATAATGAACAGAAATAAGAAATGGTATTTAGTAAGACTGGTTTCCCCCCCCCAGAAGGTCTTCATTTATCTCCTATTATGAGAGATGAATCTAATTATATGAAGACTGGTTTCTACAACTAACACCAGAAAATTATCTCAAATATAATCAAGCAAACCTCATTTTTTTCCTCCCTTAAGATAACTGTGTCACAACATTTTGAAACACACAGAAGATTTAATTATAGGGCTGGACTTTGAGAATGTTTGCTTGCTTTTTTTTCAGTTCAACATTTTTGAATTCGAGTTTTACATATGTGTCACTAAATGTTAATTATTGTTGATATACATAAGAACAGAAAACCAAAACATGATTTAAGTTGTTGTAAAATATGCCACTCTTAAAATACATTTTGCCAGGGACATATTTGTTTAAGAGACTCAAATCTAGTGCCACAGTGGATTGCAAGTTATCTTTGGGGTGAATTTGGTTAGAAGTATGCGCTACACCTGTCAGAAAGGACAGGTATGTAATTCTTTTTTTTTAAGATTTATTTATTTATGCATAAAGAACTTGGGTACAGGCCAGAGTTGTGGGGGGTGAGAAGATTCACCAGAGACAGAGTGGGGAACAGAACAGGCAGATTGACTGAAATCCACTGCTGAGGAGAGCAGTGGTGGGCAAGACAGGAGAGGTCTGCTGTGCCATGTGGGTATCTCCCTGGCCGGGGATAGAACTCATGCTTTAGTGGCTGAAGGTAGCTTCATAGGCTGTGTCTTAACCCCTTGCTCCACCAGGAAGGCCCAGGTATATAATTCTTCATTCAGAAACTTATCCTCACAAAAATTGAAGAGCTGCTGAATTATATAGTACATATACACTATATAATTACAACTAGTAAATGTCACAATCCTGGTAAAAGCAATGATGATAATTGACCACAATTGGGTGTTTTCTTACTCAGGAGCTACTTGTCTGTGTGATAATCATCTACCGACTATTGCCTAATTTCAACTGTCCTCCACGTGGTTGGAAAAATAGTTGTGAAAACCACTTAGGATCATAGTAGTCTCCATGACCCTTGGCCCACAGGTCAGGACCAGAGAACCTGAAGCAGACCATTCCTGTCTAAGTCACTAGACTAGTGGGGGAGGGGGGCAGTGCCAGCCAATCAGAAGCAAAGTTAGTGCCTGTGAAACAATGAGCTTCTGGGAGGGTGTGGCCTGGAAAACGGCTTTTAGACAAAACTGTCACTTTATAGGTCAGCTAGAGACAGACTGGCTTTGCTGTCTTCAGAATAATGTCACCCAAGCCCCTTTCCTGTTTTCTGCACTTCTGAAAGATCTAGTCTAGGCTCTGGCGTCTCCTCAATCTTGGAGGAAGAGGAGGTATGTGGAAGTAGGAGTCTTAGTAGGAAGAATGGTTGCAGAGCTAAATGGGGAAAAGACAGGCACTGGAGCTTAGAGGAAAGTGAGAAAGCCTTGGGCTAGGAATAGAGGTTCAGTTTATGTATCTCAGTGTCACTATTTTAAGTGAGATTAGAAACTTGAAGGCTTAAATGCTACCTCATGCTATTTATCCTGAATGCTCTATTTTTCAAGCTTAATGTCTTTATTTGTCTCCAGCATTATCTCATGTGACAGCCTCTTTTTTATCCATCATCAAATAGTAAGTGCCTACCATGTGAAGAGGCGCTAGGAAAATGCTGTGAAGGAAACAAAGCTATGTTGAACATGGCCTGTGAAGCAGAAGTGCTTACAATTCAGAGGAAGACAATATAAATAGATGAATAAACAATCAAGTATATTTAAATAAAAAATAAGGCACATATGTTTATAGACATTAAGTGCTCTAACAGCTCAGAGGAAAAATGTCCTTGGCTAGAGTGATCAGGCAAGCATTCCCAACACACAACATTATGCCTTTATGTTCAGGGTATTCCTGCTTTGGACTCTTGTAGAACCTGACTTTACAAATTGATGAAAAATTGGATGAAAACCGTAATCCATTACAAGTTTCTAGAAGAGATATTTTAAGAAACAATACTGGCTGAAACATCTTTAATTTTATTTCCATTTCTGGGTACTATTGAGTTTTTATGAAACTGTACACATGCTTCCCTTCATTCAAGAAACTCTTGGTATATCTTTGGGGCTTCATTCACCCGCTTGCTCCTTTACTCTCATTCCTCATTCCTCATTTACTCTCATAGCCTCTCATTCCTCATTCCATACACTCATTCCTCATTTACTCTCATAGCCTTATTTCTGGATGATTTTATGCTTCTTTAATGCATAATCTCCATCATTCTCTATTCTTGATAGAGATTGAACTGACCAATAATTGATAACAGTAACATCAGCATGCATTGAAAGTGCTCTGAAACTAAATGCATCTTTTCTCTAGGTCATATATATCCCCCAAAGTGTTGGAAAACATATACAAATGGAATGTAGCATGGTATAGTGGAAAGAATGTGGGCTTTCAAATCCCATGGATCTTGTCTCTTGCCTTGTAACCTAAAGCAAATGAATCTCTCTGAACATCAGTTTTTCTTGTCTATAAAAGGAGGGCCAATCCTACTGTCAGTGCTTTGACAGATTAAATGAGGCAACCTATGTAAAATTCACATATAGACACCTCAAATTAAAATTAAAATGTGTTATACACATGTACAAATTAAGTATCATTCATCATTTTCTGATGTTATGAAACTTAAAATGTAAGACTAAGTTCTAAAATAGTAATGTATTATCTTCTTATGGGTGTTAATAAAAAAACTCTCAGGTATTCATTTTAGATGTCTTTGCCTCTTCAGCCCATGAGCAAATAATTTTCTCTTAGTTTCCTTTCTGCATTTGTCATTCTCATCTTCAAAGGTGTCTACATTCCTTGCCTAGTAGTCATAAACTTAAACTGTCCAAGTTCTCAAATCATCTTATTTAAATCAATGGAATCTTAGCAATCATCTAATTCATCTTTCCGCTAAGTATAGGGATCATTTCAACCTCACAGGTAGACACTATACAGCTTCACAATGAAATCCAATACTTCTTAACTTTTCATGCTGAATTCATCCTTACATTGTTGAACTTTGCCTCCCAGTGATTGCCACCCATTGATCCTGTTAATCCTTTGGGAGCTATAAAAAATTAATCCACTTTTCACAGTGTTCGCACTGAAGTAAAACAGTCTATTCTATTCATGTGAAGAGGGTATTACTAAAATTGACAAGCTGGAGTAGGCTTGCTAGATAAATATGATACTGGGGGGAGGGCTATTTCTATTAAAATGTATTTATTTATGAATAACTCAAGGTTATTCATAAATAACTAAAAGTATTAATTTATTCTAATTAAACTGGATTTCCTGCTAAATCTCGCAATCTTACAAGACACACTAAAGAGCGAAAGGTCGAGATAGTCAATGGGAAGCGTTGGAGAGGCACCCTGGAGAGGGACCCGGAGGCACCCTGGAGAGGGAAAAACAGAGCTACACCCTGCTCACTTCTGCTCAGTCCTCTCTCAGTCCTGGGGCTGTTTTGTGCATCTGTGGACACCTCCTCAGAGTATCTGTACTCAGAGAAACCATACTGTTTAAGGTCAACTATCCTTTGACAAACTTGAGAAAAGATCACCAACTAACTTTTCCCCTTTCAACTCTTCCATGAAATTTATTCTTGTGTAATCAAACACAGTCCCTACCTGAGGGAAGAAGTAGGAGGGTTCTTAATTAAATGTAGGGACCTGCATTAGACTTTACACAGGGAGGGAACTGTGTAATGCACAACTTTCACATTTCAGTTCAAATAACTGTCTTTGTTTACCCAAATGTCATCTCTTCACTTAACATCTCCAATATTTCCCATTATTTCTTATGTCCCATCATCAATGACTTCAAATAAACCAACACTCTGGGTCACATTTGAGTACTGCTTATGCACCTTAAGATTGCAGTGCATCTAAATGACCAATAAGAATAAGGTACTTATTATCATTGGTTCCACCAGAGAAACACAAAATAGATAACACCACTCACCTGCCAAGATGGCTTAAATTAAAAAAACAAAAACAAACAAACAAACAAACAAAAAACACCCTGAAAATAGCAAGGGTTACCTGGCACATAAATCTTCTGAACTTTTCTATCTTGCTTATAGGACGCAAATTGGTACTACCACTTTTATGGAAAATTGGCAAAATCTACTAAAGTTCAGGATATTTATACCCTATGACCCAGCACACCACTCTCAAGTGGATAGCCAAGTAAAATGCATATATTTTTTCCCCAAATGCTTATATAGGAAGGTTCTTAGCATTATTTTTAATAGCCTATAACTGGAAACAACCTTTGGTCAATAGTAAAATAGGTTCTTTGTAGTATAATCAGGTGGAGGAATTTTACACAGCTTTGAAAATGAGCAATTACTGATAATACACACAACATAAATGAATAATATAAAAGTTTGAGAAAAAAGAATTCCATTTATATAAAAACTGGAATACAAAAACTGGTAAAAGTAATCCAGGAATCAGGAGAGTTTACTTTTGGGGAGGAGAAGGGAGTGACTGGGAGATAGCATGAGAGAAGTTATAATACTGGCCATTTGTTTTTCTCTATATGACTAGAGATCATGTGCAAATAATAATTTGCAAATAATTCACCAAATTATAATAATATATAATAATAATTCACCAAATTATACACTGACAAATTGTGCATTTTTCTGTGATGTTGTACTCATGCTTCAATAAATGTTTTATTAAAGATAACAATGAATTTGTAATAAATATTTTTTCACAATTATACTTTTGATTTTGTTAAATTTGTAAATATAGCACTTTGCATTTATTCTTCTGAAATTTCATTGTTACTTCAGTCCAATAAGATATTTTAAGATCCTGATTGTGTCACTGAGTATATTAGCTCTCCTTCTTCTTACATCTTTACCTAAGTTTTCTAGCACCTCCCTAGAGGCATCTGAGTGGACACTAGAACACACATCAATATCCATCTGTTAGGCCTGATTGTTAACCAGCTACCTATATTTTCATCACTCCTATAATCTTTGTTCTTATCAACAGGAATATGAGAAACATGGCCAATGCCTTGTTAAAATCAAGATATACTTTGTCTATACCATTTTCTTGACATAGAAGTTTAATAACTCTAAAAAAGTGGAAATAAACTTTTATTTCCTCTTTGGTTCTTGGTTCTGAGTCCATTTTGACTGCTTTTAACTACTCTTACTTATCTAAGTGCTCACTTATTATCAAGAATGATTATCATGAAGGCTGCTTAAAAATATTCTACACATGGTAGAATTGCACTTCCTGATCTACCTGAAATTGAATGCTTCCACATAACTTGCCTCGGGCATTGGCAAATGTCACTTCTGGGAGCACTTTCAGAACATGTCTGCCTCTTGAATCCTCTTTCCCCACTTAGTGACAATCAGAATGTCCCAGCCCAGTTCCCAAAGTGAAGACAGCAATAGAGCAGAGCCTAAATCAACCTACAATTGACACTTACAGCAAGAAATGAACAAAGAATAAACCTTTGTTATTTCAATTTACTGAGATTTTGGAGTTATTTCTTAATGAAGTATTACATTGACTGACAGGTGGTGTTTACCTCTCTGCTTTCCAGAATTCACATGTAGTCTCAGCTTTTAAAATTTACAAGAGACCATGGCCAGCTCATCTCTGGTTCTCCATTATTCTTTTGAGATTTCTGACATTACACATATCAGTTCCTTCAGTATTTGTGGATATATACTCCCTGGGGTTGTCTACTTGAATTTATTTAAAATAACTGGGTGCTATATCACAACCTTTATTTTTTTTTTCTTAGCAATACTTTTCAACTCTTCATAATGGAAAAGGCAGAAGCAAAAGAAGAGATGTGTAGTATATTATATTCAATCTTAGCCCTTATTCCTCTTAATTTCCTTGATTTGCATCAAACTAAACACCCCCTCCTGGTTGTTTTTTTCTTTTGAACATTTTCCTAAATCTCTTTTTTTAAAAGATTTATTTATTCATGCATACAAGAACTGGGGTACTGGACAGATGTGTGGGAGGGTGATAGGATTCCCCAGAGACAAAGAGGGAACAGAACAGGCAGACTAACTGAAATACACTGCTGAGGGGAGCAGCGAGCGAGTCAGGAGAGGTCTGCTATGCCATGTGAGTATCTCACCGGCCAGCGGGGATCGAACTCGTGCTGCAGAGGCTGTGGATTGCTTCACAGCACTGCGCTCAACTGCCTGCACCACCAGGGGAGGCCCCATTTTTTCCCTAAATCTTGGTGCATTCTGTATTTTCAATTTTCTCATACCTTTAAGTTCACATCATTTATTGTCTGAAATTATTTGATTTCCTTATTATCTGTTGACTATCCCTGGCATAGGCTATTTTGAACTGTTTTTTATGCTGTTTCTTTTTAAACTTCAGTTGCTTGTTTCTGTTTTAATTTACTTTTTAACATTTTAGCTTACCAGGGCTTTTACTGTTAAAGATCAACAAATATCGAATATTTAATCTTCAATATTCTTTTTTTCAGTACTTGGTTTTAGAGGATTCTACAAAATTTAAGGTTTATTTGTTAAATATACTGTTTCCCTGATTAAACAAAATATTTTCCATAATCTAAGATATATGGTAACTATTTCACTTTTTCCCTTCTGCTATTCTTATGTTCTCCAGCATGACAAATGTCTGTTTAAAATTACTTGCCAACTCTTCCCTATTGGTCATTAACAGTTCCTCTTTTAAAAAAAGAATCTCTTATTTTCTGTATCACCTATTCCAGGAAGTTGGACTTCTTTGAAGAAGTTGAGGCCACTATTCCTGTTGCGGGTGGAAGAGCATGATTTTTACAATTTATAGGTATGAACACTGAAATGGCCCCAGCAGCAAAAGGAAGGCCTTAGGAAATCCTAGCTTTCTCAGAACTGACAAGGTAGCAAATTAGAACTTAAACATTTCTAGTTTACATTTAAAGCCTTATACATATACACACACATGCACACACCCTTTTGAATTCTATTTATTTAAAGTCTACCTTAATACATATCACCTCTTGCTTACAGAATACTTCATTTTTGCTAATCACCTAATTTTCATACAAAAATTCATACCTACACTGTTTTTTAGTTTTCAAAAAGGAAAGAGAAAAGATGAGCGACCAAAGGTAGAGGGAGGGAAAGCAGAATCATGAAAGGAAAGGGGCCTAGATGAGGGGCCAGTACGGCTGGCCTCTCTGCAACAAGACTGGCACAGAGGATACCCCCTTCATGAAAAAGGATGAGTCCATTCACCCCTTCTTATTTGTAATGGTGCTCATTCCTGTAGGAGCAGTTCAGGTTGGGGGCCAAGTTTGTGGGGCCTCTCTATAGAGAATTGGCTCTTTCTAAGTATGAGACAATAACTCAGACATTAGTGCCACTTAATCACTTAGAAGAGAAAAAAGTGCACAGCAAACAGAAAAAAAAAATAGGAAAATGAGTAAATAAATATGTCAGATTTCCCTCATTCTCAGCTTTTCTTTCTAGAAGGTCTATTTGGGAACTGTTTACTGTGACCACAAAACCCTGAACATTTGCTTTGAACATGAACCCACGACAAGAAAAGTCACAGGACCGAGCCATTGTCAGAATAGCCGCTCATTTGCCAGACCTCATTGTCTACGGAGATTTCTCTTCAGAGCTACCATCTGTGGATTATTTTGATGGAGTCTTGATGTTTGTTGATATTTCAGGCAAGCACAAAAGGGATGTGGAGTGTGGGTAAACAGTAGGTGGTACTGAATTCACATGCAGAGCTTGATTACAGCATCAGGAGCTATTTTGGAGCTCTTGCTGCAAATGTCCAGTAGAAGACAGTTCTATTAAAAAGGCAAGAGGGAGGACAGGTAACCTGTGCACCTGGAACTCTCTCACCTTCTCTTACCCAGCATGCCTAGTCATGGGCAAATCCTTAAGATGCCCGGTACCACTCCTGGAACTTTTTTTTTTAAAGATTTATTGACTTATGCATACAAGAACTAGGGTGTAAGCCAGAGATGCGGGGGTGGGAGGGGGCAGTGTGTGTGAAAGGATTCACCAGAGAGAGTGGGGAGCAGAACAGGCAGATGCACTGAAATACACTGCTGAGGGGAGCAGCAGGAGAGACAAGGGAGGTCTGCTGTGCCATGTGGGCTGCTCCCTGGCCGGCCAGGATCAAAGTCATGTTGCTGTGGCTGGCAATAGCTTGATAGCACTATCTTTAACCCTTGTGCCACCGGAGAGGCCCCACTCCTGGAATTTTTGACCCCAATGTCCTGGCTCTGATGTCACTGACTAACTCATGCCCCTACCCCCTGCCCAAGCCCTACACACATCCCAGGAAAAACTGACCTCAAGGAATGGTTTCTCCAGATGTTTTTCTCTCTACATAAGATGTTTACATCTTAAAGGATACTTGCCACCGCTTCAGCAGTGTTCGAATTGTTTTCATTACTAGAGATTGGAAATTCTACATCCAGTCAAAGTGCAGTCATCTCTACAAACACTGAAAAATTTAGAGGGAAGAGGTGTCTGGTGCCTCTCCATGACCCCTAACATAGTAAACAGAGACAGAATGCAGATGTTAGACTTGCTCAACCTCAAACATCATTAAGAAGAAACCCTGTTAGTTCTTAGGAGCTGAGACCTACTGCTCTCCAGTGTGGTATTCTTCTACAAGTTCCGTTTGGTCCCTCCAAGTAGCCAAGGAAATTAGCTATGCCTTTATTACAGGTTTTACTGCAATGACTGAAAAGTTCAGCACAGCGATGTACATGGACCGAGGGGCTGAGCAGCTGGTGGAGATCCTCAACTACTACATAAGTGCAATAGTGGAGAGTAAGTGTACCCATAAGATTCTGGCTTATGAATGTTTCAATTCATTGTTTTTCTCTATTTGTTGGTTATAGTCTGATAGAATACTATTGCTTGGTGCTCTTCATTTACCCCATGAATTGTGTATGAAACCAGTCTCTTGATAACACAGTACAAGTCAGAACAAGTACAAGCTCACTAACACAAACTATTTGAGAGAAGGAACATTTTGTATTAAAATACTGAATTAGAGACTACTTTGAAAAGAGCTATGGTAGTAATGCTTTTAGTAACTAAAAAAAAAAATCAGCGTAACCCAAATGTAATCCTTAAGAAAATGTTTTATGAATAGATGAGTGATTTATAACTAATTTATCAGTAAGTCTGATCAATTCTGAAGCACTTACAACTGACTGAAAAGTTTTGTCTTCTTTTCAAATTTTGCCTACCATCTTGTTTGCATTATTAATTTGAATTATTCATGAAGGAAAGGATTTACTCTATTGAGGTAAACTCTAGATCTAGAGTTTTATCAACCCTAAGTTCCATAGCAATATCTTACTATCATCCACTAGACAAAATTTAATTCTTCTTAAAAGCAGAAACTTATCTAATTCCTCTTTTACAATCTACTCAACACAACAATGCTCATCAAATTTGTTAGCAATGCCTAAATAAGAACAAATGTCCATTCATGTCATAAAGTATAAATAAAATATAAGTCAATAATAAACAAAAACCAGTTGACCAACATAGCTCTGGCCTCCCAATTTTCTGATTTTTAGTTGTTATGGAGTCCTGTCACTCATCCACTCACTCACTCAAACTCTAGCTCAGAATATATATTTATCAGTAGAAAGCATTCTGGCACATAGGGAATAAGCTCTCTTTTCCCATTCACATAAATGGAGCAGGTCCATAATCTAGTTCAATGCACATATTCTACAGTTGAAGAAACAGACTCCTGTGTGGTGAAGTGATAGCTGTGTCTGAGATGATAGCTTCACTGCAGGTCCACTCCCTGAATATTATTCTCTTGACCTAATTTCTCTTTCACTGATGAAGTTTGAATTCTTCTTTTTAAAGTGTGTTATTTTTTATGAGGTAACATTGGCTTACAACACTATATGTGATTTGGGGGTACAGGTTCACAAAAATTAATTCTTTTTATTATCATTAAGAGATCAGAATTTGATTCAACTTTTCTTTTTTCCTTAGAAGTGTTGATTTTTGGAGGAGACATCTTAAAATTTGCAGGTATGGGGACATACTGAGGTGGGAGAAGTAAGAAGGAAATTCTGGGTTCCTAGAGCCTTGAAAAGGAAGGCATCTCAGAGAACGCAGGGGCCAAGAGATGGGGTTGGGGAACATTTGAAGAGGAAGTTTCTGGACAGATTTGTTACAAAATCGACTGATCTCTTGGGAAAGTCATGACCGGCCATCTTTCCGCTTTTGTGTTTTCAAGGTGACGCCTTGCTAGCCCTGTGGAAGGTGGAGCGAAATCAACTGAAAAACATGATCACAGTGGTAATTAAATGTAGTTTGGAGATCCACGGTTTGTTTCAATCTCAGGAGTGTCAAGAAGGCCTGGACATCCGAGTCAAGATAGGTAAGATTCTGAGAAAAGAGATGCTGCATCTTCCTCCCAAAGAGAAAACCTAGAACTTAATGGTTTAACCCACCATCATATCTTGGATTTTGGAATTTGGCTAACCAGAATGTAAATTATGGCTTCCTCATTTAACAGTTAAGAGACTTCAGGTTAACATTTATATCTACCACACAGGCTCTCACAAAAACTTTAAGTGGTTAGTATAATACCTGGCATACAATAACTAAACCGTAATGCAGTCTTTTTTTTTTTTTAAAGATTTATTTATTTATGCATACAAGAACTAGGGTACAGGCCAAAGATGTGGGGCTGAGGATTCACCAGAGACAGAGTAGGGAATAGAACAGGCAGATTGAGTGAAATACACTGCTGAGGAGAGCAGTAGGCGAGTCAGAAGAGGTCTGCTGCGCCATGTGGGTAACTCCCTGGCCGGAGATTAAACTCATGCTGCAATGGCTGTGCATAGCTTCATATGTTGTGTCTTAACCCTTTGTGCCACCAGGGAGGCCCCTGCAATGCAGTCTTTAAAAATAATAATAATAATAATATTTATTTATTTGTTTGTTTGTTTGTTTATTTATTTATACAAGAACCAGGGTACAGGCCAGATGCGTGGGAGGGTGAGAGGATTTACCAGAGACAGAGCAGGGAACAGAACAGGCAGACTGAGGAAATACACTGCTGAGGGAAGCAGCAGGCGAGACAGGAGAGGTCTGCCGTGCCATGTGGGACACTCGCCAGCCAGCTGGGATCAAACCGGCGCTGCAGAGGCTGTGGACAACTTCACAGAGCAGTGCTCAACTGCCTGAGCCACCAGGGGAGGCCCCTGCAATGAAGTCTTTATTATTAAAACTTCTGCAATTGTTTTTCGGATCTGCTGCTGTCAATAGGAAGTAGCTTGTAATTACATATCAATAGGTCTAAAAACAGCATAACTGCTCATCACCCACCTTGTAAGAATGAGATGCAAGAAAAGCTTAACAGAACAACCTGCAACACAGCCCTAGCTTAATAGAGGGCTTCTTAGTTCCCACATGTAACAACCACATTTATTTCTGTATTGTGTTGCAGACAGTACACATGTGACATCATTTCTGCTTCACCACAGTCTTGAGATTTAGGCATTATGTTATCTATCTGGAGAGATAGATTTAGGCATTATGTTATCTATCTGTGAGAAATAAGATCCTGAGTGGTATAAATGATGTGTTACTGTTGGTATTAACTTCTGCCTAACTCAACTCTGTAAACTTTGATTTTTGAAGTGTCAGAGGTGAAGAGAAGAGAGTGTCATCAGAGTGATTATCCAATCATCTAAGTTTTCTTTAGGTTATTTAAAATTTCCAAATAAAGTATTTTTTCTGTTGAAAAAAAAGTCAAAGTCATTATAATACTGAAAATTTGAATGACTTGGATACAAACCCTTCGTGTATCTGCCAATCAGTGGTCTGAAAGGTGACGCAGTAACTTTTAATGATTCTAAACAGCTCGTGTTTCAGAGGGAAAATGAACATTCCCCCATCCCCCCCTCCACAAGCACATGCTCACTGATCTCAGCATTGACAGATCAGCACAGCAGAAAGCAATGATGTACATGTCACATTGTACACCATCCTGTCTTTTTTTGCTTCAGCCCTAAAACCTTCAGCTCCCAACTTGAGAGCAATTGGAGACACATTGTTGGAATGGAATACCTGAATGCCCCCTCCTCAACCCCTACGTTTTTTCCCTCAGGCTGTTACTGAAATCTGACCCCAAGAGTTTCTTTATAGCTAAAGCCTCAGTCTCTAGTACCATGTAATTGCTCCCCAAATAGGAATTTTTAAAGGTGTTCCCTTAAGTATAAATTAATTGGAGAAAAGCTAAAATAACTTTGAGGACAGATAGGGCCACCTAGGGCATCAAATGTCACAGAAAGGTGAAAACTAGCAGCTGACTTTCTAGTTTCATGAGGAAAAGAGGAGTTTTGGAAGACTTGGGCCTCGAAGAGTTATTCTGTGATTGCTATGTGAAATTTTAGAAGTTGAATTTTTCTCTGAAGTAGTACAGTCACCCCAAGATTCTGAGTTTTCCAAGAACACATGCCCTTGGGTAATAACCCAGAACTTCCTGGGTAGACCTCCTGTAACAGGGTGGTCCCCAGAAAAGGGGTGATTCCAGGTTTCCTGCTCCCTACCCCCAAGGGAGGGTGGAGCTGAGCAGGGAGAAAAGGCTGGAGAAGAGACTGAGGAGGGGAGGAAGCAGGATGGAGCCAGAAGGAGACCTGGAGGAGGCGCATGGAGCCGAGAGACATGTGAAGAAACTGCGCTACCATTTTGGTCGTGGACTGGGTGACACAGATGTGGGTGAGAGACCCGTGGGGAGGTGACAATGGCAGCTTTTATCTTGATTTTGATTTTGCTCTTTTCCTTCTGGGCTTGTCTGCTTGTTTCTGACCCTTTTCTGTGGGTCCCCACTGGAAGATGCTTTAGACTTGTGTCAGGCTTTGGGGCCTTGCTCTGGGCCAATCCCATTTGGACAGACTTTTACCCACAAGGGGACAGTAAATGTGGGTGCTTGATTTAGAAACTATATTCTTTGTCTTTTCTGTATTGTTTACTAATTGTATTAAAGTTCCTTCCCATTAAAGTCTTACATGCTTTGTGTTGATGCAGCGATGGCAGAACCTTTTTAGAGCAGATAGGTTTGTGGGGTCTGGGGTGCCCTCTCCCTGCCCTGTAACACTCGGTTTGCCCTCTTGCAGGCCTGGCTGCGGGCCACATCACTATGCTGGTGTTTGGAGACAAAACACGCAACTTCTTTCTGGTGATTGGTCAGGCAGTGGACGACGTGCGCCTTGCACAGAACATGGCCCAGATGAATGATGTCATTCTGTCACCAAACTGCTGGCAGCTCTGTGACCGCAACATGATTGAAATAGAGAGAATTCCTGACCAGAGAGCAGTTAAGGTAAGTGTGCTGTTTGCCAGTTTGTGCCCTGGGGCCACATGACAGAAAAGTCACTGGGAAGACTGGTTCCATGAAGCACCTGGGCTCCAGTCTTGAGTTGCTTAGGTTATCCTGAGGGCTTTTAGTCCCTTCCCTCTGGGAAGGGCCAAGGTTCATGCCTTTAAGAGGAAATAAAGGCTTTCTCTGTGGTAATTATGGATGTGGAATATAGGCATTTAAGCCTTTGTGGGAGGGGAGGCTAGTGTCCTTTTTTAAAAGAAGATTTATTTATGGATACAAGAACTGGGGTATAGGCCAGAGGTGGGCGGGGGGGGGTGAGAGGATTCACCAGAAACAGAGTGGGGAGCAGCACAGGCAGATCTACTGAAATACACTGCTGAGGGGAGCAGCAGGCGAGACAGGAGAGGTCTGCTATGCCATGTGGGTAGTTCCTGGGGGTGGGGGTGGGGGAATTCAGCTTGTGCTACAGTGGCTTGGGATACCTTCAAAATGCTGAGACTTAATCCCTTGTGCTCAACAGGGAGGCCCTACAGTCCTTTCTTAAGGAATAGGAAGGGCCTCCTGGGGAGACCCTTCAGAGGAAAGTGTACAGAAGGGAAGTAGTTTTAAAGGCTGCCATTCACCTTCTCTTGCACTACCCAACCTCCCTCCTCCTCCACCTACCCCTACTTCCTTCCTGGAAGAATCACTGAGGAGTGAAAATTGGAGCCAATAGGGCGATCAAAGTTTAGGCAAGTGAAACTTTTCCCTTGATTCTGTCCAGTAGAAAGTGCTGTGGTTTAGGCAAAGCAGTCTATAGAAGACTATACACAGAACTGTCCATGGAATATGACTGATTCTGCGAAACTGCTTTGAGAATGTGTAAAGGAGAGGTGGATTTGCTGAGCAGGGGCAGAGAGGAAATTTCCCCCCAATCTTCTAAGTTCTTCTTGGGCTATTCAAACAATCAAATTAGCATCAGACAAATTAGGAAAAAACAAATTTAATTACAAACTTGGAGAGAATCGACATAGATATGGAGTCTAAAGCCAATTGGACAAAATTAGGGTATTTATTCTGAGCTAAGGAACAAGGATAGGGGCCTGGGACTTCAACGAGAGAAGAGGTAGATCCACATGATGAGAAGGTTTCTCATATGATAAAGATGCTCTGTAATTAAAACATCTTTGCTCTAAAAAAAAAAAAAAGCATCTTTGCTCTGCCATTGTGTTGGCTTCTCTAACAGAAAGTTTATTTCTAGAGGGCCTCCCTGGTGGCGCAGGGGGTTGAGCACCACACTATGAAGAAATCCACAGCCTCTGCAACACAAGTTCGATCCCTGGCTGGCCGGGAAGCAACCCACATGGCAAGGCAGACCTCTCCTGTCTCATCTGCTGCTCCCCTCAGCAGTGTATTTCAGTCAGTCTTCCTGTTCTGCTCCCCACTCTGTCTCTGGTGGATCCTCTCAACCCTGCGTCTCTGGTCTGTACCCCAGCTCTTGTATGCATAAACAAATTATTTTTTTTTTAAAAAGAAAGTTTATTTCTAGAAATAAGGAATCTGGATAAGACACCCCACCCCTAGCTTTCATTCTTTGAGGTAGGAAAGGGAGTAGTAAAATTTCTCAAGAGGTTTCAAGGCCTTGATTGACCTCAGCTCCAAGTAATCCACAGGCCAAGTGACATGTCTTGGGAAGGGCTAGCATTTAGCTATTAACTGAATCAGAACAGGACTGCATGGCAAACGGGAAGAAAAGATGGAGAATTTGTGCAGATGATGGCAAAGATGAGAGACACTCCTACACTAAGGAACAGATTACAACCCTCGAAATAACCATAAGTTTCTCATTTTTTAAAATTTAGGTTAACTTCCTAAAACCACCCCCTACGTTTAACTTTGAAGAATTTTTCACAAAGTGTATGGCTTTCATGCATTATTATCCTTCTGGTGACCACAAAAGTAAGTACTCTTTGTATATGAGAGCCTTTCCCTCTCCCAGCAGGGAGCAGGGTCTTATACCAATGCCAAGAGGCCCATTACAAGTGACTGGACTCCTCCCTCCAGCTCCCATTCCTTAGCAGGACACCTGCGTCCACACACAGCAATTCTAAGAACAACCCTCCTTGGTCCTCTCCCTCCCTTAGCACTAACTCCTTTCCCTCATCTTCCAAATATTTGCAAGTCTTCTGCACGTTGAAGGAAAAGGTAAAGCTGCTGCGAATTCTAACCATTTTCTATTAGGAGGGGATTTTCTCTCCTAACCATCACTATCAAACTTCTCAGAAGAGTCATCTGTATATCTGTGCCTCCTCTTCCATTCTCTCATTCATTTATTCACCCAATAAACATTGATTGCATGCACAGGGCTTGCGGGGGCACATACTCACATATTCTTCAGCCTTGATCCCCTGATACCTATACTTTACCCTTTTCTATCTGCTGAAATGTTTATGTCAAGCCCACTAATTGTTGCAGAAATAAATTCTAGCCTTTTACCCAGGAAGGGGAAGAACAAGCGGTATTTTAGGAATGGTGACGCCAGGAAAGTTTTATTACTCATGCATGAGGTCTCAGTCCCTTAAGGTCTGAGCACTGGTCTAGAGAAAAAGAGTTTAATTTATACACAACTACTTCACATTGATAAAGTTGGTTAGTTAGCATATGAATTCTTGACACAGGAAACGGGGAAGGATACAGATCTTCCAGGATGGCCTGGGAGATAAATCAGCCTAGCAGGCTGCCAGACCTTGTTTAGATATGCTTATTAAGGAAGCAAACTTATTATTTACTTTACATTTCCAGATCTATGACTCTTTTACAGGGAAAGATTTCTTTTTCTCAGCAGTTCCCTTTCATAATGACTATCACCTTGCCAAACCAGGTGTCCCCTCCTCAGACCCCATCTAAGGTGGCTGACCTTAGACACTCTCTTTTCCTTGAAACCACCTTCTCCTCTTACTCTGGCTTCAAGAACTAGTTTTGTTCTTGCTCCTCAAACTGCTCACTTTCAGTGTCCTTTGTTTAGTCTCCTTCTTATTCCTTCAGTGTTGGTAATTCCAACTATCAACCATTTCAGCAAAGGAAATCATAGAGATGACAAAACTCCACTGCTTTTCTATCTCAGGTGAGGAATTAGGCAACAACCAGGGCAGCAAAGTGACTTGTCCAGGATCACACTGCGAGTTGGTGTTAAACCCGTATTAGCAGCTACTCTCATGAATCTTTCTCCTGCTGCTTTTTCAATTCTATCTGGCCTTTCATTCTGTCACCATCCTCCCCTATTGTCATACCCTCATCTGTCCATTCCTATCTTTTGTGACAATAGTTTTAGCTCTAGTTCAGAGGTGAACTCTTTGAGTTTCAAAGTTTTGTATGAATTAGGATAGGATTTTGAGCTACATGCAACTGAATTTTAGGGACCCACAACCACTAAGGGCTTCTTGACTTTCCCTTATCCCTTTGTGCACTGTGTCCCAGAGTGTCCTGACTCAACTGTCAAGATCACTGCCTCGGGACTGAGGACAGGGAGGCTTCTCTAGTGCTGCAGAGTCAAGCCACCCTGCCTAAGCCTATCCCTCCTTCTGCCCTTGCAGACCACCTAAGGCTTGCATGCGTGCTGGAGTCTGATCCTGAGCTGGAGCTGTCCCTACAAAAGTATGTGATGGAAAGCATATTGAAGCAGGTATTTTCATTAGATTTGTTGTCTTTTGGATGAACAGTTGGAAAGATCGAGAAAACCAATAGCAGCAAAATATTTAAAAAGAGGTGGGACTGACATGTATTGGGGACTATAAAATTTATGGTTCAAATTGGGTTACTTTTTAAAGTTACATGGCACATTATTCGTAATTACACTGCAACAATAGGTATAAACAAGGACTGCATCACCTGTTGGCAACTGGGCAAACTAGAGCTGTCCCAAGTGTAAAAAAACGTACAGTGACCCTTTGCATATGCCACAAAGCAGAAAGAGATCAAGTGGTTGAGCACTGATACACTGTTTCTTAGTCTCTTTCATTAGATCTTAAGCTTTGAAAAGTAACAGATGATTAGGGTGCTCAGAACAACCTGCAAACCCCAGTGGTTTTATTTTTTTATTGCTTCAGATCTACTCTCTCTCAAATGTAGTCATCTATGTGAATTATAACTGTTTCTCAGTTCTCATCATTTGCGAAATGCTATTGTGTTGTTTATTTATTATTCATAATCCTTAGTATAGATATCTTTATCCTCACTTTATATATAATAAAATGGAGACCAACAGAGTCTGAAGAACTTTCCTTTGGTTGCAAAGGGCTGGTTGCAAAGTAGATAGGATTTGAACCCTCTTCAATCTGATCCCCACATATTTTGCATGGGCCTCACATATTTTCCTAAGAGATACGAGTTTTAGTCTTTCAGTCCATCAAAATGCTGTTGTGTCCTGGGGGGAAGTCTTTGTTGGACAAGCCTGAGAAGTGGGCAGCTGCCTTCACAGTGTGGCTTGCAGAGGTATCAGAATGCATCCTTCCACCTTGAACCCAATTTAAAAACTCTATTCTAGAACCTGCAATTGGGCCTCCCCGGTGGCGCAGCGGTTGAGCGCTGGGTTGCGATGCTGACCGCGGCCTCTGCGGCGACAGAGGTTCGATCCCTGGCTGCTCCCTGGCCACCGGAGGAGGGTCCCACATGGCGCGCAGACCTCTCCTGCCGCCCACTGCTCCCCTCAGCAGTGTACTTCGGTCCTTCTACCTGCTCTGCTCCCCGCTCTGGCTCTGGTGAATTCTCTCACCCTCCTGCGCTTCTGGCTGTACCCAGTGCATGTATAAACAGAACAAACAAACAAACAAACAAATATATAAATAAAAAAAAATAGAACCTGCAATTGTTTGACTCTTTCAACTGGAGAAAGTCAACCCTTCCTCTCCTCCCAACACCCAAGAGATGTGACACATTTTCTTCTTCAACTGCAATAAGCTGAGAGTAAGATCAACAGGAATAGGGTAGAAGAGAGATTCCATGCATCACCTGCAAAGTTGTGGATAAGAATAATGAACACTGGGTCAAGTAATACAACCAAGGAGTCTGTGAAAAAGTAAAAGACACACTTTCACAGCTTTACCAAGACCTGCTCTGCAGCTCAAGAACAGAGATCCTTAGAGATAGTGGGGTGGCATTTTCTAAATATATACTCAGAACATACAGTCAGATGAAATAATCCTTCATTATTTAATTAATCACTACATTTGATTGCTAATCATGGATATTATTTAGTATTTACTAATAAATTCATTTGAAAAAATAAAATCAGCACATTGATTAGTTAGAAATTATTAAATTTTCTTTTAGTAAAAAAATAAAACGACACAGTCTCAGGGCTCTCCCTGTCAGTCAGCAAGTGTGACTGCAGGATTCCCTCCACGCAGCTCCCGCTCTCACTCTGGGGATGGGTTTCACACTGTCATTGGAGAACCTGACTCTTTTGTGCCATTTGGGGGTCGGGGAGAGAAAATGCAATGCTTTTCCCCCTTTTGGCCTTTTGGTTCCTATGTATTCAATTTAACAGAATACAGGGATGATGCTAGACTGGGGTTATTTGGGAACTCTCTACTTTCTTTCCTGTGCCCATGTGGAAAGGCTTGGAGAGAAGAGGGGAGCTGATGATATTCCACCCCAGCGAAACCAGGCATACGGTAGATGGAATGTCAGACTCTGAGTCTGGAGGTTTGCATTCTAGTTTACTATGTGACCCTGGGACAATTATGCTGTCTCTCCATGCCTGAGTTATCTACTCAGTTCAATGGAGATCATGATGTTCATTTTATTTTATTTGAAGTTAAAGTGGGATAGAATATAACTATTCTAGAAGGTACCAAGCTATGAAAATGTACAGTTGAATTATATAGCATGCTATTCTTATAATTAATTATAAGAGAGCCAAAAGGAGCCCTAGTTCTTTCTCTTATTGTGAAGGCTCATATTGGCATGGCTGGGTGGGAAGGGGATGTGGGGGTTGGGGGAACTAGAATTTGGGGCAAGGGAGTGGTGGTTGGTCAAAAATAAGCAACTGTATAAGTTTCCATAGGCAGATACATTGATAGTACATTCCATTTCCATCTGCTTGACTCTGGGATGGCTCTGCCATATTGTGCCTCACATATTCTGATTACTTCAACCTCCCCAGAGAATCTCCATGGACTAGTTCCCTCCCAGTGATAATTGAGGGGGTCACAGTGTGGTGGTGGAGTGAGAAGGAGCAACTGCCAAGGACGCATGCCATGGAAAACTTCTTTCTATCTTACAGATTGATGACAAACAGCTCCGGGGTTATTTATCTGAGCTCCGCCCAGTGACAATTGTGTTCGTAAACCTCATGTTTAAGGAACAAGACAAAGTAGAAGACATAAGTGAGGCCATCCAGGATGCCTGTGTGCATATTAGTTCTGTCCTGAGAGTCTTCCGAGGCCAAATCAATAAAGTCTTCATGTTTGACAAGGTAGATATGAACTACCTACCAATTCATTAAGGTTAGCATTCATGCCCACAGACATTGTTGGAAGGAGGAGGGAGATAGGCTCTTTTAACCTAGAAATACCAGAAATTTATGTGTGATTATGATATTAGCATATGTAGTGACTATGGCACTAACTCAGGCCAGGTATTCTCAACACTTTGCATACACAGCGATGCATTGCTTAACGTTTCAGTCCACAAGGGACTGCATAGACAATGGTGGGCCCAGTAACTACCACACAGCCTGAGTGCACAGTAGCCTGTACCCTCTGGGTTTGTGTAATTACTCTCTATGACATTTGTTCAATGATGAAATTCACTCAATTCATTTCTCAGATCGTATTCCATCTCTGTCATTAAGCGATGTAGGACTGTATTAACCCATTTCATACTCATGACTGCCCAAAAAGATAGGTGTTATAATTGTGATCCCCATTTCACAGATGAGGAGGTTGAGGTAGAGATGAGGATACTGAGATGAGGCAAGATTAAGTAGTGCTCATAGTCATCCAGCTCTAAGTGGCGGGTCAGACCCAGGGAGTCTGCCTTCCCAGCGTGTGCTCTTAGCGACGATGCCCCACTAGTCTCACTGTGTGTGTCCTCCAGCCCACCAAATAACACATCTCCCAGAGACTTTAGGTCAGCTGCCTTGTAATCTTTGTACCACAAATCTGTGATGCAAATAATAATAATTTATTGGAAATGAAAATTTCCAATAATTGCCACCTGCCCTATCTCCACCTCCACCTACCCTTCTGTACCCACAGCTGCCCTATATTCCTCACCTGTACTATCTATACCCCCATTTCCCTTTCAGTTTCATTGGAGGTAGGGGGTAGGGGGGGTCACCTCCAGTTCCCAAGTATTTTAAATCTTTTCTTAATCTCTTAGCTCATAGTAAAATACTGTGATTGACAAATGACTACAGAAGAGTTCATGAGCACTGATTCCCCATCATAGGTGTTTCATATTTTAAGAGTGGCACCCCACTTGTACACTTACTTACTATGTACCTATTGAGGATTTTGTAGAGGGCTGAAAGCTAGAACTTGGCAGCAAAGCTGAGCAATCATACACATTACTACAATGTCAGGCAGAAAGAATATATTCTATACATGAAAATTCACATCTGCATTCAAACCTGAGGAAGAAGTTTTGTCCAATGCACCCCAGTACTTTCTTCTATATTCATTAAATAGTACTGTGAGAAAAGAGCATAAAACCAAAGACACCAGTCTTCAAAGTCTTGAAGACATGGCTCCAAACATTTCTGTTGTGTCATTGAACTTGGCAAGTCGTTGCGTTTCTCTGAGTCCTGGCTTACTCATCTTTGAATGGGTATAGTATTTGCCTCAAATGATCTGAAAACTTTTAAAAAGCTTTAAAATTATATATACACACATATATTTAAAACTACATATAGGGCCTCCCCGGTGGTGCAGCGGTTGAGCGCTGGGTTGCGAGACTGCCTGCAGCCTCTGCAGCGCCTGTTGGATCCCCTGCCATTGGCAAGGGTCCCACAAAAACAAAACAAAACAAAACAAAACAAAACACATATATATAAAAAAACTACACACATATATTAAAAGAACTACACATATATATGTGTATATAAATATACACATATATACACATATAAATTATACACATATAAATATACACATATATATGAAGCTCTTTTTGTGATGTCTAGTCACAGTCATCACTCCATAAATAGGAGCTGCCATTCTCACTGCAAGTGAGGAAGATGCTCAGCCTCCCAAGTCACCAGGCAAAACTTCCAGACCAAGCAGACCTGCTGGTGCCCCCAAAAGGGTTTGTCTCTAGTCCCAGAATCAGGGTTCCCCCCCTGGTGTCAAGACAGAGTCTAGTGGCAATTAGGACCTAACACTTGATGAGATTCTTTTGAAAATTGTTGAAGAAATTGAGGCATTTTACTATTTTTTTGCATTTCATCAGATATATCATTTATAGATTCAAAATTTTAACCCATTGCCCTTTATTTTTATGCCCTTTTCAAACAAGTATGACTACGAATGCCAAGTTTTTGAGTTTAATCTCTGCTTGGAACAGGTAACTTTCTGCCAAGGAAAATCACTCACAGCTTAACTCTTTATCCCTAAGAAATATAAACATAACAGCAATATCTGAAAGTACTTTACAGATCACACACACACACACACACAGAGTCTCATTAATCTCTTCAGTTGCCAAAACAACTTTGGCAGGTCCATGCTACATTGATTTTCAAACTGGTCAACTGAAATCAAAGGGTATAATTGACTTATTGTAGTTTCCACACTTGAAAAGTGCCTCTGATTCCAGAGCTGGTCTCCTTTCGACTGCTCTGTGCTGCTGCTTATACTTAAACTAGCACATTGCAGCATGAGATCTTGGCCACAGGAGCAGGCAAATAGGAATGTACCCACAAATAGCTCAGTGCAAGCCATTATCTCTGGAGCAAAAGCAAATACTTCTTGAGCTCCAGCCCTACTGTTGATGATGCACTAGAAGTTATATGATGCTTGCTAAAAATAAAATTGGTATGAGAAAAATCACAGTGAAATCTGACTCAGAAAGTGAAATTCACTACTTACACTCCACTGGGCCTTCTCATGCATGGTCCATGTACCTGCCGTGTTTGCTGACTCTCCTTCACAGGGCTGCTCCTTCCTCTGTGTCTTTGGTTTCCCTGGGGAAAAGGCACCTGATGAGGTCACTCATGCCTTGGAAAGTGCTGTGGATATATTTGACTTCTGCTCTCAGGTCCACAAAATCCAGTGAGTGTTGACTCTGTTCCTGTCCAGTAGTCCCTGAGCCTTTTGTATGGTATAGTGAGACAAGAACAGCAAAGGAGATGAAACTGCCCATTATAGGATGCCCTTCTGCTTGCATTCATTATGTACCTAATACACAAGTGAAGTGGGGACACCCTGTCCTGATTCAGTGAGAGAGGGGGATGGTAAAGGCAAGATGATGAATGAACCATCCTAAAAAGTCCAACTCTACCAGGTTTGCAAGAGAATCTAACTCAGTTGTTTCTCCATACTTCTGACTTCTTGATAGAGGATGAGCTCCCAACACCTTATTGGATAGCTGAGTTGAATTTTAGTAACCAGGAGATAAAATGAGTCCTTGGGCTGGGAATATAAGTATTGCTCTGGCTTAAAATGATACACTCATGGTAAAACAGTAAGGTTTACTATCCTCAGCCCTGGCTGCCTAAGAGCTACAGCCTGAACACCCCCATGACCCCAATATGCAGTCTTGTTCTGGTCTACTCTAACAGGTGCCAGTCCCTTGCCCTGAATAATTCCACCTCCTCAGCCCCTCACCTATGTGCACAGCCATCCTCAAGTATTTTAAGAGTTAGATTTTGATGCCACACACCTTATCTGAGTTACTTTCTTTCAAGGTAACAACTTTATTCTTCCTAGCACTAATGAAGATAGTGTTAACTATCAACTGGGGTGATGAGAATTTATTTTCTAGGAAAGTAGCTCAGATGAACACTTAAAAATAGCAGAAAACTGAACTGAGTTACCACTCCTAAGAACTTAGCTCTGTCTCCAGCTGTCTTTCCTTTACACCTCTAAGGCTCTGAACAATTGTCCAAATAAGTACAAAGGGGAGAGAGTTACTTGTTGAAAATACTTTCCCAACCCTCCCCACCCCATGCATCATCACCCCCTCCCCCCCCCCACATACATCTTCCTTTCTCTCTGATCACTTTCTTTGTCTCTTGCCCCGTAATTCTCTCCTTGTGAAAGTACCGTTTCCATCGGCGTTGCCAGTGGGATCGTCTTCTGTGGGATCGTTGGACACTCTGTGAGACATGAGTACACAGGTGCGCTGAGCTGGCTTATCTCCATTTTTCTTTCTGCAGACACTGTGCCTTGCCCACGGAGTTTGAAAGAGGAAGGACAAAAATAAGACATAGGCGCTGCCTTCATGAAGGTTGCAGTGTTTCAGGTGGAACCAAGCCACATAGTTTTGTCTGCCAACAGCACAGTGATTGCAGCATGTCTTTAAGGGGCCATGCAGGAGAATAAGAAATTGGCAGTCACTAGAGGGGGACAGTAGGAACCTACAAGAGCATGAAATGAGAGGCCTTTAGAATTATTAATTTATGTTTAAGTTCATCTTAACATTAGACAGTTACTCCTCTCAATTCCTGGACTAGGTTAGGACTGCTTCTTATAAATTAACAGCATTGGCATTACTGGCACACAGTTCTAATCTCATATGAGAATGGTTGATAGATAATATTTCAAGATTTCACTGTTCTATTACTTCCTTCTTCACTCCTATGAGGGCTTAAGATGTTCAGAAATAACATGTCTAAAATACAGAAATGGTTATGTCTAAAATGATTCAGTGTGTGGGAGGTTCTTCAAAATAATACAGGGTGGAGAGTGGAAAAAATGAAGATGGGGCATGACTGACCATTTGTTAATGGCTTTTGGGGCTGGGTAATAAATAAATAGATGGAGATTCATGATACTATGCTTTATTGTAAGGGCAAATTTTTCCACAAAACATTTTTTATTTTTTATTTTTTTATTTTTAATTTTCTAGAGGCATGTCTTATTTATTTATTATTTGTTTGTTTGTTTGGTTTATACATGCACTGGGTACAGTCAGAAGCGTGGGAGGGTGAGAGAATTCACCAGAGCCAGAGCGGGGAGCAAAGCAGGCAGAAGGACCGAGGTACACTGCTGAGGGGAGCAGCGGGCGGCAGGAGAGGTCTGCGCGCCATGTGGGACCCTCCTCCGGTGGCCGGGGAGCAGCCGGGGATCGAACCGGCTGCAGAGGCTGCAGGCAGCTTCGCAACCCAGCACTCAACCGCTGCGCCACCGGGGAGGCCCACAAAACATTTTTTAAAAAGAAATCTTGAGATCAAAAGTACTCAAATTATGTGAAAGTATATTTAACACCTATTTTGCATATAGTAGAGTTCAAACCTAAACAGTTTAATTTCAGAATCTACACTATAGTGTATGATCCCTTAAAATGTCACCTTAATCCTACACACAAACCCATTCCAGTTGCTTTTGTTCAGTCTTAAGAAAACAACTCAGGGCCTCCCTGGTTGAACAAGGGGTTAAGCACCACATTAGGAAGCAATCCACAGCCTCTGCAGCATGAGTTCGATCCCTGGCTGGCCAGGGAGAAACCCACATGGCGCAGCAGACCTCTCCTATCTCACCCACTGCTCCCCTCACCAATGTATTTCGGACAGTCTGCCTGTTCTGTTCCCCACTCTGCCTCTGGTGGATCCTCTCACCACCCCACATCTCTGGCCTGTACCCCAGCTCTTGTATGCATAAATAAATCTTTAACAAAAAAAAAAAAAAAAAAGAAAAAGAAAACAATTCACTTAGAAATGAAATGAAATGAAAGTCTTCACATGCAGGAACCTACAGTCACAAATTTGTGCCTCTTTTGGAGGTCAGTGTTTTAGGCTGAAACCTGCTCTTGTCCCACTTGTAGCAAAAGGCCAAATACACCCCACCTGAGAGCCCCCAGGGCTGTAGTCATCCCATTTGCAGCACCTTCTTTATATGCAAAGCTCTTCTATTGTCCCTTTGGCCTTTCAGGTGAGGTGGAAACAATGTTAATGGATAATTGGATTAATTCCCGTATATTTTGTAGTAGCCATTGGGTATGAAAAAAAAGGGCAGCTGAAGCCAAAAGATGTTTGTGTCATTCATGAGAAATGGTGGGAGTAAAGTGTAAAAATGCCATTTGGGGACAAGTATATCTCTGATGACATTCAGTTCACCAGCTGTTTTTCCCCTTATCTTTGTCTTTCTCCGTCCTGTTATAGTCATTGGGCAAAAAGTCAACATAGCTGCCAGGATGATGATGTACTACCCAGGAATCGTGACCTGTGACTCTGTCACCTACAGTGGCAGCAACCTACCAGCATACTTTTTTAAAGAGCTTCCAAAGAAAGTCATGAAAGGTGTTGCAGATTCTGGACCAGTCTATCAGTGTTTGGGCCTTAATGAGAAAGTGTGAGTGTGGGGCACTGGTTTTACAGTATTCTTAGTGAAGAAGTGGGAGAATTAGACAGCAAAGCAATTGGTCACTCATATTCAATTTGAAGTCAGTTCATAAAATTAAAGTCTATTCCTCCCCCAGACTTAGGTCCAAATTTCAAAATCTGTCACCTTCCCCCATCCTACTAATATTATAACATGGTAGAAGACTCCATTCTATTCTCAGTTCTGAGAATCTGAGAGTGAGTCTTCAAAGGTTATGCAAACCAAACAGAAAATCCCCTCATTTGAGTATCAATTTGGACCCAAATGGACCATTCACCAACTGTTAAGTATTAACTGATCATGACAACTGCGTACTTACACACTGATAGAGCTAATACAGTATGAGATGCTTTTCCCCTCAAGGTCTTTTGTGAAATACATTCCCCAAATGCCCAACTTAGGCATATTGGTGTCACTTTCAGGTTAAAATTCCTTCAATCACTTCTGATCATTTTCATGATAATGTTCAAATTCTTTGCGATAACATACAAGAAAACCACCTGCCTTTCCAACTTCATCTCCTCCTGTACCCGCTCCTCCAGTGTGTCTAAGTAGATATTTCTCACTATCACCCACCTATCCCCGAGCTAATAGGAAACCACTATCAATTTTTGAAATCTAACTCAAGGGTTCATTCCTTTCTGAGTCTGGAACTAGCCAATTACAGCTAAGACTATCTTTCTTCCTCTGTGTAACTCTATAGTAACTTGCCTCTATCACACTCATCACACATCACAATTATTGACTTGATATGTTTTTCACTTACTGAGAACCCTTTGAGGTTAGTGATCATTTCTCATTCATTCTTAAATTCCTAGTGCTTGACACATAGTAGGCACTCAATTATACTGAGTGAATGAATGAATGATGTGGAAAGCAGAAAGTATTATTCTTTTTTTTTTTTTTAAATCTTTTTTTTTTTTTTATAGAGGCATGTTTTATTTATTTATTTTGTTTGTTTGTTTGTTTTGTTTACACATGCACTGGGTACAGTCAGAAGTGCGGGAGGGTGAGAGAATTCACCAGAGCCAGAGCGGGGAGCAGAGCAGGCAGAAGGACCGAAGTACACTGCTGAGGGGAGCAGCGGGCGGCAGGAGAGGTCTGCGCGCCATGTGGGATCCTCCGCCGGTGGCCGGGGAGCAGCCGGGGATCGAACCGGCGCCGCAGAGGCCGCGGGCAGCTTCGCAACCCAGCGCTCAACCGCTGCGCCACCGGGGAGGCCCCAGAAAGTATTATTCTTATTTAGCAAAGTAGAATCTAGATCTTAAAGGATCAGATAAGAGAACCAGGTTCTATTAGTTCAAGCAGTCTTTATTATTCACCTTTGTATTCCCAGGGCTCAGCACTGCACTTGTCATAACATAGATCATCAATAAAATGCTGTTTGAATAAATGATCATTTTTGTGAGACCTTCTTAACTCTTAGAACTTTAGTTAAAATATATAACTTATCCTTAATGTCAACCATATGAGGTTGATATCTCCATTTTATAAATTTAACTGGAACTCGGAGATGTCAAGTGACTTGTCTATGTCATAAATCTAGTAAGCAATGCCACCCTAATGCTGCATTATGGACAGCCACAAAACCTAGTGGTAAGTAACAATATTTACTTATCTCATGAATATTTGGGATTTGATTCTCTTAGTCGGATGAGGCAGATCTTGCCTACACTTGTTGGCATATCTGACGTTCATCAGATTGTTGGCGAATTCAGGGCAAAATCAGGTGACATGACTGGGATAGTTTGGTTAATATGTCTCATCCTGAACTAGGCTATCCCAGGCATGTTTTCATGGTACTATCAGAAGAACAAGAAAGAGCAAGTGCAATGCACAAGCATTTCTGGAGCTTCTTCCCATGTCATGTTTACTAACATCCCATTGGTCTAAGTATTCACAAGGCTGAGCCAAGAGTGGGAGGGCTTTTCAAGTTTACATAGCAAAGGGCATGGATACGAGTAGTGGTAAAGAGGTGGGACCACAAATACAATCTACCACAGAAACCCAAGACTATCTGATCCCAAAGACTGCCCTCCTCATGGATTTTCTATATCATCTCTGCAAATAAGAGGATGTAGAAATATATACACACTATGAACAGGGCCTGGGTCCTTGACCTGATAGTTTACATCTAATTGGGAAGACCAACGTATACAAAAGTGGCTGTGTATTACACAGGAGACTTGATATGTGCTATAACAGAGACCATAAAAAAGTGGTATGATAGTACAGAGAGGGGGATGATTCATTTAACTACAAAGATTTGTTCAGGAGATAATATAATGCATAAGGAAGCATATGCCTCCTAATCTAATTTTAGACATTGACTGTTGATAATATCCTGTTACCATTGGCTTTGGGATTTTAGGGAAGTTGAACCTCAATTTCCTTGTTTGTAAAGTGGACATTATAATAGTGCTTCTCAATGAGGATTTTTATCTGTAGTAAATGAAATGATACATGTAAAACACTTGGAAAATAGCACATAACAGGTGCTCAACTAAGGTGACTTATTATTATTGGAGCAACTGGTGAAATCTTCCCAGAATGCGAGACAGTGCACTATATACAAGTGTACTGGGTACCATATTGGGTTCTGTTTTTTTTAGAAAAGGGGTCAGCTCTGCCAATGCAGACTCAATAAACATTTATAAACACTATGGCAGACACCATGGTAAAGGCTGCTACATACATTGCTTGGACTCTCCATTATCAGGTAAGAGCTTCTCGTTTACTCTTTTTGATATCTGCAATTCTTGAGTCAGAGGATAGACTCTTGTTACAGACTGAACAGAAGGTTTTCTGGAAAGTAAAAACTAGTCATCCTTGCTCTCAACATTTCCCTGTTTTGAATCTAACATCTGTTCTTCTCTTCTTCTCTTTAGCTTGTTTGGTATGGCATACCTCATCTGCAACAGAAATGAGGGTTACCCTTTGCTGGGTAGGTAGTGAGCCTTGATTTTTTTAAACTGCTTTATTGGACTATAACATCGTGCAGAAAAGCACACCAGTGATAAATCTGCAGCTTAATGAATTGCCACAAAGTGAACATGTAATCACCATTCAGGCAAAAACAGCAAAAAACAGCAGTACTCCAAAAACTCTAACCTTCTTCTCCCTTTCCCCCCAAAATCTAACACTCTCGACTAATTCAAAAAGACTTGATCTTGGTTTTAAAATTCATATAGATGACATCATACGTTGCATAATTACATATGCCATCTTGAAATCAACATTAAGTTTTGAAATTTATCGGTGCAGCTTTTATTCATTCATTTTTATTACTATTTAGTATTTCATTTTATAAACATACAAAAATTCATTCTTTTATACATGTGTAGTTGCATCCAGTTTAGGGTTCTTCTGAATAATACTGCCATAAAAATTCCAATATAAGTTTTTTGATGAACACATGTATGCATTTTCTCTTGTACAAGTAGAAGTGAAATTGTAAGGACAAAGAACAGTTTTGGTAGATGATACCAAATAATTTTCCACAATGGTTGTATTTTTTCAAATTTTATCATGAGAATTTCAGTTTCTTCTTAGTCTTGCCAACCACTTAATTTTATCAGTCTTTATAAATTTGGTATTATAAATATGGGGGTATAAAGTGAATGGTATCTCATTATGGTTTTCATTTGTATTTCTCTAATGTGGTTGAGCAACTTAGTTGTGTTATTGACCATTGGAACATCATCTTTTATAAAGTATCTGTACAAATTTATTTCCTGCCTCTCAATTGGGTTGTTTTTTATTATAAATCTGTTGGAACGTTTATATGTTCTGGAAATGTGTCAATTGCCATTTTTTTTAATTGTATGTAACTTCTCCCGTTCTATGCTTGTCTTTTTTACTCCATAATGATATATTTAATGAACAGAATTCTTAATTTTAATATAGTACTATTTATCCATCTTCTCTTTTATAGTTAGTGTTTGCATATACTATTTAAGAAATCTTTCCTCTCCTAAAAGTCATGAAGATGTTTTTATAGATTCTCTTTATTTTACCTTTTACAATTATATCTATAATCTATCTTCCAGTGATATTTTGGTGATTCTTGGTGATAGGGACCCCATTATTAGGAAACTAACCCAAGACTAGTGAGCGAAATAGAGATAAAATGAGGTGGGGATATACCTCTGAAGGAAAAGACCCTATGAAGGTTGACTCGTAGGTTCTGATGGAAGCCAATACTACTACTAACACTTGTATTTTCCACTGCTAGACCTGAATTTCCCTAGAAATATCATCACAAGTTAAATCCTGATCATATCCAACTGTTCTCAGGAAATTAAGCAGAGGCTTAATTTGGGGGAACATTAGGACAGACCATTGATGTCAGCAAAACCTGAAGGGGACATTTCCAGAATACTTGGCAGTTGGGCCAACAGCACTTCCCCAATTTTACTACAGTCAGGTGTTTTTCAGAGTCTGCAAGAAATTCTAATCTTGTAAGTCCAGATCCCCAAACTACTGAAGATTAGAGAGGAGAAGTCCCACTCTCACCTTCCTCTGATGCCTTACTTTCCATTCCAAGATGTGCTTGTTGTGATAATGATTAACTGGACATTAACTGGAAGTCATTACCCCCTTTCTACAAGATTGCAAACTCAGTATGACATGTTGGATGGTCTGGCCCAGACACCTTTCTTGCCTTGGTTCCACCGTCATCAAGTAAAGATCAGGCCCATATGTAATTCTTCAAAGTTATAGTAAAAATCAGACTGTCAAGATATTAGAAGTATGGGAAATACCTTTCTCTTCAGGAGCTCCTGTACCTAAAACTGTATATACTAACAATATAGATAACAAAATTATAATGAACAGTGATTTTGGGGAGTCACAAATACATAAAATCTCAGATATTAAGGCCATCTTTAGATAGACTAGAACAAGGTACACGTACTTTAAGTCAACTCAATCTTATTTTAGATTCCAGCCAATAAGACAACCCATAAGGTCATAATTGTATATGTCCTATATGAAGAGAATATACAGAGGTAGAAAATCCTGCTATGTGGCCCTCTGGGCCTCATCTTTATTTTTTGGTAAGATTTATTTATTTATGCATACAAGAGCTGGGGTACAGGCCAGAGATGGGGGTGGTGGTGGTGAGAGGATTCACCAGAGACAGAGTGGGGAACAGAACAGGCAGACTGACTGAAATACACTGCTGAGGGGAGCAGCGGGCGAGACAGGAGAGGTCTTCCTGGCCATCTGGGTAGCTCCTGGCCAGCAGGGGATTGAACTCATGCTACAGAGGCTGCGGATTGCTTCATAGTGCAGTGCTTAACCCCTTGTGCCACCAGGAAGGCCCTGGACTCATCTTCTGAATGCAAAGCCTCAGGCCCAAAAAGAACAACAGGCATCTCACAAAATTGAAGTTCAAATGCATTTCAGAAAGGCATTGTTTCAGCCAAAAGAAGCAACTAGCCTGCAGAATACTTCTCATTAAACTGTACTCAGAAGTTTACTTACTAAGTAAGACACTTAGCTTCTCTGTAAAGATGTGTAAACTAGGTTAGTGGTTCTGGTTTTCAACAGACATTAAATAATGCCTGGATAAGTCTTTGCAGTAGTTTCCTCCCTGCATTTGTTGAATTACCTACTGTCAATAGAGGTCTAAAATACTGCTTACAATAAGTCCTTTTGAAAGAGAGCACACACATTCAGATAACTTTTATTGCAGTTTATTGTGATTATTGTTCTATTTCATTATTGGTTATTATTATTAATCTCTTCCTTTGCCTAGTGTATCATAGCTAGAAATGCATAGGAAGAAATAGCATGTAGAGAGTCTGGTGCTATCTGTAGCTTCAAGCATCCGCTGGGGGTATTGGAACATATACCCCACAGATCAGGGGTTATTAGTTTGGTAACAAAATAAACCTCTGCAGTGCCTGTCTAGCAATGAAGTGGTGATGGCCCCATGTGTGTTTCCAACACTTTTGATAGAAATTGCTCACTCCTTTAAAATTACAGTTCTACAGTTCTTCCAGCTCCTTGTCCACCCAGCTTTCAAAGACTGTGCTCATGAGTTTCAAATTTCAGTCTGAGTATCCTGTTACATATATATAAAAATACACAAGAAGAATAAGTGACAGGATTATAACTCAAGGTGACTTTGATGTACTATTTTTCCCTTCTCTAAGTTTTCCGTATTTTCTGAGAATGCTTTAGTTTTATAGTCAGAAAAAAATTATAGTTTTTTTTACCAAAAATTTATTATGATAGAAGCAATCTATGCATAATTTTTGAAAGCAAATTGAATTTTCTTATCACTGTTACTTCTAGCAACCCTGATATAAATGTTCTTTTTCACTTATGTCTAGTGTTTTATAAACAGCAAAAAGGCAAAAAGAAAGAAGAGGGAAAAAAACAAGCATTTGGCTCAGATAGCTTTGGCACAATTCTTAGTGGTGTAATCTATACTAATCGCAGTTTTCTACACTATAATTAAACAGACATTATAATTAACATTATGAGAATGCTTTCCCTCACAGCTTGTGGGAATCAAAACTGTAAAACCATATTGTAAATCAGAAAGCTCTAGAAAGAAGATTTTAAAAAATCTTTAAATTGATTGGATTTGCTCCCTTTTTAAAAAATAAAAATAACAGGACGTGATAAGGAGATCAGATACTTCATGTGTAGTATGAAGGAATTTTTGATGTCAAGCTGCAGCCGAGTCCTAATGTATGAAGGATTGTCGGGATATGGAAAAAGCGAGATACTTAAGGAAATTGAGTACCTGGCCCAAGGTGAAAATCATAGGTGAGTGTCTTGCAATGATCATTTTTTCTGAACCCAGAAATTCCTGACATCCTTAAGAGTTTCATTTATTTGAGTTTCATTTATTTGAATGCTTCTCTCCTTTGTACAACTTAACCTTGTGTAAACTGTCTACATAATCTCTCAATTATTGGGCTCCATGCTCCATGTGCTAAATAAATAATGCTGTACAGATTGAACCAAGAAAATGAAAGGTTGAGTTGACCCCTGGAAGTTCTGATCGAATGCCAGGAGGGGCTTAGGTGGCAATATTTTAAAGCTTCCTTGGTAATCCTAAGTGCAGACAAGTTCAAAACAACTGGCATAATGTTGAGACCAAGGCTAGATTGAATCTGCCCAGCAAAGACCTAAGTTTATCCAGCTAATTGACCAGGAAATCACGAGTTCAAACTGCTTAGAGCTGAAAATGGGGAAAAAGGATGGCTCTTGGGATTTTCCTTTGGAAGACAGGACTAATGTACTTACCTCACGCTTTCTCTTAATTCCTATAAGGGCTCTCTTTGTGACAACCCACGAGTTCCCTGACAGAGGAGGACAGTATGGTATTTAATAACAATGCCGATGACCAAGATGATGGTGATGGTGTCTTACATCCATCTGACCTGAAGGCTTTGAGGGGAAAATGCTTATTATCCTTATGCTATTTTTAGCAGTGCTTGTATTCGTTTTAAATGTCAGGTCTGAGGAAAACCATTTAAAAAATGCTTATAACATTGCTGAGGGGATAACTCACAACAACCAGGAGAAAGTCATGAGTCATGTCTTCTATCACAATTTGCCTACTATGTTCCAGGAGCTGATGAGTGCTATAATAGTTTGCTAGAACTGCAGTAACAAATGACCACAAACTGGGCAGCTTAAACAGAAATTTATTGCCTCATGGTTCTGAAGGCTAGATGTTCCAGATCAAGGTTTCAACAGGATTGGTTTCTTCCAAGGGCTGTGAGAGAAAATCTATTCCAGACACCTTTCCTACCTTCTGGTGGGTTGCTGGCAATTTACATGGTGTTCTCCCTGTATATGTGTCCTATTTTAAAAAGAGCAGTTATATTTGTGGCCCACATCACTCCAGTATGACCTCAGCTTAAGTTAACCTAATTAGATCTGCAATGGCCCAATTCCACATTCTGGGTCCTGAGGGCTAATAAGACTTCAACACATGAATTTGGGAGGTTCATGAGTCAACCTGTAACAAGTGTCAATACCCTAAAGACATGTAATAGCTAATCCTTGCTCTCAAGAAGCTCTCACAGAAGGGGGGTGCGGGGGGAGAGAGAGAGAGAGAGAGAGAGAAAGAAATATAGGCATGCAATAGAGTATTATAAAAGCTAAGAGGAGGAGGAGTATGTAACCCAAACTTCAGGCTACAGCTGAGCAGAGACTTACAGACAAATGCGAAAGGGGTGATTGGGAAGAACTGTGAGAAGTGATAACATTCCAGCCTAAAGAGAGAGAATAAGCAGAGGCATGGAGACAAGAAACAGCTTTAAGTGCAGAGAACCATCACCACTGTGTTGGTGGTGGAATACCAGGCACAGAAATAACATGAAGACTTGGAAGATCTTGAATGTTACGGAAAGGAGTCCAGACTTATACCTCTAGGTAACTGAATGATTATAAATAGGAGAGAAGATACACATCTCTCTAGAAACTTCAAGCTTCTGTGAAGGGGTAAGTTCAGAGGGTCCTAATACTAGGCGGAGATGGTAGGACACTATTTAGTAGTGGAGGTGAGAGTATGGGGCCACAAACCAAGGCGTGGTGGGGTAGAACTGGAGAAGAGGGCATGGCTACATTGGATTGTGGAATGAGGGTGAATATCTGAAGCAGGGATAATGAATAGCTTCCAGATAGCTTGGGGCATCTCTGTCAATACAACTGAATACAAAGAGTCAGAACTTTCCTTTAAATTTTATTATTTTCAAAATATATATATTTAAAAACTCTCTTCTGATTCTTGGCTTTCTTATAAATAGGACTATTGCTATTGCATTGACTAAGATCAGCTTCCATCAAAATTTTTATGCCATCCAGATTCTCATGGCCAATGTGCTAGGTTTGGATATTTGTAAACATTATAAAGAACGACAGACTAACCTTCAAAATAAAGTCAAGAAACTCTTGGATGAAAAATTCTATTGTCTTCTTAATGATATTTTCCATGTCCAGGTAACTGACTAGTATTAGACTTCTGCAGGAAATAGTGATGGGCAGGTGCACCAACTCCTCCCTGATGCTTGATGACCAAGTATTTCTTTGGTCTTTATTATCTTTTCTCATCTGGAACATCTGGGTAGTGAGGAAATGACTCCCAATCCTCCCTGAGTGAACATCCACTTTCCTGAGACACATGAGAGGTATCTGGAAATATCCGACTCAAGTAAATTCAAAGAGCCACTTGCTTTTTTCATTTTTTCCCTCTCAGCTTCCCATCACAGCCATACTAGCCTCGCTGGCCCGGGGCACAAGTCACTCTGCTCCCACACATGACTGCCAATGCAAAGATCAGAGCATCCTGTTCTTTCCTGCATTTTTTATATTCAATAATAAAACATTAGAGCCATAGCTGTAAGGGACATTAGGGATTATCTAACACATGAATATTTTAAGGCACAGAACAGTAAAATCATTGGCCCTGGTCATATAGTACAGGTATCCTCTACTGTTTGAAAGTTCATGATATGCCTCTTCACATTTACTAAAGGACCTGTCTTAATCCTCCTTTTTCCTAAGTAAAACAAATGCAAAAAGAATTTTCACTTTTATAACAAAAAGTGATAAAAGCATCAGTGTTGGTTTGGCAGCAGCCATTTTAGAGGCAGCAGCACCCCCAGTGAGAGTGGCCCCACCAGGTTATTCCCAAGAACCATGTTACACCTACTGTGTGACATAGCATTCCTGTAGTTGCCTTTGGTTATTTGTATTTTTAGGATGTATTATTTGGTATGAGTGGTGGGATATGTAGGGGGTCTGGGAAGGCTCAAATTTTTCCATATAAATTCACTATAATCACTTTACTTTATGCTATTTCAGCTTACTAAAGCGTTCACAGGAATGCTCTACTTTCAGTGAGTGGGGAAATGTATAGCTCCCTTTGCTATTTTTCTCATAGTCAATATTGTCATGATTCATTTACAGTTCCCTATTTCACGAGAGGTTTCAAAGATGTCCACTGTGAAAAAACAAAAGCTATTGGAATCATTGTTTATGAAGATCTTGGAGCAAGTAAGAACATCTGTGGGCCCAGTAATGGGGGACAGGAAAATCAGCATCTCACCATGAAGTCCAGTGGCTGAGGGGTACAGAATCCACTGACAAAAAGCTTTGAAATGTGTGAAAGCTTTACCCTACAGTGTTTTATGCTCCTCCATCCTTCCAGACCTTGTCAGTCAGAATTTAGTCATACTTGAAAGGAATCCCTTACCACCCATTTCTCCTGGGAGTTTGACCTCTCCTTAAAGCCAGCCCTCTTTTCTTTCTCTTTATGAGACGCCACGTATATACCTTGTTGTAGGTGTAGACAGTAGTCAGATATCGAGGTTTGAACCCTTCAGATTGACATTTGCTACCTGAGTAGCCTTGAGCAAGGCTATGCATCTTCTGTCATTTATAATAAGGAAAGTACTAGTGCTTAGCTCATAGGGTTGTACAGTTGAAGTGACTAGATTATATGTCTCATTCACCCAAGGTTATCTTTCTGAGTATTGTTGTGACTACCTACTGTATGCTAATCATCACGGTATTTAAATTCTAGTCCCCACCTCTCCTAAAGCACCAGAACCACATTTCTAAGAACTGTCTATATATTCTTCTTGGCTGTAATAACTTACTCTTGATGGGTTATTTTTCCCTACCCCATTAAATCCATTTTTTCCCTTTCCATTGCCCGTTCTTCCTCATCCTGATCCTGATTCTTGATTTAGTTGATGGCAAATTCATTCATGCATCCTTTGAAGTTATCTGTGCTCCCTTTTTCCTCACCAGTGGCCACATCTACTATATCTACTCAGTTGCCAAGTCCTACTATTTTCACTGCAAGCCACCTCTGAATCTTCCCTTTCTCAGCTGCCTGCTGTACTTCAGGATCTGTCTCTTCCTGGACTGTTTCCATAGCTTTCCAACTAATCTCTGTGTCCCACAAGTCCCCATTCCAGTTATCCTCCATGAAACCATCAGAATATATGCAAATTCACCAATGCATTCTTTATACTATCCAAATAATTCCCAGCACTAATAAGATAACAGCCAAAATTAATTTTTTTTTAACCTGGAGAATTTCTACTCATTCTTCAATGTCATCTCTTTAGTGAGAACACCCCCAAATCACTAGACTTGACTAATGCCTCTTGCACTATGTTTCTATAAAGCTGCAAACAGATTTCTTATTATATTTACCACACTCTTGCAATTTGTGACTTATATGCCTGTCTCTTCCCCTCAGGACATTGAGCTTTTTAAAGACAAGGAGCCACTTAATCATCATTGATCAGTAGAATATCTAACACATGTAAATGATCAATACAAGTGTGTGACAATGCATTAAGTTTCCAATACAGCCTCCTCCTCCTCCCCTCCAGGCAAATATACAAGGCAATGTCAGCATTTCCTAAATGTCAGACTTTGGACTTTTTGCATAACAAGTTTGCAAACAAGCTTTTTAAAAAAATTGGATTTTTGAGGTGATGAATTTTAGCCCTAAAGATTCAAAAGGGCTGGGTTTGGTTCTAAGAATCTTTGTTGGTTGCCTTTGTTTTAAAAATGTCTCAGTTGTTTCTGATGTACAACCTAGTTCAGAAACTACTCCTTAAACTATGCTTTGATGTTGTCTATGACAACAATCTTTCCATCATTGTGTGACATTGGCAAGTTACTTAACATTTCTGTACCTAAATTTTCTCAGTAGACATTCATAGCACCGCCTCCTGTGAGTGTTATGAGGATTAAATGATTTAATTTATGTAAAGAGCATCTCAAAGTGCCTGACACAGTAAGTGCCCAGAAAATGTTGGCTTTTACTCACATTAGAAAGAATTCAATTCAGTCTCCACAAATTAAATATGAAGAAACTGGGACCAATGATGTACTAATTAATTCATACCTTTTTTGTTTGCTGCTTTACACTCCTCAATTCACAAATAATTCACTGACAAGGCTACCAACAACTAAAACTCACATTTTCACCTCAAATTTTTAAAGTATCAGTCAAAAACAAAATAATCTCCCCATTAATTAAAATGTTCACAGGGAGAATGAAATGCTATCTTATAACAGAACAGGGCTGTAAGTGCAGGCTTGTTATGTATATGTGACAGGCAAATTATAGCACTTCCTAGTGGTTGTATTATGAAATTTGACATTTTAAACTAACGTCACTGCTTTTGATTTTAAAAACATGGAGAGAAAGAATGGGTTAATCCAATATCTTCTTAAAGGGAACTAGAGGGAGTCAAGAGTAGCTTCAAGTAGTAAGAGAGGAAGGTATTTTCCAGTTAGCCACCTCACATCATGGAAATGCTAGGACCCATTATGCAAGCGGTCAACATTAAAATTTTGGCTTTATATTTTGTTTAACACTGTATCCCCAGCACCTACATCAGCACCTACTCTGGTAGATGCACAATAAATGCTTAATAAGTGAATAAATAATTCAGGCTAGTTAAGAAAGGTTAGTCTACCCAAGAAGTGGCCCATGTGATCTGTTTTTAAGTGTAACATATACTGGAGTTCAGATTAGAATGGCATAAACTGCCAACAGGGCAAAGACTAGATCAGATTCCGTTCTACACTGCGTAGTCACTATCTAACCCACAGGGTAGTTAGGTGCTGAATCTATGTTGGCTGCACATATATGTGAAGAAGAGATCTCCAGGAAATCTTTGTTTGCCAATAGTTTAAAAAGAGTTGTAGTAAACATACATTTTTTTTAAGATTTATTTATACAAGAACCAGGGTACAGGCCAGATGCATGGGAGGGTGAGAATTCACCAGAACCAGGGGAACAGAACAAGCAGACTGATGAAATATACTGCTGAGGGGAGCAACGGGTGCGACAGGAGAGGTGTGCCGTGCCATGTGGGACTCTCGCCGGCCGGCTGGGATCAAACTGGCACTGCAGAGGCTGTGGAAAGTTTCACAGCATGTGGCTCAACTGCCTGCGCCACCAGGGGTGGCCCTGTAGTAAACATATTTTTATGTAATGACTGCTTTTACCTGGCTGCAACCCTGACTAGACTATAGATTTGTATTATATTTACAAATCTGTAGTAGTACATTTACTATCTTAGTAGTACATTTCAGACAGTTCTGTCCAAAATCCCATAAATTCCAAGTTAGTGGAATCTAAATTGATAAGAAAAACTTATCAGAAAAAACAGTTTAACTTAGCACCAAACTCAATGATGGCACAAGCATACCCATCAAATACATGTATAAAAACCATAAATCCTACAGCATGTGTCTTTGTTTCTCTACCTTGTCCAGACAGTGAAAGAGGAGAGGATTATTTTCATCATCGATGAGAGTCAGTTTGTCGATACCACCTCCTGGGCCTTTATGGAGAAGCTTATTCGAACTGTCCCTATCTTCATCATCATGTCCCTGTCACCCTTCGTCAACATCCCCTGTGAAGCTGCCAGTGCCATAATGAAGAATAGGAATACCACCTACATCACTCTTGGACCTATGCAGCCTCAGGACATTCGCAACAAAGCTTGCCTGGACCTCAATGTCCAGGGAATCCCCAAAGAACTGGACTTGTGAGTAGCCTATTTTGGTCTTGTGGGCTTAGCAACTTCCTTTCAAAAAGCTCATTCATCTCACCTGGTAGGAAGAGTGCTGCCCACCTTTTCCTTGTATTGCCCCTTTATAGACTCTTTTTTTTTTTTTTTTTTTTTTTTATAGAGGCATGCTTTATTTATTTGTTTTCTGGTTTATTTGTTTTGTTTATACATGCACTGGGTACAGTCAGAAGCGCGGGAGGGCGAGAGAATTCACCAGAGCCAGAGCGGGGAGCAGAGCAGGCAGAAGGACCGAAGTACACTGCTGAGGGGAGCAGCGGGCGGCAGGAGAGGTCTGCGCGCCATGTGGGACCCTCCTCCGGTGGCCGGGGAGCAGCCGGGGATCGAACCTGTGCCGCAGAGGCCGCGCGCAGCTTCGCAACCCAGCGCTCAACCGCTGCGCCACCGGGGAGGCCCCCCTTTATAGACTCTTAGTGACACCCATGCTGTTTCTCTTTCATCACACTGGATATGGCTAGCCTCACTTTAATTAACGAGGACTAAGGGTGTAGTGATGGACAAGGATACAAAAGGCAAACTGGTTAACACTGAAAACAACACCAAAACTAGGTGACAGACAGGCACTGTAGCTGGGGGTGGTGTTCTCTGCCTTTGCCAGCTGAAAGCTGACTCTGCTGGGTGCTCCCTGAGCTTCAGTGCCCCCTCTACTGGAGGGTTGACAGCAGTCTCCTTAACAACACAGACAAATCTCTTTTTTGGCTGCTAGTTTGCAACCTGCCTTGATAAGTGCAACCATTCTTTCCTTTTTTAAGATTTATTTATTTATGCATACAAGAGCTGGGGTACAGGCCAGAGGTGCAGGGGGTGGGGTTCACCAGAGAGGATTCACCAGAGACAGAGCGGGGAACAGAACAGGCAGATTGACTGAAATACACTGCTGAGGGGAGCAACGGGTAAATCAGGAGAGGTCTGCTGCTCCATGTGGGTTGCTCCCTGGCAGGCCAGGGATCGAACTCATGCTGCAGAGGCTGTGGAATGCTTCATAGTGCTGTGCTTAACCCCTTGCACCACCAGGGAGGCCCCATTCTTTCTTTTTAAAAAAAAAAAATTATATATATATTTTACATTGTTCTTGTACAATGTATGCTTTTTCCTCTCAGGTGTAGTCCCTGTGGAATTCCCACCACCCATTCACCCATGTCCCATCACCATAGCCCCTTGTGCTCTTCCCACCCATTTTGATCCCTTACCCTCCTCCTCCCCTGCAGAATGTCTCTGATTTATAGTTGCCTGTTGATTTTGATTTTTAATTTATTATGATTATTTTTTTCCTGATCCCTTATATGTTTCCTCTACATTCTTCCTGTAAGTGAAACCATTCGATATTTTTTTTTCTTTCTGGCTTATTTCACTGAGTGCATCCATTCTTTCTGATGGTTGCCTTGTTCCTGGAAGAAAGATGTCTTTGACCGAGTCACATTTAAAATAACTCCAGGCATGAATTTGGTAATTTACTCCCTTTGTCTCGGTCTCTCTGTCTATAGTGAATGCTCTCTCTATATTTATATTTGTATCTGTATATATATCATATATATTTATTATGTATGTTATTATGTACGTGTATATATGTGTGTATGTGTGTGTGTATGTTGTGCATTTACCTTTTGATCTAACAATCTAAGTTCTAGGGATCTATTTCAAAGATATATTGACAAAAATATTAAGCCACAAATGTGGGTGTTAGAAAGAAGAAGCATCTCAGAACAATAATGTAAGTTCCCACCACCACGTAGAGCAAATTGAAAGTCCAAGCAAGCAAAAAGGAAGGCAATGATAACAGCAGAAGTCAATGCAATTGAAAACAAAAACAAAAGAGAAAATCAACATAACAAAGAGCTGATTCTTTAGAAAGATCAAGATTGACAAATAGGTAATGAGACTAATAAAAAAGAGAAAGAAAGCACAAATTACCAGTATCACAAATGAAACAGCAAATACCTGCCAATGAGGGAAATGTTTTATGTCATTAACAAATGAAAGAAAAAGAAAAAAGCAATCTCTACAAATAGAAAAAAAAAAATGTGGTGAATGGGAAATGAGATTACTTTCAAGTGATTAAGAACACTCAAATGTTTCTTTCCTAAAATGTTTCCTTGGTTGTAAACAGTTTGCCTCATTTTCTTTACAGGTATCTGGTGGAAGGAAGCTGTGGGATTCCATTTTACTGTGAAGAATTGCTTAAAAATCTTCATCACCACAAGATACTTGTTTTCCAACCAGTGGAATATGAAGAAAAGACAAATATCACCTGGACCAACCTGTTCAGTAAGTCCCCTAAGGGATGGCTTTTCCACTCTGTTCTTCTGCACAGAGGGTGGCAAGAACCGGTCATCCAGGGACTTCCTGTGGATCAAAGGTTCGGGGAGGAACATTGAAACTGATGTCCAGATTGTGAGGGAACTTAGCATTTCCTGGACTCACTGAACTGGGTGAAAGAATGTATAGCTGACATAGTCATAAAAGAACACAGGGATGGGCCTCTCCAGTGGCTCAAGAGGTTAAGCACAGCACTGTGAAGCTATCTGCAACCTCTGTAGCATAAATTCAATCCCCAGCCAGCCAGGGAGCTACCCACATGGCGCAGCAGACCTCTCCTATCTCTCCTGCTGCTCCCTTCAGCAGTGTATTTCCGTCAGTCTGTCTGTTCTGTTCCCTATTCTGTCTCTGGTGAATCCTCTCACCCGTCTCACCTCTGGCCTGTACCCCAGTTCTTGTATGCATAAATAAATAAATATTTTTTAAAAATACAGAGCATGGGCCTCCCCGGTGGTGCAGTGGTTGAGCGCTGGGTTGCGAAGCTGCCCGCAGCCTCTGCAGCGCCGGTTCAATCCCCGGCTACTCCCCCGCCACCGCCACCGGAGGAGGGTCCCGCATGGTGCGCATACCTCTCCTGCCACCCGCTGCTCCCCTCAGCAGTGTACTTCAGTCCTTCTGCCTGTTCTGCCCCCTGCTCTGGCTCTGGTGAATTCTCTCACCCTCCCGCACTTCTGACTGTACCCAGTGCTTGTATAAATAAATAAATAAACATAAATAAATAAATAAATAAATAAATCTTTAAAAAAAAAAATACAGAGCATCTTAAAACCTGGAATCATTATTGAAGGGAGATTCAGGTGGTATCTGGGGGTGGGGGGTGGAGGATGTATCTTCCTTAGGTAAAATTACTATTTCCAAGTAAATTGTTAACAAGGTTCTCATGCTGCAGACACATATGTGAGAATGAAATCTGAAATGATGGTATATTGGAATCTTTAGGAAAATAATTTTAGTGAAGGGTGGGGATTGGAGAATAGGGTAAGAATAGAAACTGGAATGTAGAGGATTAAGGCTAAAGTGAATTATGAGGGAATGTTTGTGGTAGAGATACTATATATTTTTCTGGAGAGTTGGCAGTGAAAGAAGAAAAATTCATAAGCTAGCCCACCCTCCAAAGAAGAAATAAAAATAAGCTATGTCTAGATAAAAAGGAGAAACAGGAAAGTTAAGAGATAATCATCTCTTCCATGAAAAGAGAGCTATAAAGATGCAATCAAGAGAAAAGTTTGGTCTTGAAGTCAGGGCTCCAGAGTGCCAATGCCATCTCTGCTATTTAATTGCTGATATTTGGGGACCAGTCACAGACTTCGCTGGAATGTATTTGCTATTTCATTTGTGATAGTGGTAATTTGTATTTTCTTTCTCTCTTTTATTAGCCTTGTTACCTATTTGTCAATCTTGATCTTTCTAAAGAATCAGCTCTTTGTTATATTGATTTTCTCTTTTGTTATTGTTTTCAACTGCCTTGACTTCTGCTCTTACTATTCCTTTTGCTTGGTTGGATTTTCAGTTTGCTCTACTTGGTGGTGCGAGCTTAGATTATTGTTTTGAGATACTTCTTTCTTATTTTTTTTTAAAGATTTATTCATTTATGCATACAGGAATTGGGGTACAGGCCAGAGGTGTGGGGGGTGCTTCATAGGTTGCATCTTAACCTTTGCACCACCAGTGGGCTCCCAAGATGCTTCTTCTTGCTAACTCCCACATTTTAGTGCTACAAATTTCCCTTTCAGTAGTACATTAGCTCAATCTTACAAATTTTGATATTTTCATTTTTATTCAGTTTAGTGGATTTTTTAATTTTCCTTGAGATTTTTTTCTTTTGTCATAGATTATTTAGACGTATGCTGTTAGTTTCCAAGCATTTGAGGATATCCTTGTTATCTTCATGTTACTGGTTTCTAGTTTAATTTCGTTGGACTTGGGGAACATATGCTGAATGGTGTCCATGCTTTTAAATTTGTTGCTGTTTGTTTTATGGCTCAAGACATGGTCTGTGTTGGTCAATGTTATGTAGGTGCTTGAAAGTAATGTGTATTCTACTTTCATTGGTAGAATGTTATAAAAACGTTGAGTGGATCCTGTTGGTTGATGTGTTAGTGAATTATTCTATATTCTGGATTAATTTCCTGTTTAAGTTATTCTATCATTTGCTGAGAGGAAGATTGAAATAATTATAATTGTGGACATGACCTATTCTTTCAATTCTAACAGATTTTATTTCACATATTTTGTAACTCTGTTTTTTGTTGCATAAACATTTAGGAATGCTATTTTTCTTGGTGTGTTGATATTTTTATCATTATATGGCATTCCTCTTTGTCTCTGGTAACTTTCTTTGCTCCAAAGTCCATTTTGCATCATATTAACATAGCTAGTTCTGTTTTCTTTTGGTTAATAATTGCATGGCATATCTTTTTCCATTCTTTTCTTTCAATCTCCCTAGTTCATTATAATCTCCCTAGTTCATTCATTTCATTACATTTGAATCTCCCTAGTTCTTATAGTTGAGTCATGCTTCAAATCCATTCTGATGATTTTTGTCTTTAATTGGTATATACAGACATTTAATGCAATTACTGATATGTTAAATCTGCCATTTTACCATGGTTTGTTTTTCATGCCTCAAATTTTCATTTCTCCTACTTTCCATTGAGTTATTTCAACATTCTTTAATATTCTATTTTTGATCTCTCTCTATATAGATAGATATGCTATAGATACAGTATTTTTGAACATATCTCTTTTTAGTAGTAGTATAGAGGTATAACATTTTTTAGCAGTTTTACAAATGTATATAGCACTATATATACATAACTTATTATTGTCCACTTTTTGCCACTTCAATTAAAGTTTAAAAGTCTTATCTATTTTTATATCTTTACCCTCTGTTGTTTATAATTGTCTAAAAACATTTTGTCTGTATACATTTAGGACTGTATCAGGAGCTATAATTTTTTTTTTTTTTTAGATTTTTTTTTAATAGAGGCATGTTTTATTTATTTATTTGTTTGTTTGTTTGTTTTGTTTATACATGCACTGGGTACAGTCAGAAGCGCGGGAGGGTGAGAGAATTCACCAGAGCCAGAGCGGGGAGCAGAGCAGGCAGAAGGACCGAAGTACACTGCTGAGGGGAGCAGCGGGAGGCAGGAGAGGTCTGCGCGCTATGTGGGACCCTCCTCTGGTGGCCGGGGAGCAGCCAGGGATTGAACCGGCGCCTCAGAGGCCGCGGGCAGCTTCGCAACCCAGCGCTCAACCGCTGCGCCACCGGGGAGGCCCCAGGAGCTATAATTTTTGCTTCGATTACAAACACAAGTTTTAAAACTCAGGAGAAGGGAAATTCAGTATATTTAACTGCCTTTAACCATATTTTCACTTACTGTGTTCATTCTTTCTTGATGTTCCAAGGTTTCTTTTTTATTGTTTCCTTCTGTTTAGAGGATACCCTTAAGTTACTCTTTAAGAGTAGGTTACTAGTACCAATTCTCTTAGTTTCTCATTAGCTAAGAATAGCTTGATTTTCCTTTCACCCTAAAGGATACTTTTGCTGCATATAGAATTCTGCAGAGGCACAGTTTCTTCAAAATCAGTGATTGTGGGACTTCCTGACCCTTTGCATGCAGTAGGCTTTTGTTTGCAATTTGAGTTGTTCCTGGCTTGCCAGGTGCTTCAGTTCCAAGTCTGGGGTATGAGGCAAAAAGAAAACCCAAGAGAGACACTGGCGTCTTGTTCCTTGGATCCAGCGGTCCCTAGCCCGTCTGCCTCCTCTCCTCCTACCACATCTGCTTAGGCTTGTTTTATATGTAATGGCAGGATTTTTAGTTGTAACTCCTGGGAGTCATAGGGGAAGATTTCCATCTTCCTGGAAGTGGAAGTCTCTTCACTATTTTGTGACTCAATTAAATGATAGTGCTTTGGCAGCAATAAGCACTGAGCACATTAACATCACTAAGCCTACAGAACAAAACCTTTTCCCTTTGAGACTAAATTCAAGGGTGAGCATGTAGACACAAGATCAGCATTGTGCTGAAGTGTGAAAAAGGCACTCACATTGATGGTTTTCTATGCAGGGTAGAAAATTGTCACCTGAGGGTGACAAGGAGGAAAATTTCACATATAAAAATTCCTCTTGCTTCCTGAAAATGCCCTTGTTTCCTGAGTGAATGAATGAAGTTGGGATGCCCATATTCCTCCATGACCTGTGTTTCAGTCTGTAGCTGCCTCTGTATATGTCTGCAGGACCCAAGGGCAGCAGGGTCACATTTAGGAGAAATGAGATGGATGGTGGCCTGAGAGAAGAGCAGGATCTGAGTTGAGGATTTGTTTTTTGTTTTTTTTTTTAAATATTTCTTTTTTTTTTTTTTTAAAGATTTATTTATTTATTTATACAAGCACTGGGTATAGTCAGAAGCGCGGGAGGGTGAGAGAATTCACCAGAGCCAGAGAGGGGAACAGAATGTGGGACCCTCCTCCGGTGGCCAGGGAGCAGCCGGGGATCGAACTGGCGCCGCAGAGGCTGTGGGCAGCTTCACAACCCAGCTCTCAACTGCTGCGCCACCAGGGAGACCCGATTTGTTTCTTTTTTAAATAATGAGAGAATTAAGCTGGTTTTTTTTGGAAAGATTTTTTTTTCACTTTGGACAATCATGATTTCAAAAACAGAAAGCTTTCCCTAGCCAATGGTACTGGACAATGACTGCTATGAACATTATTTTTAAAATAGATAGCTCCATTACAATAACATGTTAGTCCATGAATTAGTGGAAGAAATATGTAAATGTAAACAAAACTGCAGAACAATAATATTGCTTCATTCCATATATTCATTTGTTTGTTTACTCAACAAATATTTACTTAGTGTCTGTTATGAGATCTTTTGAAAACCATCAGATGAATCCCCTGATTATAATTCTTCTGTGTCTTCTGGGGTGGTGAAAAGAAATGTGAAACTAGAGAGGTGCTGGCTGCACAATTTTGTGAATGCACTGGATGCTTTTAAGTTGTAAATATTATAACGGTTAATTGTAGGTTATACGTATTTCACTCCCAAATAAAAATATCTAAATGCAACACGTGATCGCAGACAAATCATACGTTAGGAGAAAAAGGAATGTTAAAGGACAATGTTAATTCAATGGACAAAATTGGAATATAGATAGGGATTATTGCATCAATATTGAATTTTCTGAAGATGGTTAAGTGTACTCAAGTTATATAAGAGAATGTTGGTATTCTTAAGAAATACAGAGTAAAGTATTTGGGGGTAAAGGGGCATGAATTATGCAACTTAGACTCAAACACTTCAGAAAATATGTGAACACAGAGCACAAAGTATAAAACAAATGGGGCAAATTATTTACAGTAGGTAAATTTGAATGAGGAATACACTGTTATTCTTAACTTTTGGTAAGCTTTAAACTTTCTGAAACAAACATTAAGAAAAATCCAAAAAAACTTTCCACTGAGTTTACAATACAATCCAAACTCCCAGCTAGAACTGGAAATCCCCACAAGATAGGGCTTCCACGCCCCTCTCTGACTTCACAGGTGCCGCAAAACGTGCTACAGCCACACTGCCACCACCTGCTCCTACACACACAGCTCCTTTCTGCCATAGGGCTGTGTCCTTTCAGCAGGTGTTTCATGCAGCTGGCTCCTTCCCTCCTAGGTGAGGCATTTCCTCATCAGAGCCACTTTCTTTGACCTGACCATACTCTACAAGAAGGCCTCGGCTCTACCTTCATGTTATTTTTCTATCACCGTGTTTATTCTCACACAACTCAATCACGTTGTGAGATTTTCCTATTATCTATTTATCTGCTATTGGTTGTCTGTCTCCCAATGTTAGAATGTAAGCTCTGGGAGGTAAGGAATCTTAATGCTCCTCAGTCTCTCATCCTAGAACAAAGTTTAGTGCCGTGGGTGTTCAGTTAGTATTATTGGCTGAGTAATTAAAGTTATTATTGATTGATAGCTAGGTCCTGGAAAAGAAAATAAAAAAGCATACAAGAGCATGGAACAAGTCATGGCCTTGATTCTCACTCTCCTGTCTCCAACACACACACAAACACCAAACACACACACACACACACACACACACACACACACACACACGGTTCTCTTTTTAGTATGTGACAGTTCTCTTTTTAGTATGTGACTTTCACTTGGCTTCCCTAATCCAGAACTATTCCTATTCCCACCCCTCTCCTTAAGTCTCTGACCAGTCCTCAGCTTGGTTTCTCTACCTGGGTCTACTCCTCCCTTGAGTACTTTCTTCTAATTCCATCCTTAACCCCTATTGTTTGCTAACTCAGCACTTTCTCCTTTGTTGTTTTCATTTACTCATCTAATCCCTGGCCTCTGTGTGTGTGTGTGTGTGTGTAAGAGAGAGAGAGAGAGAGTGAGAGAGAAAAAGAGATTCAACCACAACCTCTTCATTCCAGACCCATTATTCCAATTACTTATTGGACTATCTGTGTCTCTCCCTGTACCTCCCAGCCTGAGGATGGCAGCACTTATGTCTCTTACCTCCATCACTGTCTTGCCTAGCCCCCCTTTACTCAACATTCTCGGTATTCCTTGCAGTACCACTCACCTAGTCCTATCCAATCAACACTTCTTACTACTCCATTGTTGTAGCTTCTTACACAATCTTCCCTCTCCCAGTCCCTTGCCTTTTCTAAATTCTGCTTCCAGTGTTACTTTCCTAGAAATAGGAAATAGGATTATTACTATCCTCTCTTCAGAAACCTGTGGTATTTTTTCACTGTCTATGAAATAAAGTCCAAACTATCGCTCCAAATACATCTTCCCAAACTATCGCTCCCAAACTATCGCTCTCCCAAACTATCGCTCCAAATACATCTTCCACAGCAGTGCTCCATATTCTATAGTTTAACTACACCAGTCTCCTTCTAACTCCCTAACGTGTAAAGTCTCTGCGGCTTCTATACCTTTGTATTGATCACCCCCTCTATTTTCCGCTTGGAATATCTCTTCATTGTTCAAGATTACATCAAAATGCTTCCTCTTCCATGAAGCCCTTCTGGGTCCACCAAATTTGAATTAATTATTCCTTCTTCCCACAAAAACTCTTTGCTCTTCAGTTCTTCAGTCACTCTTCCTAGTAATATGATTAGTTACTCAAATATCTGTCTCCAGAGATTTGAAGCTCCTTGAGGGCTGGATGCATTAACCATGTTTATAGTTTTCACAGTCAGTGGAGCATAAAGAATTCATAATTATGTACTAAATTGACGGGAATTCTCTGACACCTGCAGTTTGTGCCTACCTGTGTGGGACATATGCTGCCTTGAAGTCTAGCTCATTGTGTATACAACTTATCTCTCAAGGACATTCAGGAACTTAGTTATGATCACCTACATATTTCTTTTTTTAAAAAAGATTTATTTATGCACATAAGAATTGGGGTACAGGCCAGAGGTGCAGGGGTGAGAGGATTCACCAGAAACAGAATGGGAAACAGAACAGGCAGACTGACTGAAATACACTGCTGAGGGGAGCAGCGGGCGAGACAGGAGAGGTGTGCTACGCTATGTGGGTTGCTCCCTGGCTGGCCGGGGGGATCTAACTTGTGATGTAGAGGCTGTGAATAGCTTCACAGTGCTGTGCTTAACCTTGTACCACCAGGGAGGCCCCTACATAGTTCTTTATCATCTATCACAGTGTCTGCAACTCAAGTTTACGTGAATGACTGGGGGATAAATAAGTGATGCATTTTGGAGTACCAGGAGACAAAACTATTGGGGAGCTTACTATTTAGGCTCACCATTTTAACATCTTTTTCTGATTATAACCATGTTTTAAATAAAGTACAGTGCCCCACAGGACTTTTTTTGCATCTGACTGTAGTTATTGATCATGCATGCAAGTTCATGTTACTATATACTATGACACATCCTCATAATGTTTGAAACAAATTTTTGTTAAGCTGCATATACTATGGAATACATCCAATAATTATTACCAATCCTTTTGGGGAAGGTAGGGGAGGCAAAAAATTTTTGAGTAAATTTAGATTTTCACAATCAGGTTTACTTAAAAGACAGTGCACCAGAAGGGTTGGTAAGCAAATCTCTGCCTGTTCTTTGTCCCATGAGCTCCATCTCCAGCTGATTGGAAAATTGGGGATGACAACAGGATAGCCTCTCAGTGCTTCTTCCCTTTTATTTCCGCATAGAAAATTTTGCTAATCCAAGTGAGGAATTAAGAGTACTTACTCTCAATAATGAGGAAAAAAATGAAGTCTGTAACCTTGTTAGAGGTGTCAGATTGAAAAACTTGTCACCACCAGCATCACTGAAAGGTAAAGAAAACCCAACCTGGTATTCATTTTCCAGTACTAAGATTCCTGTTATGCTCTGTCAAGGATTACTTTCTAAAAAGAAGAAGGGGGTCTCATTCATAGCAGGAATTTAGAAAACCTAAATAAGAGACCAGGAAAAAGACTAATCAGTGAAAAATAATCATCAAAATCAACAAGCAACTATAAACCAGAGACACACTGGGCGGGGGCGGGGAGTGGATATTAGGGAGAGACAGGAAGAGGAAGAACTAGAGTCAAAATAAGGAGGGGTGCAATTGTATGGGGAATATAACCAAAAATGAAAATGAATACAAAGATGAAAAATGATATAAGAATTATATAAAAAAATAAAATTAAATAAAGAAAATTAAAGAAAATAAATAAAAAGAAGAAGGGAAGATAGTAATAGATGATGGTGTCAGCCAGGGCTGTGGGAAGGCTCCATGTCAGCCTTGTGGGATCTTGGTTTCTAATTAGGACCCACTTCCCACTGTGCATGTTCTGGAATCCGATTTGAACAAAGTTTTGTTAAGCTGCATAAAGAACAAGGTATAGTACTTTCTTAATTAAATAGAAACCAAACAGTGAGAGAGAAAATCTAATGCTGATTTTCTGCCATCTACTTTCCTAACAAGTGACAAATATGGGAATTTTTATCAGAGATACATTGTGATTCTTCTAAAGAAAAGTAACTTTCAAGCAATGTTCTACTATGAGTTAAATCCAATTCCATGCCATCTATAAATATTCAAATGTTTAGGATGATGTAGATATACCTCAAGGTTCTCACCCTTCAAAGCAGCACCGTTTGCATTTTAGTCACAGTGTCTACTAAAGTAGGAAGGTGGATTATCTTGGTTTCTACAGTGTGGTGTGGGCAAGTTGAGAAATACACATTTTGTTGCTCATAAGTGTGAGGTCTTCCTGGTCAAGATGTTCAGGAAGCCACATGAGCAATGATAGTTGAGCTTAGGCGAGACATTTTGATTGGAGCTAAGAACACCAACACTTGGCCATGAGCCTACAGATGGCAATGGATTGTCACAAGAATAAATGATTCTCTGGGGCAGAGAGAGAAGAGCCTTATTGCTGGGAGGTTCTGGGAAAAAGAATAGTCAGTAAGGAAGATGGGGAAGAGCCAGGTGGCTAAGTCAACATAGAATAGGGGTGTCAGGTCATACCATGACCTGAGGTCAGATTCACCATGACCTCTCTTCTTCTTACACACTCTTGTCACACTTTAACAGAACATCAGAACCCCTTGAAACCCATCTTACTTTTGTGTGGCCATTATGTCATGTATAGCTTTAGACCACAGCATCTGCATCTTTTGAACTCCCAGCACAAATGCCATCTCTGAAGTTGTGTATAAGCAAATATTTCCTTTAGCTTAGCTTGGCTAGGTTTCTGTAAACAAGAACAGTAAAGCAGGGTAGTTGTCCATATCTGGAATGACTAGTTTCCCTACTGTGTGGCTTTGCATTTGCAGAAATCTCTCTGGTCCAGTTGGATAGTATGAGCCTTTCCCACCAGATGCTGGTGAGATGTGCAGCCATCATTGGCCAGATCTTTACTACAGAGCTGCTGTTTGAGGTTCTCCCTTGTTGGAACATGAAGATGATGATCACTGCCCTGGCAACCCTAGTAAAATCCAATGTCTTTGACTGTTTCCGGAGTGGCAAGGACCTCCGAATGGCCCTACGACAGAATCCACCCTCATTTGAGGTCAACTGTCGCTCCCAGTTCCTGAAGCCCACTGCTGGCATGGGTGAGTAAAGCTGGAAGAGACCCATACTGCATCCTAGTTGAAGGCACATCTAGGGCCTCTCTGGTGGTGTAGGGGCCATCAAGTCTCAGAGTTATCAATGCCAGGTTCAATCCCCGGCTAGGGAACTAACCCACGTATAGCACAGCAGACCTCTCCTGTCTCACCTGCTGTTCCCCTTAACAGTGTATTTCAGTAGCTCCACCTGCTCTGCTCCCCACTGTCTCTAGTGAATCCTCTCACCACTGTACCTCAGGCCTACACTCCAGTTCTTCTATGCAAAAATAAAGGCACATCTACATTGCACTGATATTAAGAACTGATTGCAAGTAAATATTAGGAATTGACTCATTGTCCACTGCTTAGCTGAAAACCCTTTCTGCTCTCTCTAGCTCACAGTGCAAGCGAAGAGCTTCTTGAACTGGAAAGCGAAGTGATTGAGTGTCACATCATTCGATTCTGCAGACCCATGATGCAGAAGACAGCTTATGAGCTGTGGCTGAAGGACCAAAAGAAAGCCATGCACTTGAAATGTGCCCGCTTCTTAGAAGAAGATGCCCACAGATGTGACCACTGCCGGAGTGGGGACTTCATTCCCTATCACCACTTCACGGTGGACATTCGGCTCAACGCTTTGGACTTGAATACCATCCGGAAGATGGCTAAGTCCCATGAATTTCAATGTAAACGAACATCATTCTAATTAGTCTTAACTATTCCTGGGGACATGGAGATTAGACCTAGAGGGATGGTCTAGATCTGAGGCTGGGGCACAACCAATGATGAGACTTCAGCAGAGTGGGGGATGGGAAAAATTGGGGAATATGTGAGTAACTGAGTCCAGCAGAACCAATTTCACTGTGCCACTGGCAGAGAGGGCTTGGGGATAAGGACTCTGGTGATGTAGGTTGTGACCCAGAGATCAAATTAAAATGTCGAAAGGGATTATAAAGATCCAGCTTCATTCACAACAAGGGATGGAATCCAAGAGGTTGGGAATGGAATCTGAAGTGATAAAGTGGGAGAAAGAGCAAGCTCCCCAAAGGAGTGCTTCTCATGGACTAGAACAGTGTTGCTTTGTCAGTCTCCTTAGTTTGAAACAAGGTTTTCTCAGGAAAAGAACAGGAGTGGAAGAGAATTAGCTAGGGCTAAGCAAGTGAGGGCTCCAGAAAACAGGACTTGAGTCCAGGGCAGGGATTCAAGATCCTCTGAGAAATAAGGGTTAAAAAGTTACCAACAAGGGCCTCCCCGGTGGCGCAGCGGTTGAGCGCTGGGTTGCGAAACTGCAAGCGGCCTCTGCGGCGCCGGTTCGATCCCCAGCTGCTCCCCGGCCACTGGAGGAGGGTCCCACATGGCGCGCAGACCTCTCCTGCCGCCCGCTGCTCCCCTCAGCAGTGTGCTTCGGTCCTTCTGCCTGCTCTGCTCCCCGCTCTGGCTCTGGTGAATTCTCTCACCCTCCCTCCCGCACTTCTGACTGTACCCAGTGCATGTATAAACAAAACAAACAAACAAACCAGCAAACAGATAAATAAAGCATGCCTCTATTGAAAAAAAAAAAAAACATTAAAAAAAAAAAGTTACCAACAAAAACAGAAACAGCCAGGCGTGGTGGCGCGCGCCTGTAGTCCCAGCTACTCGGGAGGCAGAGGCAGGAGGATCGCCTGAGTCCAGGAGTTCTGGGCTGCAGTGCGCTATGCCGATCGGGTGTCCGCACTAAGTTCGGCATCAATATGGTGACCTCCCGGGAGCGGGGGACCACCAGGTTGCCTAAGGAGGGGTGAACCGGCCCAGATCGGAAACGGAGCAGGTCAAAACTCCCGTGCTGATCAGTGGTGGCATCGCACCTGTGAATAGCCACTGCACTCCAGCCTGGGCAACATAGCGAGACCCTGACTCGAAAAAAATAAAAAAATAAAAAAATTATAAAATATTTAAAAAAATTTAAAAAAAAAAAAAAAAAAAAAGAACAGAAACATACATGTGATCTGAGAAAACAGAGTAGAGGATTCAAGGGGTGCAGAGGCCTGGGAGCTCGGTTACTACAGGTATAATGGATGTCAGGCGTAGGGCAATAATACCAACCCCAGCCCTCATTGGGGAGATCAGGGAGACCCCATGGGCTAGATGGTCAAGCAGAGGACCTCAGTGATTATGGGCTAAATCTAGTTGAGCAAGCAGAGAGCCCTCCTGTATTATAGGGATATTTAAAAATGGGAGAAAATTTATGTGAAGTGCCTAGCACGTAGTAGGTACAAAATACATATTTGTCTCATTGTTCTCCATATTACATGCATTCTCATTTGCTTTTCACATTAACCCTCCAGGTGGAAGATTATTTTCATTTTATAGACAAGAAAATTAAGATTCTGGAAGGTTATGTAACTTGTCCACTGCCACAGAACGAGTGACGGATTTTATTACATCTCATATCAATCTTATCCCCAAGCTCATGCTCTGCTCATCACCCCTGAACTTCCTTTTTCCTGAGTAGAGAAGTGTCTCAGTATGTGTTTGTGTGTGTGTGATAAGATTTTTATAGAACTTTCTAAACTATTGATGTCTGGATATACTGAAGATTTTAAATTCAAGCTGTCTATCTTTTTCAGTCTTTGGTGGACACCAGACATCTCTGGCACATGGACCATTTCCATGACCCACACAACTCATTTATTTGTTTATTTTCTAGTGGAAGAAGAGATCACCTCTTTCAAAATAGGGATTCCAAAGAAATTTGACATATTTCCTGAAAATTTCAGGTACAGGCATAGATGATTGTTTCAGATGTAGAGTATAAACCATTGTCATTAGATACAGAAGAGTTTTAGAATCATTGGTTTGCTCAATACTTTGATCTTTTAGATACAGTGGGGGAAAAGTTGGGGGTGTGCCTGGTGAGTTTGGTCGGTAGTATCTATGCCATTATCCAGCTCTTTTACTAAAGATAATAAAGTTTTAAAAGATATTTCATGTCAAAATCAGACAGTGTCTACAAGTTATTACTACTATTTACTTCTGCATTTGGACAGTTCTGAAGAAATCAGAGAAAAGATTTTGAGTTTCTTGGACTTCACTATAATAAGGATGAAGCTATCTGAGGAAGACATCATCCCTCTGGAATCGTGTCAGTGTGAGGAGATTCTAGAGATTGTCATCCTGCCTCTAGCCCACCATTTTCTGGCTTTGGGAGAAAACAACAAAGCCTTATATTACTTCCTAGAAATTGCATCTGCATACCTCATCCTGGGTGATAGTTATATGGTAAGTTGTTTTTCTCTAGAGCTGTTCTACCCTGGAGACAACTCACAGACCACAGAGTCCTGATCTCCACTCAGATCTCCATTCCTGACAATACCTTTGAAAATCACATTGCTTAGAGGTAACATGAACTGAGGTGGAGGAAAGAAAGTTAGAATAGATTGCAGCTAGCATCACACATCATTTAAAATATTGTCACTTTTAGAAATTTGCCATGAATTATCTACTTGTATGAGAGGTGAGGTTGGGAGGAGGGAGGTCATACCTCATTCCCAAATGATGTAGATGACTCTTGGCCTTGACACTTCAGTTTCAGCAGTTTTTCTTGGTGATGGCCTGGTGGCATTTGTCTTCTGTCCTCCGCAAATACCTGTGAGCATAACACCTGTTGGTCTCTAAATAGGGTGAAATCTGTTTTTAATGTTGTGATCCCCAAAAAGGCTCACCCAATTTGGACCATATGCATTTGCTGCTTGACTATCAAACATGTTTTAGACCACCAAAGAAGCACTAGTGAGAGCATCTTTAGGATAATAAGTTTGTAAATAAGTTTGCAGAGCAATATGTCCCTAGAAAAGAGACTTGATACCTAAAATGAAAAAAAAAGCATTCATTGTTAAGTGGGGAAGCACTGAGCTGAATAAGCTAAATAGGTTTCTTGACTAGATATTTCAGGACCTCAATATTCCCAGATCTATCTCTCTCTTACAATTTTCTTAATAACATTTCATTTCTCCAGCACTTTACTATAAGAATACATCGTATAACATAAAAATATTCTGCCTACTGTTGATATTATTGGTAAGTCTTTAATTTAGCAGCAGGCCATTAGTAGTTAAGTTTTGGGAGAGATATAAGTTATACATAGATTTTTTTAACTGCTCGGGTATCCCTAACACTTGTATTGTTCAAGGGTCAATTTATCTATCTTAAGAATGAAAGTCTCCTGTGCATAGTAGATAAACACAATTGGAGAAGCGGGGAATATGACCAGTGGGTCCCAGAAGAAGGCTTAGAGAGCCCTAGGGGGCCAATGTGATAAACCAGAGTATAAACCCATTTCACTCTGCAGGGAGTGGTAAAGGCTCAGGAAGATTATGATTGAAACAGAACCCTAGACAAGGTCTTAGAATGTGCCATTTTTAACTCTGCCAATAAAAAAATCTAATAGGGGGTCTCCCCGGTGGCGCAGCGGTTGAGCGCTGGGTTGCAAAGCTGCCCACAGCCTCTGCAGCACCAGTTCGATCCCCGGCCACTGGCGAGGGTCCCACATGGCGTGCAGACCTCTCCTGCCGCCCGCTGCTCCCCTCAGTAGTGTACTTCGTCAGTCTGCCTGCTCTGCTCTCCCCTCTGGCTCTGGTGGATTCTCTCACCCTCCCGCACTTCTGACTGTACCCAGTGCTTGTATAAATAAATAAATAAATCTTAAAAAAAAAAATCTAGTAGGGCCAGAGTTCATATCTCCCTCTTCTGCCTCCCACCCCTTCCTCTTCAGTGGCATGTGACTCGGGGATATTGTGTCACACTTCAAGTCTGACCTTGCCTTGATGTTTACTGTGCCAAGATTTTCCTGTCTAGCCATGTTGTAGGAGGTTAAAGATGAAGAGGAGAGTAACTCAAGGTCTCACCTTCTTCTTCTACCTCTCACAGATGACCCTGGCTCAGGAAATGGGGGTGGTTCATAACTCATTCCAGAGGTTTCTGACAGAGACCAGTTTCTCACAGAGATGTGGATGATTTCCAGGGCAGTGGGGACATTGTTGGAAATAGGGAAGTTGGGAATGGAATGAGTCAAAGGAGGACATCACCTGGGATGGGGGGCTTCAGGTAAGGTGACTTATGTGACAACTTGAGGAAAGGGGGAGATTTCTAGATTCATTTCTAGAGTGATAGCGCAGTGGACAAAGATGGACATGAAGACTGCCTATTTCTTCAGTGGGAGAGTTACCCATCCAAACCCAGTCCAGAGTTTGGAGGAAGTCCATTTTAATCAGGAGATGAAGGGAGAGGGGAGTGGGTAGGGATATGGTGAGTAGTGGTGGGATCTGGAACAGCTCCTTCTTCCTGTTTCTCTTTCCACAGTAGAGCCTGAGGGTATGGTCCCTTTTAGGCTGGATTCCTCCTGACTCCCACTTTCTGCTCCTTGTGCTGGTTGCAGGCATATATGTATTTGAATGAAGGAGAGAAATTGCTGAAAACTCTCAAGAGGAGAAAATCTTGGAGTGAGACTTTTGAGTTTGCCACATTTTACAGCCTCAAAGGTCAGGTAAGAAACCATTAAAACATGATTCATTTGCTATTTGCATTGGGGCTTTCCATAGAAAAAGTCATCCCTTGACTTTCTACATCCTTCTCCCATCCCCTGCTCTAGCTCCTGCCCCAGTCTTCAGAACCCCAACCCCTGGACTCAAACCTCCCCACTGCCATTTGCCAGCAGCAAGATCATCCCTGCCTTCTCTGTTGACATCATTATGAAATATTTTTTAATTGAGGTGACATTGGTCTACAACACTGTATATGATTGAGAGGTATAGAATCACAACTCACCACGTACCACACCACACCACACCTACCAAGGCACCCATCGTCCTCCACCATGTCCATTGGGGCCCTTCCACACTTTGCTCTCCACCCTCAGTTTTACAGTCAGATTTCTAGATTTGGTTTTGGTTTGGTTTAAGTCTCACTCTTGTTTCTCTATTCCACAATAAGTGAAACCATCCTGTATTTATCTTTCTCCTTCTGACTAATCTTGCTTAGCATAATCCCCTCCAGTTTCATCCTACCAACCTCCAAAAGTAGACTTGAATGGGTAAACATGTTCTCAGCATTAGATGATCTACAACAAAGATGCCAAATCCTAGTCACTCAACCATCCTTCCATGCACACATTCAATAAACATTGTGCGAAGCACAGGGGATTTTATTCCTAAGCCATAAATCACCTTTCTGGGAAAAGAATTCCAAAGTATGTGTTGTTGGAACATCCCAACCAAGTTCTACATCATTGCTTTCCCTTTCTTCTCCCTCCTTTTCTCTGTAGGTCTGTTTCAATATGGGCCACATGGTGCTTGCCAAGGAAATGCTGAGAAAGGCATTGAAGCTCCTCAACCGAATCTTTCCTTATAGCTTAATCTCTCTATTTCTCCAGACCCATGTGGAGAAAAATAGACACTATCATTATATGAATCAGCAGGCCCAAGAGAGCTCACCTCCAGGGTAAGGGAAGATGCTGGGGATAGATGGATGTCTTATGTCAGTCCCCAAAGGAGAAAAATCTCCACATTGCTCCAGCGGTCAGCCCCAAAGCTTGGGCCTCTAGGGGGCACAAGGAGTCCTGTTGGCCTACAGGTGGGGGTGGGGACCAGTGTGGGCAGGGCTGAGTGGGGGCAGGATGTGCAGACCAGGGCTGGGTTGCCGTGAACAATTCACTGGCAGCTGTTGTCAAAGAGAGTTCAAGTGACAAAAAGTGTTGCCCCTTTGCAAGGTGAGCTCCAATGCCCTCTCTCTACCCACCTCTACCACTATACCCTCTGGCCTTCCATGGTCCAGTAGGAATCTCACCACCATTTCAGGGAGGCCCAGTCACAGCCCTTTTCTTTTTTTTTTAAAAGATTTATTTGTATTTATACAAGAACCGGGATACAGGCCAGATATGCGGGAGGGTGAGAGGATTCACCAGAGACAGAGTGGGGAACAGAACAGGCAGAATGACTAAAATACACTGCTGAGGGGAGCAGTGGACAAGACAGGAGAGGTCTGCCATGCCATGTGGGTATCTCCCCAGTTGGCAGGGATAGAACCCGCGCTGCAGACTGCGGACAGCTTCATACCACTGCGCTCAACCACCTGTGCTACCAGGGAGTCCCACAAGCCCTTTTCTATTGAGTGCTAAGGTACTGGGCATTGTCCCCTCCCCAAAGAAAAACAACAGCTCCTGAAGACGTTTGCCAAAAGACAAACCCTCCCACCCATCTAAATATCTCAGTAGCCATGTGGATGACATGGAAATATCCATAGATCTAGGTCTAGACTATAGAAATATCCATAGGTCTAGGCTACACCATTAATATTTCATTGTATGTAAATTTTATGTATAAAAGAACTTGAAGAAATAATAATGGAATGGGGGAAGGAGAAGCAATAAGTGGAGAGATAGATGAAATAAAAATGTTAACAGTTGTTGAAGCTGAGTGTTGGATATATGTGGCTTATATTTTTTTATTTTACTGTGTGTGTGTACTTGAAGTTTTATGAAATGAAAATTTTAAAATATTTTCCCCTTATCTGGTAGTCCATATGAAGGGAGATGCCATCTAGTTGGACCTGAAGTACTGACAGGAGACCTCTCTTCCACCTTGGGAGAGACTGGTAGCTGTATTCCCGTAGCTTGTCTGAGATGCGAACACCTATTCCTAGGAGTAGGCTGCTACAACTCTTGCAACAATAAGAAGCATTATTTAATGTTAGAGTTGCTATATCCTCATGAATACCCTGTATTAGAAGGGATTTTGTCTTCTCTGTTTCCTTTGAACTTTTACAAAATAATTCCCACAAACAGAATCGGTGTCATCGAGGACAAATTTGAAGTATCTTGATTTCTTCAAGCACATTTAGGAGAGCTCTTCCTTCTCACTTTTATTTAAAATCTGCTTTTTGATAAATGTTTCTAATTATATTTTGCTTTCTTGGTTTGGTTAAACTACTAGTAAAACAGCCATCCTGTTTAGGTTTCCATTTTCTCAAAAATAGGGGATTCAATGGCCTGTTGAGACCAGGACCAGGAACCCAAACTTTATCACAGGTGGCTATCCATCCTCTCCTTGATTACCTCCAGCACAGGAAGTTCACCACAACTTACAACAACACATTCTACTGGTGAAGTGTGTCTTTCCAGCTGCTATAACAAAATCTCACAGATAAACAGTAGAAGTCTATTGCTTACAGTTCTTGAGATTGGGAGTCTGAGGTCAGAGTAATAGCAAAGTCCAGTGAGGACCTTTTCTGGATTGCAGACTCATGTCCTCACATTGTGGAAAGGGGAGTTCTGTTGGGGCTTTTTTTTTTTTTAATATTTATTTTGTAGAATAACTGGGGTATAGGTCAGAGGTGTGTGTGGGGGGGGTGAGAGGATTCACCAGAGACAGTGTGGGGAGCAGAACAGGCAGATCTACTGAAATATACTGCTGAGGGGAGCAGCGGGAGAGACAGGAGAAGTCTGCTGCGCCAAGTGGGTCAGCTCCCTGGGCAGGGATCAAACTCAGGCCGTAGCAGCCATAACGCTGAGACTTAACCCCTAGGGCACCAGGGAGGCTCCAGTGAGACTTTTTTAATAAGGGCATTAATTCCATTCATGAAGGTGCTCCCTCATGACCTAATCACCTCTCAAAGGCCCCACCTACAAGTACAATTTGGAGGTTAGGATTAAAATATGAATTTCGAGGGATGCATTCAGACAATAGCAGGTTGTCATTCATTAAGCTGGACCTCACTTCTGATAGCAATGTGCAAATATGGAGGAAATTACCCAGTGAACTAGCTGTGCTGGAGATGGACAGATGGGCATGAGTCATGACATCTCACATTCAAGCTGTGTGACTCTGAGTTAATTACTTAACCTGTCTGAATCTCACCTCTGCTTATATACTATGGGATTAATTATTCCTCCCTTTCTTACAGGGTTGTCATCAGAATCAAAAGTGGCGTGACACAAATGTGCTTTTAAAATAGCTTCACTTAAATAGCTATGCCTTGACAAGGGACAGGTGATTTACACAAATTATATTCATTAATCATTACCAAGTAGCTCTAGCAAAAAGCTCAAAGTAGCTCTTTGAATAATTTGGTTTAAACAATGATGAGGAAAAAGCAAAGATGTTATTAGGGGAACTGGCTTAACTATATGTCATTTCACTTCAAGCCAGTTTCCTCGTGATATTAAGTGAGGACTTCCTGTGTTGTGGTTCCATTTTGCAGTAGGGAAAATGATTAAAATTCATGGCCTGGTCAATCAGGAAAGGAGGCCGGCCTCCAACCCAAGTCATTTTTGACCAATAAGCCAGTGGTGAGGACTCTGCTCACCTTTGCCCCTTCACGATGACATGCAGATGACAAAACTTGATTTCTGGGCCCTTTTTGTGTTTGATCCAACAGGAAGAAGAGGTTGGCACAGCTCTACCAGCAGATCACCTGCTTCTCCTTGCTGTGGCAGATCTACAGCTTAAATTATTTTTTTCACTGCAAGTATTTTAGCCACCTGGCCGCTCTGATGCAAGTGAACACCGCCCATGAAACTCAAGATGATTTCCAGGTAGGGTTTTGTGTAGCTGTTTTTTAAATTTCTGAATCTCATTTGGAGAGGAAAAACCTAGTGAAAGTTGGGATTCAAGATCACGAGGATGTAATAAAAGCCTCTGGGCTTATTTGTTTTACCCAGGCCAGCAGGTCTCAAACATTTTAGTTCCAGAATCACTTTACACTCTTAGTTATTGCGCAGGAACCCCAAACAGTTTTTATTTATATGGGTTGTACCTCTTGATATCATTATATATGAAATAAAAACAGGCATTTAAAAATATTTTAATAAAACTAATAAACCTATTACATAGTAACATAAGTAACATTTTCATTTAAAATCTCCAAAGAAAAATTTAGTGAGAAGAGTGGCAGGTATTAATTTTTGTAAGTAGCTTAATGTCTGACTTCATAGAAGACAGCTAGATTCTCAGTCTGCTTTTCCCTTCACTCTGTTGCAATATCACACAGCTTGTCTCTGGAAAATTCCACTATGTACTCAAGAAATAATGAGGTTTAAAAAAGGAAAACGTTAAAGGACAATTCTTTTAAAAGGATAAAATTATGACTCATACTAAAAGAACTTGTGTCAAAAAGAAGTCATGTCAAAGGTTTTATTCAACTCATTAATTAGTAGGCTATTTCAACTGGTTCCAAGAAGAATTCAATTTATGAATGGATGTAAAGCTGTAATCACTTGTGTTCCACCAAACCTATACATTCCTATGAAAAAGAATTAATATCCATTATTGTCAGTTTTCTATAGCATAAGAGAGTTCTAAAGTACCCCAAAGACTATGGGAGGCAGAAGTAACACTGACAAATCAGCCAATCAGGGCACCAGTAGATTTTTTTTTGAGCGGGGTGGCTTTTTAAAAGTCTTTCATTATTTTCTCTCACATAAATACAAGCGTATCTCGAGATATTCCAATTTGGTACCAACCACCACAATAAAGTGAATATGGCAATAAAGAAAGTCCCACAATTTTTTTGATTTCTCAGTGCATCTAAAAGTTATGTTTACATTATACTGTAGCCTATTAAGTATGTAATAACATTGTATCTAACAAAGTTATGTACACACTTCAATTAAACATCTTTTATTGCTAAAAAATCTGAACCATCACCTATGCCTTCAGCAAGTCATAATCTTTTTGTTGGTGGAGAGTTACAATACTAATGTCAAAGAGCACTGACCACAGATCGCCATAACATAAAGAAAAACTTTGAAATATTGCAGTAATTACCAAAATGACACAATCACATGAAATGAGGATAGGCTACAAACTTTCAGTCTATAAAAAACATAGTATCTGTGAATTGCCATGAAAAAGGTATGCCTGTAAATATCTTACTATTCTGAAACTAGCTTTGACCTATTTGCACACTCCCTGAAGGGGTCTCAGGGACCCCTCAGTCCTGGGACTATGTTGGGAGAACCAGTAATCTGGTCATAAACTGTGAACTCTTTGCATGAGGAAAACTCCAGAAGACAAGATCATGAGATTATTAAGCTAAATCTAACTCATCTAGTGAAATTGACCTTTATAAAAATACATCAATTCTGGGTATATCTGAGGCAATAGATTTCTTAATTATCCAAGAATTAAGGGAAATGGACAAGTAGCACTATAAATTTGGGAGGAGCCTAAATTCCTAGCCTGGAATCTGTCCATGTTTTAGTTCCTTTGAGTAGACCCAGGCTGGCTCAGCCAGGATAAGTATTTATAAAATCCATCAGGTTTGGCCTCTGCCCAAAACCTATCATCCTCTGCTAATTCTTGGAATCACCAGACCCAAGGGTAATGGGCCTCTTTTGGTTCCCCAAACCTTTATGTTCAATTGCTTCTTAGAGTCTTTGGCTGGATCTTTCCTCTGTTTGCTGAACACAACCCCCTAACATTTACGGGGCTCTCATCTTGAAGTCACACCCTTATTCTCTTTTTTTAAAAAAAGATTTATTTATGCATACAAGAGTTGGGGTACAGGTCAGATGTGTGGAGGGTGAGAGGATTCACCAGAGACAGAGTGGGGAACAGAACAGGCAGATTAACTGAAGTACACTGCTGAGGGGAGCAGTGGGTGAGTCAGGAGAGGTCTGCTGCATCATGTGGGTTGCTCCCTGGCTGGCTGGGAACTGAACCGGTGCTGCAATGGCTGCGGACCGCCTCATAGGTTGCGTTTCAACCCTTGTGCCACCAGGGAGGCCCCCCCTTATTCACTTCTAACCTGTCACCCTATTTCAGTAGCTCTCATTACCATCTGACATTTCTTGTTTGCTCCTTTGTTAGTACGTGGTCTGTGGCCCCTATGATTACCCCGTAAGCTCTGTCAGAGCAAGAACCTTGTCTGTCACCTTGTTCACCCCCTGGATTCTTAGAACAGCGTCAGGCACATAGTAGGGGCTCAACAAATAGTTATTGAGTGAAATGCTTTAATTTTCCACACTTGGGGCTATCTTCTAAAACATGGTGGATTTGGGGAGGGGTGGCAGAGAGGGTAAAATGAAGAAGTCAAAATTGGGAAGTGAATGAAAGACACTGGTTAACAAGATGGCTGTGATTGAGAGCAGCCAGCCAGGAGAGTGCTCCCTTGGGTGTTCAAAAGCAGGTGAAGTCTACAGTGCAGTGTGATAGAAGGAACCAGAGTGACTCTGGGGGAATAATTTCTAGGATGCCATTCATCCACCATGTGACCACTGGCAAACCGCATAATTTTGTATTTTCCTCATGAAGTGAAGTAATTGGATTCCATTGTCTTGGTCCAAATCCAGGAAGCCCTAGGCTTGATTGCACCTTTGGCTTTTTCCTTTGCCCAACAATTCTATCTCCTTCAGAAGATAGCCACTTTTGGCTATTCTGTCCTCCTGGTAGGATTATCTGAAACATGTTCTAAACCAGGAATAAAGGAATTTCCTAGAATCAACTTTGTGGTTTAAACCAGGAATAAAGGAATTTCCTAAGATCAGCATTGTGGTTTAATAAGTCCCTATGGAACTGCCTATAAGACAGAATTTGTGTGATTTTGTGAGATTTGGAGAATTCCATTGAAAAAGTTCTTCTCCCAAGTCCTTCCCCCACCACAACATCCAACACTCCCACCACTAGGGATTCAGTATTTCTATTGTTTGTATCTCTTAAAGCAATTTTTATGTATTTTTTAAATAATAAACTGCTTTTTAATAGGAACATTTTTCTCTCCCTAAGAACTTATAGACTGAAGCAATTTTATTTTTTTAAAGATTTACGTAAAGAGTAACTAGTTTCTCTTAAATCTCCCAATTAAATTTAGAATTAGTCCTTCAGTTTTTAAGAAAGCAAGCCAAACTAACCCAAACCAACCTTTTTAGAATTAAATAATAAAACTAACATAAACTTATTATAACAAATTAAACATCCCAGGAATGCATAATGTAAAGAGTAAAGTCCTTCTTTTCCTTCAAATCTTTTCATCCCCCTCCAAACGGGCAACTACTATTTATACTTGGGAGTGACTCTTTCCAGGCCTTTGCCTATGTAATCATATATCCACACATACAAACGATTATTTCTCTTTTTCACAAATTTAAATTTTAAAGACTGTGGGCAAGAGGAGCCAGTAACCTTGTCCTGAGCAAGCCAGTAAATAGGTGGCAGAAACCCAGTTAAATTTCTCTATTTGAGCCTGTGTGTTGGCCAAATCACAGCTCTGTTCCTAAGTTGATAAACACATGATTACTTGTGAACACTGGGTGATGTCCCTGGCTTTCTGCTTTGGCTTCCATCTCTATCTTGCCCCTTCTCTCCTCCATGGTTGTCATTTCAGATCATTAAGGCCTACCTGGACTACTCGCTGTACCACCAGCTGGCCGGCTACCAGGGCGTGTGGTTCAAATATGAAGTTATGGCCATGGAACAAATCTTCAACCTCCCCCTGAAAGCCGAGGGCATTGAAATTGTGTCATATGTGGCTGATACACTGAGCTACATCAAGCTCATAATGGGTCACTTGGACTTGGCCATTGATTTAGGTATGGGCTGATGGGGCAAGAAGGGTCATGCAGGCATAAGTAATACCCAGAAATACATTGGAAGTGTTTTCTTCCCAGGCTCTCGTGCCCACAAGATGTGGACATTGCTCCGGAATCCCAAGAAACACCGTCATGTCCTCTGCTGGCTTAGTAGATCTATCTTCTTGAAAAGCAGGTATTTATCTTAAAGTACTTCCTAAAATATTAGGGGGAGAAAGTCATATTAAATGTTTCAGCTGTAGGGTGGAGAAGAGAGGCAGGGTTTCCCAGAAGATGATGGGACTGATAATCATCATTGTTGGGTTCCACTGCTCTTTGCATAGACGACTTTCACAAGCATCATCTCTAATCTGCTGGGCAACTGGAGGTGAGTCAGGCAGCCATCCTCACTATGGGAATCAGGACTCCAACAGTGCCAGGTGGAAGAAAAGGGAAATGTTTCCTAGCAGATGCAAATGAGAATAGAGAGCAGGCCAACTGAGCCTGACTGTGGTCACCCCGATATAGAGGTCTTTGAAAGACAGCTTGAACAAAGAACTAGTCTGAGACTTAAGGATGGATTTAGAAGTTTGTTTAAGGCTCCCATCTAGTTCTGAATTACTGGGCAGGACTGAGACTAAACCAGGACTGAATTTCATCTTCTCTTCCTGACCACCCCTTAATCTCATTACCTTCCTTTTCCATAGACCCAAGCAATTGATCCAGGTGCTGGGGTGGCTATGGGATCTCTCTGTAGCAGAAGAGCACATCTACAGCAAGGCATTTTTCTATTTTGTCTGCCTGGACATCATGCTTTATTCTGGTAAACCTGACTAGAAATTTACTAGAATTTACTAGTAATTCGGGTTGGGGTAGTTGTGTTGGTATGGTGTGGCAGTTGTCAACGCTGAGGCATTGAGACCACTGAATTTCAGTCTGAAAAAGAGGTATACATCAGGCAAGGGGACAGCATGAACTGAGGAACCATCTGGAAGATACAAGAATTGTAAGGCATCAACAAGTAGAAGAATCTAAAAGAACCATTGGACATAAAATTCCAGTTAAAGTACTGGATCAATATTTACCAAGTAACAGTAGCTGATAGTAACTTACTATATGTATGCCTTTACCTAGGGTATTTGACTTTTAATGGGATACACTTTGAGACTGTGCTTTAGAGTGAAGGATTAGATCACTTACCATGAGTATTCCAGGCATTGGTGGCAGTCCGCACTTTGGAAAACAAGTTCTTTCTTGATAACCTTCAATTTACACCCAAAGGGCAGCCCTTGGTGTATGTAGGGGCAGGAAGAGCACGGAGCAGAATCTCGATGATCCTGTGCAGATGGATAAAGGAGAGTCCTGGAGCCCTCAGTGACTTTTTCAGGGTTTTATTGGGTTTTACTAGGTACATGGCAGGCAGGGGTGCCATGGGGCCAGGAGGCTGGCAGGCCTCCTTCTGGGCTCTCCGGCATTCTCTTTTGGTCCCATTCTCACTCTTCTGCTTCTCTTCTGGTGGTTCTGCTCCACTGGCGTCCAGTGACGCCACCCTTATGAGCCCCGTCTCTCAGCCCAGGTGAACCCACCTACACATGCCCACACCCCACTCCAGGTGTCCACCATCAGGCATGCAATCAGGTCAGGACCACAGGGATCCATCATCAATCCTAATGGTAGGAGAGCAGAAAAGCCTGACAATAATTCACCCTACAGTGTACATATTAAATCAGAGGGGCCAACCTGGGCATTCTCTTCCCCAAATCTGATCTTGAAAAGGGATGCCAATAAAGGAAAATGGGGGCCAGATGAAGGCCTGTTTGCCCTAAGGCCCACAGGTTGGATTTGAGCACGGAGGGCTGGTTTAACTTGGTGAATACTATGGAATTGTATTATATATGCACAAGCTTTCACCAAGGCTGGAACTCAGCAAACATGGGCAGCAAAGTCACATGATTGTTGCCATCCAGCAGACCCTTTGGATTCATAAAGCAATCAGAGACTAAGGCTTTCCCCCTGTGGGAAAGGGGGGATATTCTCTTGGGACTACCAGGCCTAAGAGTTGACAACCCCCGCAAGTGTCCTGTTCCTTTCTTTTTTAGGCTTTATTTATAGGACATTTGAAGAGTGTTTGGAATTTGTACAAGAAAATGAAGACAACAGAATCCTCAAGTTCCACAGTGGAATCCTCCTGGGACTTTATTCGTGTGTAGCTATCTGGTAATGATGTGTTTATTGCATATCATTAAATCCCCAAATTTGAAAATGCTGAATCCTGACAATGAGTTCTATGAGGTTTAAGAAAAAAGGAAAAGAAAAATATTTATTACTCATAAGTAACTTATAAATTTACTTATAACTCATAAACAGGTTGAGGGTCTCAGAGTAGACTTACACTGAGAGACACTTTGGGGATCATCTAGTTATTCCCCTCAACCAAGGCCAGAAAAGTGTAATCAGCTCAGTGCAACCAGCACTGATTTTGCACACGTCATGGTGGGGGAGTACAGATGATTAAGAGAAGAGTACTTACTTCGGAGGGGTGTGGGATTTGAGGGAGACTCATAGCATCATTTGCCCACCTACCCCCAAGATCTAATCATATGGAAAACCACTGTGGTAGAGCTGACATTGGAGACTATGGATTATATCTGCAGGCAAGTGGGCTTCCTAATACCGCATCACTGGATTACACTTGCCCACTCAGCAGCAGGCAGTGCTGGAGAGCTGCAGGTTTTCCCCATCAAGTTGGCCTCTTTCCACCGCACAGCAGACAGAAGGGCAGTAGCGCACTCCCTGTGGGCCTCCTTGACTCTAAGACTAAGGAGGAGGGCAGGCTTTTGTGCCAGCTGTCTCATTCCTCTCTAAAAGCCACCAGCCAAGGAAGTCACCCCTTATGATTGGAGGAGCAAGTGCAGCAGGGAAGAGATGTGGCACTTTGACCACCCTTATGTGTTAGGAAACTTACAGAGTGAAGAGTCCTCCCCCTGTACTCCCCGCAACTCATAAAGTCTGGGCTTAATCCCTTTAACCTATTCAATTCCTACCTTAGTAAATCTGTAGCTCTGGCTTTGCCTTCAAGAAGTAGATCAACAGTGAAGTTCCAGAGGTTAATTAAATTACTTCCACAGTTATCCCCAAGACTGAAAGCCATTCCCTATCCTATTTCCCACCTCAAATCATATATGGAGCCATGTTGTCTGCTATTTAGAGATTTTGTGATGAGGTAAAATGCCAATATGAAGACATTCCTGTGTAAAGTACCACAAACCAGAACAGTCCAAATTTGAACAGAAATCGCCTCCACTTACAGAATTCCCTGAGAGAAATGAAAATCCAAAAATCATTTACCCTGCTAGTTAAAGTCCAAAGAAATTAAAATTCAAAATAAAAAAAAAAACTTGCCCTTGAGAGTTAAAATGTAAGGACTCTAAAGTTCAAACATCATTCTAATTTCTTATTCCCTGTTTCACATGGAACAGTTCTTTTAACAATTGTGGCCTGGGCCTGTGCTTCTCACACTTCAGTGGGCATTGTAACAATAATAACCATTAATAAAATTAAACAATTATAATGTGCTGTAGTTAAGTCAAGTTCATGTGGTCTCTTTCTGCACCTCCCTCCAATACCATATTGTATGTAATATTTTCAGACCATGATTGACCATGAGTCACTGAAGCCATGAATCAAAGGGCACTACTGTAATTTCTGCAGATAGGCAGGCAGCCAGCTTCCAGAAGCCCAGGTACTAGGAACTACACCTCCAGAGAAATCCATTTCAGAAAATCAGTCAATCCCAAAAATGATACTGAATTTTCTGTATTCTTGTGGTGGTGCAGGTATGCCAGACTGCAGGATTGGGACAAGTTCCACATATTTTCTAATAGAGCTAAAAATCTAGTGCCAAGAAGAACTCCAACAGCTCTTTACAGTGAAGGGATCAGTAGGTACATGGAGGCACAGGTTCTCTACCTGCAAAAACAAATTGACGAACAATCTGCAAATGCTCAGGACACTGGTGTTGAGCTACTCAAGGTGAGGTCTAGTTTCTTCCTTCCAGTGCAAATCAGTCCTTAAATGGTTTCTATCTCCTGTGATAATTATTTTTTCTGATTACAGACTTTATACATATTTCTATAGTAAGTAATCATGTAACATCAATCAGTTCTTAGAAACTGACTTAAAATGATGTATAACAAAACCAATTTGACCATAGTCTCATGTTCCCTCCATTTGCACTGGCATCACACACACACACACACACACACACACACACACACACTGACTGACTGACTGGGACAATTGAGATACGCCAGTGAGCCTCACATGCATGTCTTTGGGATGTGGGAAGAAACTGGAATCCCAAGAGAAAACTCACAAAGAAATGGGGTGAACATGCAAACCCCACAGAGATGGTGTCCCTGGCCAAAAATTGTTTTTTTTTTTTTCATCAATGTTATAATGAAATGACACTGAATGATCTGCTGTATTACAAGGTTTTGAAGGTACGCCCTTCTCCCCAAAGTAGAAGGAACTCTATGTCGCCCTGTAGGGTAGGTAAAAGGTATCAGGCTTTTCTGCCCTCCCACCATTAGGATAGTCGAGGGAACCCTGTGGTCCTCAATGCATGCCTGATGGCGGCCACCTGGAGTGGGTACACCTGGGCTGAGAGACTGGACTTTTAAGGGCGGTGTCACAGGGATGCCAGCATCAGCAGAAGCCGAGAAGTGGAAAATCAGGAAAGCAAAGAAGCAGAAAGAACGCCAGAGAGCCCAGAAAGAGTTAAGACTTGCTGGGGGCTGGGAGGCCTGCCAGCCTCCCGACTCCCCAGCACCCCTGCCTGCCGTGTACCTGGTAAGTCCAAATAAAAGCCTGCAAAAAGCCACGGAGGGCTCCAGGACTCTTTTCTCCTTTATCCGGTCTACTGGATCAGAAAACCTGCACTGTGGCCATTCCTGACCCTACAATTGGCGTAAGTCGGCAAGATGATCCATGCAGACGGGTATGGAGCCCTCCGAAGACCTGGAGGGACTAAGGAGTAACAGACTGTGTTTGCCTGTGAAGACACTGGAGGCATCATGGCGGCACAGGAGAGGGACAAGGTCCAGGAGCTGCGGGATGAGACCTTGCATGAAGGAGATGCCCGAGAGGACCAGCCAACGACCCCTGAGGCAGCTAGAATCGTTGGGGAAGAGAGGGCCACGATTCGGAGCTCGCCAGTGCTGATGGCAGGGAAAGGCCTAATGGACTTGGACTGATGTACTTGGGCTGACAATCCTGCCAGAAGGCAGAAGAACTTTGGCAAGTTAATGTTGTTTTGGGACCCTGGGGAAGGATTGTTTGTACACCCCCGGAGATGGGAATCTGGGGGTGGCCAGTGGGCCTCAGTGGCCAAAAGCAGCCTGTGTATGCCCAGCAGCCAGGCAGAGGAGAAAAGCCAACTGAGAAGGCAAAAGCTGGTGCTGATGCTAAGTTTGGGAAGCCCTGAGTGGCTGCTCAGCACTAAGTAAGCTGAGGAAGGCCAGTGAGTCTCGTAAAATCACCTGTGGGTGATGCCCTGCTCGTTGTCGAGTGAGGGTGAGGAGCTGAGGAACCCGTCCTTGGGGGACGGGTGCGGAACGTGGCTTGGGGTGGAGCCCAAGCCGAATGTAGAGCTTGTATCCAAGGATCCCCGATCCATGTGCTTGTGCAGTGTGTTGGCCTGAGTGCAGGGGTCTGCGCGTCGCATTGGTGCCTATGAAAGCCTAATGTTGGAGTGACAGCAGACAGAAACCCTGAGGGTTGGGTGATTACCCTCAAAGAGTAGAGAATCTCCAATCCAGGAGTGAGTGCATCCTGGGGGTGGATGCTGTGTGTGGCTTGTAGCCAAGACTACAGCCAGAGAAGGCCAGGAAGCCTGACCGCTCCTGGTGTGTTACAGTAGATGCCATGAGTGGTTCACCTCCCTCATATGAGCAGTGCCTTCGCAGCAGATTTGGTGGCTCATCTGCCGGTACCAATAATTGTCTTTGGCCACTAGGTTGGGGCCCTGCTGGGACTTGTGTTCTGTTGTATTTTGTTGTTATATTGTGATGTATTTGCTTTTGTGGGCCATGGCTGCATTGTTTGTTTGCCAAGAAAATTGTGCTGATGCTAAGTTTGGGAAGCCCTGAGTGGCTTTCTAACTCATGTGTAGATTGTATGGCAGAAAACCCAGAGGGGGTGGACTGTAGGGTAGGTGAAAGGTATCAGGCTTTTCTGCCCTCCCGCCATTAGGATAGATGAGGGAACCCTGTGGTCCTCAATGCATGCCTGATGACGGCCACCTGAAGTGGATACACCTGGGCTGAGAGACTGGATTTTTAAGGGTGGCGTCACAGGGATGCCAGCAGCAGCAGAAGCTGAGAAGTGGAAAATCAGGAAAGCAAAGAAGCAGAGAGAACGCCAGAGAGCCCAGAAAGAGTAAAGACTTGCTGGGGGCTGGGAGGCTGGCAGTCCTCCCAGCCCCCCAGCACTCCTGCCTGCCGTGTACCTGGTAAATCCAAATAAAAGCCTGCAAAAAAGCCACTGAGGGCTCCAGGACTCTCCTCCTTTACTCTGGTCTGCATGGGATCTTAGAAAACCTGCTCTGCGTCATTCCTGACCCTACATGCCCAAAACCTTATACTCAGAGATAACCACTTCGGGTATATGGAGACATCAATTTTTAGGTGCTTTTCTGTGTAGTGTGTGTGTGTGTGTGTGTGGTTATCCCCACACATTTCCATTTTTAAAACTTGCTATTAAATAAAATACACTATGGCTAATTTCCTGCCATGAAAATGCTTTCTATACTACTAAAATATAACAGTATTTTGTTTAATAGAGATAATCTTATATTGACAGATTATTCTTGAATAGAGCCTTTAGGTAGTATTCTTCTGTTCTTTTAATAGATATCCTGGTAGTTAAATCTTTAAACACAGAAATTTTATATATTTCATTGATATGTAATACATACTGGGTATTATTGCTGAGGTACAAGAGAGAACAAACTGGACCTGGTGCCCAGAGTTTGCTGGCCAGTGTGGGCAAACCCCCATGAGAATGAAGGGCTAGCTTCTGGGATGGCTAGACGTTTGCTTAAAAACTAAGCACTGTTGTATTAATTTTCTATGGTCATACCCCCAATCATCACAAATGTAACAGCTTAAACAACACCCACTTCTTATCTCACAGTTTGGCAGGTCAGACGTTTACACTCACTTGCCTGGGTTTCCTGCTTGGGGGTCTTAACAACTAAGATCAGAGTGTCAGCTGAGCTTCTTTCTCATGGTTTAAGGAAGAATCTGATCCCAAATTCCTTTAGATTATGAGCAGAATCAGATGCTGGTGATTTTAAAGTGTTAAAACATTTAACACTTTAACATTTCAAAACAAGGCATCTTGTGGCCAATGAAGGGTAGTAAATCATGATTTTCTGAACATTGTTATGTGGTCAGTTTTGCTTCATTCCTGTAGTGGTGAAGGGCAGGTCTTCCACTTGGACACATTGGGGCCCGCTGACTGCAGCTCTAGTGCCATACAAGCCCCAGCAGCTCTTCCGCCACGTGTTCACATCAGCTTATAAATCCCTGCCTCTGAAAACATAAAAGTTCATTGTGATCACTGTGTGCTTGAAGGTCTGTACTTGTTGGCATAGAATGTGTATTTATATTTCTGATTCACAATGCATCCTACAGGTTCTCACTTGGGACATGAACATTATTTGCATAGAATTTGATAGAAATACTATCTCAGGAAGGATTCCAGACATGCTTAACTCATGTTGTTTGGAAAAAATAGATTTTTGACCACAATATAATCCATTCCAACTTCTCTTTTTCCTTTCAAATACCAGGTACATTACCTAGGACAAGTGAGTTGGTTGTCATTATCACTTTTAAATATTAATTGAGTATGAATAAAGATTCATCACATTTTTAGCCAATGGAATATGTAAAAATCTAGATTAGATAAATTAGCAGGCAGTTTTTAAAAAGTACATCTTTATTTAATGAATCATAATGTGCTAAGACTCGGTATCCTAAAGACAGTACAGGTTAAAAATACAGTAATAAATATGAATAAAGTACGGTCTTCCCCAAGGAATTTGTGGTTTATTTGAATTGGAAAAGGGGGTAGTTGTAGAAAGCTTGAGGAGGGATGTGGGAGGGAGGTGGGGGTGGGGGGTGGGGAGTAGAAAGAATGCAAGAAAATAAATGAATGCAAACTCAAAATTCGCATTGCCCACAGTACACAGAACAATGCCTTGTACACAATGGGTGCTTAATTTCTAGAATAAATGATTGATTGACTAAATAGGTAGGTAACAGGCTAGTCAGGTAAACAATGTTTTGATCCCACGCCTGTAATATTGTAGTAAAAGCCACAAAACAATAAGACATTGCTTTGTAGACCATCATATTAGCAACGACATGAGAAAAAACACATTAACACTCCAAAGAAATCTCATAAACTTTCTAGAAGCATGAGGGCTGTATGCATAAACAGCTTTAAAATAGGCACATCATTTGTCGCGATAATTTTCCTCCTGGGAATTGTCCTAAGGAAATCATCAGGTAGCAAATAAACATTGATCTATAAAGATGTTAATCTCAGGTTTACAGTTTAAAAAAAAAAAAACCTCAGAGATTGCTCTTCAAAAGAAGATTGGTTAAGTCAAAAATAATGTATCTAGGGCCTCCCTGGTGGCACAGGCGGTTGAGCGCCACACTGTGAAGTTGTCCGCAGCCTCTGCAGTGCGGGTTTGATCCCGGCGGGCCAGCGAGAATCCCACATGGCTCAACAGAGCTCTCCTGTCTCGCCTGCTGCTCCCCTCAGCAGTGTATTTCAGTCATTCTGCCTATTGTGTTCCCCACTCTGTCTCCGGTGAATCCTCTCACCTTCTCGCGCATCTGGCCTGTACCCCGGTTCTTGTATAAAAATAAATAAATCTTTAAAAAAAATAATAATGTATCTATACATTCGGATATTTCCCATTTTAAAAAATCTGATTTTCTGACTCTTAAAAATTGTAGCTTTTTTTTTTAAAGATTGATTGATTGATTGATTGATTGATTTATACATACATTCATACAAGCACTGGGTGCAGTCAGAAGCGCGGGAGGGTGAGAGAACTCACCAGAGCCAGAGCGGGGAGCAGAGCAGGCAGAAGGACCGAGGTACACTGCTGAGGGGAGCAGCGGGCGGCAGGAGAGGTCTGCGCGCCATGTGGGACCCTCCTCTGGTGGCCGGGGAGCAGCCGGGGATGGAACTGGTGCTGCAGAGGCCGCGGGCAGCTTCGCAACCCAGTGCTCAACCGCTTCGCCACTGGGGAGGCCCAAAAATTGTAGTATTTTTAAATACAATCCCTGCATTCCTGATGGGCAGCTATTAGCTGGAGTTAACAAGGGATGACACTAAGATAGGACGCACCTTCTACATTGTGACAAGGACCCCTCTGTTTCTTGTGCTCCATCTAAACTGCTTGCTAATGTTACTTGCCTGGCTCCTGCCAGCATTTGCATTTGTGAGCACTAAGGTAAAAGAATCATGTCATCAGTAAGTGTTCATAATCTGATGTTAAATGAGGGGGGAAAAAGTGTTACTCATTGATTAGCATGATCCCATTTGTGGTGGCTGAGAGAGATAGACAGAGAGAGAGAAAGGTTAGAGGAGAGAGAAAATGCATATACGTGATAGGCAGAGAAACTAAAAAGTGGGAAACCATGTACCCAAATGTTGAAAATATTTATTTTCTGGATGCGAGACTTATAGATGATTCTTATTTTTTGTATTTTTCATCCCCTACATGCCCTACTTCCCCCAATTTTGAATAATGATTGCTTGGCTAATTAAAAGAAAATGTTTTTGTTTTTTTAAACGTGGTTGCCGGCAAGGGCTGCCATGAAACCCGCTAATGTCCATCTTATTCTCGGTCTGGGTGGGCCACAGAAGCTAGAAGCCTGACACTCCTCAGCTGATCTCCACTACTTTCTACGTGTCTCTCTGTAACATTGCTTCTATCCTTGTAATGTCCTCCAATCATCTGGGGAGGAAAAAGTTGTAGTCAAGGGCCTCTTTCTGATTGGAATATCCTGTTTTCTCTTTAGAACTTGGAAAGTCTGGTGGCACAAGCTACCACTGGCCCTGTCTTCTACCCAAGGCTGTATCACCTGATGTCTTATGTCTGTATACTCATGGGAGATGGACAGAACTGCAACCTCTTCCTGAACACGGCCTTGCAGCTCTCCGAGACACAAGGCAATGCATTGGAGCACTGCTGGCTGACCATGAACAAAGTACGTTCCATTGACAAGCCCGCTGGGATGTGGGTGCTCACTCTCTTCTAAGACAGTCCCAGAAGCCAAAGACCTGGTCAGCTTGCACCAGGCGTAGAAGGCCATCTTAGGCCATTCTGGACTCTTACCACCGGGGAGGGAAATGCATCTGTAGTCCAGTGCAAGCTCCTCCTTTTCCCCTTTGAATTCTCATGGAACCTCCCCTCATCCAGATCCGCTTTGGCAAGAACTCTACCTCTCTCTCTCAAGGCCCTCATTGATTTCCACTTTGTGTTACTTTTGTGCACATGTTGTTCTTGTCTCGATAAAGCAAACTCTTAGAAAGCAAAACTCACGCTTAGTACCCAACACAGTGCCTTCTATTCAGTGTTGGTTGAATGAGTGAATGAACATAGCCTTCTATGAGTTTCTTTATAGAGTCTTGCATCAGTAATCTAGTTTGGGCAGCAAAATTCATTATTTGTCTATGGGTTCACCAGCTTGCAAAGATCAAGGACATTTAACCATTGCGTGGCCACACAAGTCGAGAAGCACTGACTAATTCTGGGTTCTCTATCACCCCTCTCAGGAATGGTGGTACTCCAACTCTGGGCTCACTGAAGACCAATGGTTTCAAACAGTCTTGAATCTCCCAACCTGGGAAAAAGTTGTGTCAGGCAAGGTAAACACACAGGAGCTTCCAAAGAACAAATTCCTAATGAAAGTTAATATCCTGGTCAATCCTTTTTAACATTTTGTGGAAGAGAACAAAGATTTTACTAAGACTCATTCTCTTGTGATTATTCATTATTAACCTTTCTCCATAGCCAGCATCCTTCAACTACCTACACGCCCTTCCATTCCAGACACAAAATCAGAAATCAGACATGTTGGTTTCTTTTCCTTGGGGAGGGTCCGAAAAGGTGGACAGTGTCATGCTGTTCTCTCTCCGATATTTGCACAGATTGCTTTTGCCTTTCATGTTGTTTTAACTTGTCCTGTTTATTGCAGCCCACACGAAATTGTATCATATGGGAAAATAATATCATCATAATGGTACACGTTGCTATGGAAATACTCTTAGTTATCTATTAAACTGAAAATATTTATTTCTAAATGTTCAATTCTTCAATTGTTTGTATGATAGCACAGCATTATAACAAATAGCAAATTCCTGTCATGGTCTTAAAAACAAGATTAAAAGACACATTTTTGTAGTGATTGATTGTGGCTTCCATTGCCCCTCTAACCACAGACCTCAAATATCTGTGGACATAAATTTCTGTAAGTGGAAATATTAGTAATTTTGGTGTGGATATCTTTTATGTGCTCAGCATTTATATATTTAAGAAAATAATAGCGTTCAACTTCATTTCCCAGATGGCAGAGAATCTGCCCCAGGGTCATTGATGCCATGTCTCTCTTTTGGCAAGCAGGACAATTCTTAATTTTGTGCCTAAAAGGGTTCCTGGGCCAAATTCCAACATGGGTGTGTGTGAGGACTTCCTCACCCAACAAGCAATTCTCAGACACAATTTAGTGCGGTTATGACACTATCTACCTGGAGGCGGCACCAGGTTCCACAGATTAGGACTCAGTCTCTCAAGATTCCTCTTCACTCAGAAACAAGTTGCAAGTTCAGATTTTCCCCTTTGCTTCTGCTTGGACAAAAACATCTTGCTATAAACCAGAGGTTCCCAGGACCCCCTTCTCAGTTTCTATTAACACTTGCTAAAGCCATCCACAGAATTCAGGAAACCCACTAGTAACTCACAGGATTACTGCTTTTATTACAAACCTCAGGCACTGAATATACTTCAAGAACAGCCAGATGGATGAGATGCACAGGACAAGGTGTGGGAAAGGACTCAGAGCTTCCATGTTTTCTTGATTCTTCCCCTTATTCTACTTGTTTAGTAATCAAGAAGCTCTCAAGGTCCCTTCCGGTTGGTTGTACAGAGGTGTGATTAATTGGATCACTGAACGTTGATGATTGAATTCAAACTCCAGTTCCTTTCCCCTCCTCATAGTTCTGGGGAAAGGTCTGGAAGTTATTTGGAACTCTGTGTGGCGGGGACTTTTCTCTCTAGTGTTGCCCTTCCTTACCAGATTACACACTTTGCTTCCCTTTAAATACTCTACGCCCAGGGCCTCCCCGGTGGCACAACGGTTGAGCGCTGGGTTGCGAAGCTGCCCGCAGCCTCTGCAGCACCAGTTCGATCCCCGGCTGCTCCCGGGCCACCAGAGGAGGGTCCCACATGGCGCGCAGACCTCTCCTGCCGCCTGCTGCTCCCCTCAGCAGTGTACTTTGGTCCTTCTGCCTGCTCTGCTCCCCACTCTGGCTCTGGTGAATTCTCTCACCCCCCTGTGCTTCTGACTGTACCCAGTGCTTGTATAAATAAATAAATAAATAAATAAATAAATAAATAAATAAATAAATAAATCTTAGGAAAAAAAAAAAAGCCAAGTAGAAGATATGAATTCCATGGTTCTCTTTATTAAAAAAAAAAAAAAAAAAAAAAAAAAAAAACTCTACGCCCAGTGTTAGGCTTCCTGGCTTCAGGTTGTCATGGTGATAGACTCAACTAATCTCCTTAGAGTCTACCATCTTCTGGTTGCTACTTTCATTGGGTGAATGTAGAGTTGGGCTATTGGCTCATTTCGTGAACCCAGGTGACCTATGGGCATTTTTTTTTTTTTTAAGAACGAGGGGTCAATTTATTTTATGTAAATTCGTCATTAAATATCAACATGTACAATTTCAAGTATTTATAAATATTGCCACTTATAGAAAATTAATCTTAATATTGTTTGAACAGTGTTTTTCACAACTATTTACAATGAACTCAACCTACCTTTGTAGAAACAATGTTTAAAAGTATCCTTGCCACACACAGAACCTTTCTATAACATTTATGTCACTAAAATGGCAGCTGCATGTCTAAAATTCGGCAGATTTAATAATTTAGAAATAGCACAATCAGAACTGCAAATGCAAGCAACCATTAATTCCAAACAAAACAAAACCTTTTATATTAACATATAAAAATTTCCCCATTTTCAGCAGTGATTGACGAAAATAATTGAGGCAATTTTTAATGTGTATTAAACACAAACTAAGATATTTTAAAAATAACTTTAAGAAAGTCATTTTTCATAAAGATATTTTAAAAATGACTAGATTAGGTAAATTTTTATAACATGTCATACTAAATATTTTGAGAAATTCTTGGTTTCATTAGAAGTAATTTCTAATGGTAAATATTTCTTTTCATTTGTAATATGACATTAAACAGAGATAATTCTGTCATACTCAATATTATAATTGCTTATCAGTAGTTGATAATATATTTGAATGAGAAGAGTATTCTTAGCTTTATTCCTAAGAAAGTTTTTTTTCTACTTAGGTTTTTAACCTTTTTTGAAGTTAAAAACGATCCCAAATGTGTCTAAAAGTAGGTCAAGGAAAAATAACTTCATATGGACTAGGGCTTGCAAACAATATTTACTGTAGTATTCCAGGCTTTTCTTTTTTTTTTCCCTAGCATGTATCCAGTGGAAACAATTAAATTAAAAGATAAGGTATAAGTAAAATAGTTGAAGTCACAATAAAGTACATTTTCTATTATTAACATAGAACATTTGATTAAATTTTAAATATTGGCTCTTTAAGAAAAAGTTTCCCTGATAAATAAATAATTATGCATAACCATTGCCCCAAAATGTACACAGCATTTTCCCCCAAATATTTATACACATAGTGGACCACTTAAGACAAGCCCCATTACAACCTAATGAATTCAGTGTGCTCTTAATTTATAAATGGGCTATCTATCCTCAGTAAATAATGCATGGGTGTGTATGTTATGTATACAAAGTAAGAAATATAAAAAGGAGAGATGAAAAGAAAAAGAAGAGCAAGTATTTCTCCCTGTAAGATGCTGACAGAAATTCACCGTAATTAGTGAGATTGTGTAAAATGCACTCAATTTACAAATGGGCTGCCCTCATATATAAAATATATAGGCAGGTGCATTATCCATACAAAGTAAAAAATATAAAAAGGAGAGATGACAAAAAGGAAAAAACATCTTTCCCCATGAGATTCAGACAGCAATTTCAGTGTAGTTAGTGAGACTATGTAAAATGTCTAAAGAATTTCAGTTCTGGCAAGTCCTTTTCCGAAAAATGTCTAGGCTATAGTGTGATGGCACAGTGGGTTGGGCGCCGCGCTGTGAAGCTGTCAGCAGCCTCTGCAGCGCAGGGTTGATTCCCGGATGGCCAGGGAGAAACCCATATGGTGTGGCAGACCTCTCCTGCCTCGCCCGCTGCTCCCCTCAGCGGTGTCTTTGGTCCGTGTGCCTGTTCTGCTCCCTGCTCTGTCTCTGGTGAATCCTCTCACCCTCCCACCCCTCTGTCCTGTACCCCAGTTCTTGTATAAATAAATAAATCTTGAAAAAAAAAAAGAAGTTAGCAGAGATTTACATTTAAACAATCATGAGGATGTCCCTAATGTGCAGAAAAGAGGAATTTGAAGGGGGGGGGGTCTGTTCAAAAGAAACAAACAAAAAGTTGCTCATGATTAGCCAGTTAGTAATAACCCATGAAGTGTATGTAGTGCAGAGAATCAAATCCTGGCCCATCAGCATGTGAATATGTTTGATGAAAGATTCCAATGGACAGGATCCGAATGCTTCCTAGATCTTAGAGAGAACTGGGCCAGAAGTGATAGCAACAGAGGGGTCAGCCTGAAAGGTGGCTGGTCCAATCTTAACTGTTAATGTTAAAAAACACACCAAATGTTTCTATAGCATTCTTTCTCCTGCATTTTCTTTATTTCAAGCCACAGGTCTACTTGGAGGGTCATGCAGCAAGTGGCTTAAAAATAAAATCAGTCTATGAATAGTGTCATCACATTAAAAGACATAATCGCTGAATTCTCTCGTTAGGTAAAAAGCTTGCATCTTTTGAATCCATGAGCTGGTATTACTTATGGGATACCTGAGATGTACCTTGCTCCGATTAACATTACCATGCTACTCACTATAAAAAAGCCCAAGGGCAGACTACAGAAGATACTAGGGTCTCCAGTTTCTGAAGACTGAGTTGTAACCCAACCCATTGACTTTATCACAGCTTTCTTCCATGTAGAATAACGAATTTCACTTTCCTCAGCGTTGATCTGGGGTTCAAACCGTTCCATCGTGACAGCCGACAAATCCTCTGGTTCAAGACTCCAAACGCCAACCCCTTCTGCAGCTCCAGCCGCCATGGCAGCCCCCAGGGCTGTGGTTTCTGACATTGAGGGCTTCACTACTGGGATATACAGAATATCTGCTTGTAGCTGCATGAGAATCTTGTTGATGGTCATTCCTCCGTCTACCTGCAGATGACTGAGTGGGATTCCACAGTCACGGTTCATGGCATCCAAAATCTCTCGGGTTTGGAAACAAACAGCTTCTAATGCAGCGAAAGCAATGTGGCATTTATTGGTAAACTGAGTGAGCCCACAGATGATCCCTCTCGCACTGGGCTCCCAATAAGGTGCATACAACCCTGAAAACGCTGGCACGAAATAGCAGCCGTAAGAGGTTCCTGCTTCTTTAGCAAGTGTTTCAATTTCCTCTGAGGTCTTTATAATTCCAAGATTGTCTCTTAACCAGCGAACAACAGCACCGGCTATGGCTACAGAACCTTCTAGTGCATAATATACTGGTTTGTCTCTGCCAAGTTTGTAAGCCACTGTGGTCAAAAGGCCGTGTTCAGAAAATACACACTTTCGGCCTGTATTACATAGTAAGAAACAGCCTGTTCCGTACGTGTTTTTGGCTTGTCCATCTTGGAAACACATTTGTCCCACCAATGCAGCAGACTGATCCCCCAAACACCCAGATATTGGGACACCTTCCAAGGCTCCAGCTTTCATTAGGCCATAGATCTCAGAAGAACTCCGGACATTTGGAAGAATTTTCATTGGAATTTCAAAAAACTCACAGAGCTCTTTATCCCATTCCAAAGAATGAATGTTGAAAAGCATCGTCCTGCTTGCATTAGTTACATCTGTACAGTGGACACCTCCGTTGGCTCCTCCTGTCAAACACCAGATAAGCCACGAATCAACAGTCCCAAAAAGAGCTCGATCTTCTTCCACAGCCTTTTGAACTTTCCTCACATTGTCAAGCAGCCAACGAAGTTTCACCGCACTGAAGTAAGTGCTAAGTGGAAGGCCTGTCTTGGACTTGACAAAGTTATTATTTCCTGGAATTCTTTTACTGAGAGTCTCAACGGTAGACTGCGTTCTTAGATCAAGCCATACCACAGCGTTGTAGAGCGGTTCTCCGGTCAGCTTGTCCCAGACTACCGTGGTTTCCCTCTGGTTACTAACACCAATAGCTTTTATGTTGGAAATCTCAATATCGAGCTGTCCAAGTTTCTCACAAGTTTTCTCTATACACTCATAGACAGACTGCAGGATTTCCTTAGGATCTTGTTCTACCCATCCTTCTTTTGGAAACTCTTGTTTTATTTCTACTTGATGATGACTAAGTAGTTCGGCTGTTTTTGAATTGAAAACCAAAAAGCGGGTCGAGCAGGTGCCTTGGTCCACTGCCCCCACCAAGGGCGCCAAAACTGCTTTCTTCGTGGCTGCCATGAAACCAGCTTCGAGTGGACAGGGCGGTCTGTCGCGGCCCGTTTCCTGGGCGACGGCGGCGGGCGGGGGGGGGGGGGGGGGGGGGGGGGGGGGGGGGGGAGGGGCGAGCAGCTCGTCTGGAGGGGGAGGGTCTTTGCCCACCCCAGGGCCATTTCTGAGCTTCCAACAGGCGCACGGATTCTCTGCAGTTCAACACCACCAGCTTCACTGTGATTTTTGTTTCAAGGCTAGAGGATGCGGTTGACTTTGGGGATTTCAGAAACCAATGATTTGGCTCCCAAATTATTAAAAAAACGAAGGCTGTGTCAGTTCCCACTGTAAGGCTGCCCACTCCCCAGTCCCTAGCCAACTGCTTCCTCCCCAATCTTTCCCTGGCACAGGAAATGGCTCCATCACTCACAGCAGTGCTAGCCAAATTCTGGTCATTCTTGATGCTTCTGTTTCTTCAACACCCTTCGATCTATAGCAAATCCCTTTAATTTTCAAGGTCCATCTAGAATATACCACTTCTCTCCATTTCTTCCACTACCACTCTAGACAAAGTCATTGTGATTTCTTACTCCTCTTCCTGCTCTACTCTTGCCTACTCTATCTAGCCTGTACTTTCCACAGAAGGCAAATCCTATCATGTCACACTCCCTATTTAAAATCCTCTGGCATAAAAAAAAAAAAAAATCCGCCAGTGTACCACTATACTGAGTAAAGAGGCGATGTCCCAAATTTTTTACTCTGGTGTGCAAGACCTATGTGATCTGGCCTGCCTTCCCTTCTACCGACACCCCTCTCTTTTGACCTTAAAATAAAATTTCATTCTAACTTGCTGGACATCCTGAGAAGAAATAAATGTCTGATTTTTGTTTCTGCCATCTTGCTGGGTGTCCATTGATTCATTTATAAAAAATTAAGCTGGGGGGTGGCATGAGAGCTAGGTTGAATTGCCTCCAATGATCACTTTCAGCAGGTAATCTATGGGGAGGAAGCAATAGGAATTCTTTTTCACTGCTGCCACTTAGGCTAGGACAGCCCTGACTGGCCCAGGAAGGCCAGGTTTTCTACGAATGCGTATCTGAGTACAGACTCTGACATTTGCTGTTCTCTTCTGGAGACAAAGCTAAGGACTTTCCCTTTAGGAACTCCCCCTTTCTGAGAATGGGTAGAGAACAAGAGTGGGGTGAACACTAGCTTATAGAAGAGAGAGTGGGTGAGCACCTGGGGCAATCCTTGGTCTGTAGAAGAGAGGTGTTTGGTATTGGGCTTATAGCAGGCAAAGGCTCAGCATCTGATGTCTGTTGTGCCAACTGACTGTCCTTCCCCCTATCCCAGCACATGTATCCCGCCCTTTCAGGGAGTGCGGCTCCCCCTCCATTTGTTAGGGATTTCACTTAGTGACCAGCCTCCTAGGAGATGAAATCCCCCAGGGAGAAGCTGGGGGTGCCCACAATCCTTCAAGCATTCCAAAACTTTGAAAATGTCTTTATTTTACTGGCTTCTGACCAAACCAAAACAATGACTGGGCAAGACTGACGGAGGGAGGCAGGAAGAAGGGAAGCCATTATTAAAAGTGCAGTGATGTAATTTCCCCAAGGACTGACAGAAAAATTGAGAACAGAGGAAGAAGAAAAGGCCTGACTGCATATAAAGGTTTTAGATTCCAAGTGTCAAAATCCCAAAGTGCGGACACTGGGCTTCACAGGAACCCGGCCCCTACTAAGCCACAAACCAGCTGTGTGACTTATTTGACAGTTTTCTCATCTCTGAATTAAACAGGTTGTGACTGGCCCCTCCCCTCCAGGCCAGGTTATCCTTCATTCCACCTCCTACCAACAGGGTGGACTGAGTGCTCCTTCCCACCTGCCAGAAGAGGGCAGCACAGGCTTTTTGCTGAGACCACTGCAGGGGAACAGTTTCTAATGAATCTCTCTCCAAGCTTTAGTCTTCAGACCCACCACACAGCCTCAGCATGGAGAGCCTCTTCAGCAGCCACCACAGCTCCCCTCATTACTTACAGGAAGCTTCTAGCTTCCTGTTCTCAGGAACATCACTTAAGGAAGTAGATTCTGGCTAGAATTCTGCTTAGGAGAAAGAATCCATGAAGGCTTCAGCAACACGGGGCATGGGAAAGTGATGAGCTATCCTTTTCTTTCTTTCTTTCTTTTTTTTTTAAACATGAACCTTTGACTTCTCAATTCAAAACAATCCTCATGCTAACGTTGACATATCTTGGGAAGACCTGTGCTGAACATCTTGGGGGTTCCTATCCATCACACCCTAATGAGGTTTTGGAAAATTTTAGAAATCTTCCTGGAAGTAGAAATAAGACTCATCCAGGTGAAGAACTTCACTAGCCTGGACCTGGTGTTCAGTGCTGGAGACATTTGGAGGTCCTGGAGAGGTGGGGTTTCCAGTATCTATGAAGAACCTGATCTAGACAGTTTTCAACACTACCTGCACATTAGAATCACCTGAGGAGTTTTTTAAAAGTTACACTCAAGTCCCCCACTTGAATTCTAATATGGAGCAAAAACCATTGGACTACGAGAAAGAAAGTTGAGGTTGGTGACAGACTCGGGTCTCCTTTCCAGTCCTCACGGACAGCACCCGTGGACCAGCACCCCTGGACCAGATACATCAGTTTATGGGTCCATTGAGTGGACATCATATCTGCACTGAGCTCACCTGTTCACTTCATTGATGTTTATTGAACATCTACTGTCATTTCCGATGGCCGCTCTACAAATTACCACAAATTGGTGATTGAAAACAACAGAAATTAATTCTTTCACAGATGAGTAGTGCCCATCTCCTTATCTCCACTGTGGATCATTCACTGGCTAACCTGTGTACCAGTGAGTTCTATAACATGCTAAGGGTCATTTATCACCCAAAAAGTCAGGTGCAGACTACCCCAGAAGTTGATTTGGAGGATAGTTTTGAAATTCCTTCTTTTTTTTTTTTTTTTTTTTTTTTTGTGGGAACCTTGCCGGAGGCCAGGGTATGAATCGGCGCTGCAGAGGCTGCAGGCAGCCTCGCAGCCCAGTGCTCAACCGCTGCGCCACCAGGGGAGGCCCTGAAATTCCTTCTGAAGAAATATGCTTAAGCCTCTCTGAAATCTCATCTGCCCCTTCCCCGACCATCCATTTGAAATAATTCAATACATAGAAATATTGATGTTTCCAGGGTCTCAAACCTCAGGACAGTAGATGGCAATGGCTTTAGGTGCACACAGCCACAAAGGAGTGCTGAGGGTAGTGACAGCACCCTGCAGTGCCAAGGTCGCCAGACGCAGGACAAGGGATTGCATGCAAGTTCAGGGTGGGCCACTTGTGCTGCAACTTCCCCTAGACCTCAGCTGGAAAAAAAGGATGCACCTGGTCTGTCACAAGGCGGGGGAGTTCTGCAGGGTGTCAACTGGATAGGAGGCCAGTTGACCCTGGGACAACATGGGTTTGTATGGGTCTGCTTGTAGGAGGAATTTCTTGAGTAATGTGGGGCCTGCAGAGATGGAAGGATTGGCACACCTGGACATTATGGCATCCCTGGGGTGAGGGGGGGTATCAGCACCCCTAACTCCCACATTGTTCAGAGGTCAACTTTACTTGGCAAACTCTGAAGCCACACACATATTTAAGCCCTGGGTAGTCATCAGGTGGTAATCTCTGTCCATTTGGTCTAGATGGAGCGCTGCTGATCGAGGAGTGGTGTGTGAGTGATGATGTGGGAGGAGGGCAGGGTCTGGATCACGAAAGCCCCCAGGGGGTTGGGAACTTCTGCTGCAATAGGAGTCGCTGAATGACTACGGAGCAAATGCACAGTCTACCCTTCTGTTTTAGGAAGACCACCCCCTGGTGGAGAATGGATTGGAAATATAAGGCCAAGATGAAGGCAGGGAGACTTGCTAGAATTACGGTGCCCGGTAGTAAAGAAGGGCCAGTGGAGTTACAGATAAGGGCCTTGATTTGAAAGATATTGGAAGAGGTAGAATATACTGGAATTTGCTTTTCAGGGAGAATGCTAAAAAGTCACAAAAACAGAGAGATCCAGGAAACAAATACTACCGTATTCTACCAATACTCATTCTTCCTAAGACTTTTCACATCCCTCTTACCTTTATTTCTCTAGACTGAGAAGTTACAATCACTTGCATAAAAAATAAGTTTCTGAAAGGACTGTCTTCTTCACTCGCCACCCCCAGCCCAACGCAGCCTTGCAATCCCACCTCCTCCAGGTTCACCTACTCACAAGCCAATTTCCCATCTCTGCTAATGGCACGAGTCACTGCTCATCATGTTTCTTTTCTAGCTAGTTATTAGATTCTACCAATACGCATTCTTCCAAAGACTTTTCAGATCCCTCTTACCTTTATTTCTACTGCTGAAAATCTGGGTCCTTCATCTTTGACCGAAATCTGACAGAGTTTCACAATAGCTATATAATTAATTGACCTCTTAATTTCGTATTTCTATCCTCTACCAATTGGCAAGGTAAGCTTGCTAAAATGCAAATCCCCATCTGTTACTCCTCTGCTAAAAATCCTCTTTGCTTTCAGGACAACATTCCACTTTCTTAGCCTGGAATGTAAGGCTTTGACTGTCTGGCTCCCTGCCCAATCCAATGCTATAATCACACTGCCCTCCCTTTCTCCCACCCTGAACCAAGGGGTCTGGTTCTTCCAGCTGGAAAGGTCTTTATCAGGGTCTTTTGGGTTTCTGCCATTTTCAAATGCTTCTACCCCCATCACCTTCTCTCTGAGTTTTGCGTCATCCTTGTTATTGTCCCCCAGCTGTCTGCCTATCCCTTCCTGTTAGAGCTGCTCCCCCATGACTGCCTGGCACATGTGACTGTGTGGGGCTGTCTCCTCTCTGACCTTGTTTTTTTTTTTTGCATTTTTATTTTATTTTATTATTTTAAAAGATTTATTTATTTATGCATACAAGAGCTGGGGTGTAGGCCAGAGGTGGGGGGTGGGGATAAGAGGATTCACCAGAAACAGAGTGGGGAACAGAACAGGCACATTGACTGAAGTGCACTGCTGAGGGGAGC